CCATGCCCCCAAAGCACCAATATACATATGCATACAAACTTAAAGGAAATAAAGTGACTTCATTGTCCTACCTGTGGCCTTTGTTTTTCAGATGTATATCTATGTGTCATTCTCAGTGGAGCTGAGATGTCCATAAAGGTGCAGCAAATCATAATAAAAAGAATAGCTTTTAAAAACATTTTAGTATTCAGAATACTTTAAAATATACGTATTTTTGAAACCATCACCCTACGTATCAGAATACATAATGCTTATTACATATCCAGGCTCCAGCATCATTGCCATAGATCATGTGACCACCTGGCCTTTCTTTTCCTTCTTTTTTTTTAAAAAAAGAAAACATGACACTAAATTATTGCTTGCAAATTGCAGTGTGCAGGGTTCAGTTTGATGTTTGCAGAACTTGTCTTAATTATGCTTTAATTAAAAAAGACAAAATAAAATCAAGCAGGAAACAGAGTTGGCTCATTCAGGTTGCATTACCGTGCCAATTAGGGCAATGCGTGTAGAACTGGCTTCTTTAATAGGGGACTCTGGCCTCCAAATCATCATTCGCAATGGCTATTCTCATGTCTGTGTGCATGAATTTGATTAGTTATTATAGTAATTTGTTTGTGTTTTCAGACTAAAATACAGTTTATAAGAAAAACTCCTGCTTATCTTCAGTAAATACACTAAAAGGAGCTCAGAGACTGGTACAACAAACATTTATCTCCTCTGCATCTATCAACCAGTCATTCCCATACTAGAAAATAATTCTGATTTGACAACCAGATCACATATATACGCCATACATTTAAAAGACATGGCTTCCCTCAAAGAATCCTGGAAAGTGTGGTTTGTTATAGGTGCTGGGAATCGTATCTCTGTTACGATTACGATATCTTTATTGTCATTGTCCCATGCAGGACAATGAAATTGAAAAACTACATAAAACTACATAAAAACTACATAAAACTACCACAAAACTACATAAAACTACATAAAAACTACATAAAACTACATAAAAACTACATAAAACATTCAAAAACCCCTAAAAACTCTAAAACCCCATTTAAAAATACACTATACTATAGAGACCCCTTATGCTGCGTTTAGAACCAGAATTGCATTTGCATAGAAATTGTTTCTCAGGTGGCTAGTCCTGGCCTTTATAACCCTATACCTTCTTCCAGAAGGCAGAAGCTGAAAGAGATCATTTCCAGGGTGCATACTATCCTGTGCTATCTCTGCCGCTTTCTTATGGCACCTGGCAGCATAGATTTGATCTAAGGTGGGAAGAGTGCACCCAATTATTCTCTCTGCAGTCTTTACAACCCTGGATAGCATTGTTTTTTCCCTGGCCGTGCAGCTCCCAAACCACACACAGAGACCATAACTTAGTACGCTCTCCACAGTGCAATGGTAAAATGCCATCAACAGGTCCTTTGAGAGATTGTTTTTCCAGAGGATTCTCAGAAAATATAACCTCTGCTGTGCTCTCTTCACCAGGTCTTTGCTGTTCTCTCCCCAGGTTAGGTCGTCTCTCAACTCCATTCCCAGAAATCGAAACACCGAGACCTGTTCCACGCACTTCCCCTCAATAATAAGTGGCTGAATATTCAATTTACATTTCCTAAAGTCCACAGTGATCTCTTTTGTTTTCTTTAAGTTAAGGAGTACCATATTTTTCGCTCTTTAAGATGCACCAGACCACAAGACGCACCTAGTTTTTGGAGGAGGAAAACAAGAAAAAAAATTATTCTGAATCTCAGAAGCCAGAACAGCAAGAGGAATCACTGCGTAGTGAAAGCAGCAATCCCTCTTGCTGTTTTGGCTTCTGGGATAGCTGCGCAGCCTGCATTCATTCCATAAGACGCACAAACATTTCCCCTTAATTTTTAGGAGGGAAAAAGTGAGTCTTATAGAGCAAAAAATACGGTAAGTTGTTTTTCCTGCACCACTCCCCCAACTGCTCAACTTCCTTCCTATAGGCTGCCTCCCCCTCTCCAGCCGTGATTAAACCAACCACCGTTGTATCATCTGCGAACTTAATGATCTTATTACTGGGGTATTTGGGGGCACAGTCAGCTGTATATAAAAGCTGGCTCAACACACACCCCTGTGGCATCCCCGTATTCGTGATGAGATCCGCAGAGACATGGGAACCCAACCTGACCCTTTGGGAACGGTTTCACAGAAAATCTAATATCCACCTGCACAAACATGGTGGAAGTCCCAGGTCTAATAATTTGGGCACCAATCTATGCGGAAGAATAGTATTAAATGCAGAACTAAAGTCTACAAATAACAGTCTCGCATAGTTCCCTTGCTTCTCCAAATGAGTCAGGACAGCATGTAAAGCCATTGCCACAACATCCTCTGTGGAACTCTTTGCCTTGTACGCAAACTGGTAAGGGTCAAGTCCCACTGGCAGATAAGATAAGATGTGGTTCCTCACCAGTTTTTCGAAACATTTCATTATGATGGGTGTCAACGCCACAGGGCGAAAATCATTCAGACTGTCTATCTTTGATGTTTTTGGCAGGGGTATAATGGTAGCGGATTTCAGACAGGGTGGAACAGTGGCTTGGGCCAGAGACTGGTTAAAAATCTTTGTAAAGATTCCTGCCAGTTGGTCCGAACAATCTCTTAGCACCCTGCCAGCCACCCCACCCGGGCCCATAGCCTTCCTCGTGTTTACCTCCTTTAATATTCGCCTCACTTCTGCCTCTTCCACCCTGGCAGCATTTCCTGTAGGTAGTGACGCCAATAGCTCTGGCATCCCTGTTGGAGTCACTGTTGGCGTCACCTCAAATCGGGCAAAGAAGGTATTCAACTCTCCCACCAAGGAAGCAGTACTCTCTACTACTGAAGAATTCCTTGATTTATAACCAGTCAGATGTTGGACTCCCTGCCACATTTGTCTAGTATTATGATTTTTCAGATGGTCCTCAATTTTTCCTCTGTACTCCGCTTTTGCTTTCCTGATACCCCTCTTCAAGTTCACTCTTTCTATACCATACAATACCCGGTCCCCAGTTCTAAAAGCAGAATTTCTGGCCTTCAATAATCTCCTAACCTCTCCCGTCATCCAGGGCTTCCTATTCGGATACAACTTAACATACTTTTCCCTGGTGACATTTGCTGTGCAGAATCTAATATTATCCAGGACCGTTGATGTATAAGTTTCTAGATCTTGATGGTCGAACATATTCCAGTCGGTCTCCTGGAAACAGTCCTGCAGTTGCTGAGAGGCTCCCTCAGGCCACACCGTAACCATCCGTGTTTGTATCTGGCCTTGTTTCCTGAGGGGTGTGTATACTGGTGTCAGAAGCAGGGACACATGATCTGAACCACCGAGGTACGCCAAGGTCTTGACCTCATATGCCTGTCTAATGTTCGTATACACCTTGTCAAGAGTATTTTCTCCCCTTGCAGTTGGTGCTATGTACACCGCTGTTAACACCACTGTTGTAAATTCCCGGGGAAGATAGAAAGGTCTGCATTTAATTGTCGGAAATTCCACATCCGGAGAACAGTAGGTATCCAACTTGACAGAGTCCGTACACCAGTTTTGATTTACAAAAATACACACACACACACACCTTGTTTCTTGCCAGAATCCTGTGTCCTGTCCCACCGGTATGTTGTAAAACCTTGTAATTCAACAGCTGTGTCTGGAATAGCTGAATTTAACCATGTCTCTGTGAGTATCAGCACACAACAATCCCGGATGTCTTCCTCCACTCCTACACGAAGCCTCCATTCGTCAAGTTTATTTGCCAATGATCTCACATTAGCGTAAAAGATACTTGGAAGAGGTAGTTTACATCGTTGTTTCTTTACCTTCCTTATCTTTATTCTCTCTTTCATTTGACCTTGCCTCTACAGCCTCTCTTCTGCTTCCGCTCTCTCCTCCTCCTCCTCCTCCTCCAACACCAGTGATTTACGATTTCTGGAATCTCGCACGCCCGTAGCTGCTCCCACACAGCACAGTTTCTACATCTGTATCTGCTGCTACTTCTGTCCCTGTATAACAGCATTTCGTATCGACTATAAATAATTCATCCTAACAAACCCTGACTCCCCTCCAGGGAGCTCTCAGCCGCAGCGTCTGCATACGCCGCCATCTTGAACTGAACTTTCTACTGTTAACTACTGTTCCCATGATTCTTTGGGGGAAGCCATGTGCTTTAAATGTGCCTTAAATGGATGGTGTCCTTGTTACCTAAGGGGATGCATGACACTGTGATTACAGAAATCCATACGTATGAAAGTCCTAGAAAAAGTCGTACTTCGGAAGTCGAACAGAATCCATTCTGGAAGTACTTTCAACTTCCAAAACGTTTGGAAACCAAGGCATGGCTTCCAATTGGCTGCAGGAAGCTCCTGCAGCCAATCAGAACCTGAGGAACCCACGTTGGACGTTCAGGTTCCAAAGAACGTTCACAAACTGGAACACTCACTTCCAGGTTTGTGGCGTTCAGGAGCCAAAACGTTTGAGTTGCAAGGCATTCGACTTCTGAGGTATGACTGCAGTATATATTTCTGCATGCTGAAGAAGCTGCCCAAGCTCCATGTTCACAAAATGAGGACTGTCTGCTATCATTGTGAACTTCCTTTGAAGAACAAAAGAGAGGCTTTGGTAGGTGCTAAAGAAGGGACATGCCAGAGACTAAGATAAAAGAATGTGCCATAGTGGTATGTGTTTACTTCTTCATTTCACACAAACAGAAATCTGGCTTCTATTTTGTGGCACATAATGTAAGAGTGGTCACCAGGTGATAGAGACCATTCTGACAGGTTGCCACTAGCAAATTAGAAGCAGTAATCTTGCAATTAGCCAGTCAGTTTTGAATCCTTACACTTGTTTTTATTGTCAGCAATTGCTCGATTTGTTGTTTCCAAATTAGTGGAGCCTGTTACTCTTTCCATGATGTACTGAAAATGTGCCCAGAGTATAGTAAAAGTTGTTTAATTCAGGATGTGCTTATGTTATGTAAGGAACTTAGTGAAATCTATCTTCTCTTTTGAATTACTTTGAGCAAAATTTGATTAAGAAGGTTAGAACAATCACCATCCCAGGTGCTAATTGTCTCTGGATCCAGCTTTGCTGCCTCCGTGCAACGACCCTACAAGAATAGAGAAAATTTTGTATTATATTGTATTGCATTAACTATGATATTATTTCCTTAACTTTAACCATTATTCCCCTTTATTAGCTAAACTATAAACTGGGCATTATCCAAAGTTAAATATGTCAATGGAAAAGAATGGTGCACACGTTTAAATCGGTTTGGGAAAGCAAAAAAAATAGGGTTTGTTTGCATATCCTATGACAATGAACGCAGAACCTAGTATCTAAAGTGCAACACAACCTTTTTGGGTGTGGTTTTGCTACAAGAACAAATACAGCTAACCCCTTGGAATTGTTATATGGATATCCTAACTTTCTGAAGCCACAAAAAGTGGCTTTTGGTATTACAAAAATGTACATTTCATTTTCAATGTGGCCAATATAAATTCCGTGGTGCAGTAACCTCCCACCCAATATGGCATTGCTATTGTGTTAGCTTATTTTAAGATACTTACTGATTTCACAATAACCAGAAAGTAAGAGTTCAGGGTGTCAGCTACAACAGTTGTACCAGCCCTGCATAAAGTGAGAGAAATGAAATGGCATTGATTCAATACGTATACATTTCGGATGCCCATGATTCAGATTAAAGTCCGACTCAGATCATATAAGTCTGATTTAAATGGACCCTTAACTTGAGAGACTTTGTGCTTCTTATTTTTGGTTTTGTGCTATACTCAGTCTGAACTCGAGCCCAAATAGATGATAAAGAAGATAAGATTTTGCTCTAAATGAGCAGATAAGCTTATAAAAAGTAACCCCTGTAGAACCACTTATGTATTTTAACTTGACGAAACTTCTAAGATCACTCACACACAAATCTAATAACTCATGGAACGAGAACATCTGAGACACAGGAAAATGGATGAGCCCAGTTACAGAAAAATCTACAGACAACTGTAGCAAATTTGCTATTCGTTATACTTTTTTTTGCAGAGGCAGATTTTTTATATTATTATTGACTACCTGTAAAATTTCCATAGACAGCAATGAACAAGGTGGTCTATTTTTCCTGGTGGCCATGTAGAAAACAGTGGGAGGTTTCTGCAGAGGAAAAAAGCAGAACATATCTTAGAACTGTTAATGAAGTATCTGTTCTATAGCTGAAATACACGAAATAAAACTACTTGATAGTAGCAAACTTGGTGGCCTTTCAGGTTGGGAAAATGACTGTTGTGGAGGAGACCACACACTTTGCTAAGGAGTAGGTTTGTAACTTGGGCATGTTTCAACTGTTCTTGAATTCTCAGGCAATAGCTGTGGCCTGAAGCGCCTTTGAACAGCTTAGGCTTAACTCAATGCTGGATAGAGAGCAGACTATTGTTGTTCGGTAGGCTGTCTCCGAGGTTTAAACTGCACTGGCATCTCTGTTAAAGATGTAAATTGATATAACAATAAATAAACAGTAGGGAAATGATTCAAATACAGTATAGAATTCTGTAGCAGCATTAAGGGAAATAACAGTGTTTTTATGCTGTCATGCCAACAAAAACAGGAACATTGAAAGGTGAATAATTTCAGTTAATTCTGGTTACATTTCAGCCTTATAGCCCAATTTTAACCACATCTACTTGGAAATAAGGGACGCGGGTGGCACTGTGGGTTAAACCACAGAGCCTAGGACTTGCCGATCAGAAAGTCGGCGGTTCGAATCCCCGCGACAGGGTGAGCTCCCGTTGCTCAGGGGTCCCTTTACATTTACCTTTACTTGGAAATAAGTTTCAATGAGCTCACTAATGCTTATGCTCTTGAAAAGTCTGTCTAGGATAGAACCTCAGCCTTTAGTCTGTCATCCTATGCCTGTGGCAGAACTTATCTTTCTAATATTCATGGGGAGGGAGGGGGAAAAATAACTTATTTTTGCTGATCTAAAGTGCTCTTTGTCTTACGTGTAGTCCTCAGGCCCTCCTGATAGGAATCACGCAGCTTCATTGCTCTGCATTTGTGTTTAAATAATTGTGGTGGAGAAAAATTATCTAAATACAGTGGTACCTTGGTTCTTGAACAGCTTAGCTGTCGAACAAATCAGCTCCCGAACGCCGCAAACCCGGAAGTAAGTGTTCCGGTTTGCGAACATTTTTCGAAAGCCGAACATCCAACGCAGCTTCCGCTTGGAAGCGCCTTGGTTTTCGAACGGTTTCAGAAGTCAAATGGACTCCCAGAATGGATTAAGTCCAAGAACCAAGGTACCACTGTACCTAATTTTCCTCTTTTTATTTTTTCAAGGAAAAATTAGGAATCTCAATTTATTATTTACAGTCAACTTCATGAAAGATTTGCATACTAGCTGATCACTCATTTCTATCTTCTATTGAAGATGCTACACACATTCTCTCTTCTTTCACATCTTGGCTCCTAAACTGTGTCTTTCCCCTTTCTGTCCAAATAGCATTTTATTTGAATGTGCCCAGCACCATCTACTGGGCAATATCATCACAAAGACACATTGCTAGGATACCTGAAAACACTGGTGTGTCCTATAAAATCAGAAACATGAGATAAAATAAGATGACAGCATATACTGAAAATGAGAAAAAACAGATTAAGGTTTCAAACTGCATTTTAATGAGCTTTGCAAAGTTTTAAAACCTGTTTCACATTTGCAGTTTGCAAACAAGTTGTTCCAATGAAAGTATCGCTCCCTTATGATTCCTGCCTCCCAATTCAGGCACCTTAAGTAGAAATAAAAAGTAATCTAAGAGTTGAATTATTTCATTTTACATCTGTCAGTGTTGGCTGACTGCCGTTAAGATTTAAGAATATTTGACAAGCTGTACACCTTAACAGGCATACATTTATTATGGACATTAAGTCTTGAAGCAAAAATAACCCAGCTATATATGAAATATTAAACATCTCAGAAGAATATAGTTTAATGTGCAAGAGAGTTGTTGTTTTTCTCCTTCACCTTCAGGCAGCAGTCATCTATCCAACTGCCAAGCATGGGCTACACACGTTATTAATCGCAGGGTTACAGTCATAATCTAAAGCACTGGTTTTTTTGAGGTAAAAAGTAAGTTACCTTAAAAAGAGACAAGTTGTGCGGTGTTGCTCACATCGTAAGTTGGCAAGAATACATTTAAAATACTGTTAAACGAAATACAAAAATTATATTTAAGGAAGTAACCTTAATTGTGTCATATACCTGCAATAAATATATATATTCTACTAACTTGACTAGTAGAAAACCTATACAACTTGGGACCTAGATACTTGATGGAACACTTTCTCCCACATAGACCTGCCTGTAGGGGACACTCTTCAAGGGGCGACAGATATCTGAAGCTTGTTACGTAGCTGCCCAAGGCAGGACCTACTTGGTGGTGGTGCCCTAATAGGAAAGTCCTCCTCCTGTGAAATAGAATAGGCACCAAATTTTCAGCAGCAGCCAAAAAGACATGCTTGTTTACTCAGGTGTTTGTTGGGGTTTAATGCTGTTTGCTCGTTATTTTACTGGCAGTCAATATTGTGAATAATATTTTCTTTCTTGCGTTTTGTCTTATACAGTGGTACCTTGGGTTAAGTACTTAATTCGTTCTGGAGGTCCGTACTTAACCTGAAACTGTTCTTAACCTGAAGCACCACTTTAGCTAATGGGGCCTCCTGCTGCCGCTGCACCACCGGAGCACGATTTCTGTTCTCATCCTGAAGCAAAGTTCTTAACCCGAGGTACTATTTCTGGGTTAGCGGAGTCTGTAACCTGAAGTGTATGTAACCTGAGGTACCACTGTATGTAGTATTTTAAAGTTATCTAACGCATCCACTGTGAGATTGTTGTTACAATGAAGGGCAGGCAACAAAAATTTTAAATTTTTTTTTTTTATGCGCCCCCTCACCCAGCTTGTCCGGAGTTTTGGGCTGGGTTGCCATCAGTATGCCGATGACACCCAACTCTATCTGTTGATGGATGGCCATCCTGACTCGGCCCCAGACACACTGACCAGATGTCTGGAAGCTGTGGCTGGATGGTTACGTGGAAGCCGGTTGAAGTTAAATCCTTCGAAGACAGAGGTCCTCTGGCTGGGACGGGGCGATATGGGATTGAGGGGGCAACTCCCATCTCTTGCGGGGTGCAATTAGTGCCAGCATCGTCCGTTAAGAGTTTGGGTGTAATCTTCGATACCTCCCTCTCTATGGAGGTGCAGATTACAGCTATAACAAAGGCGGCATTTTTTCATCTCCGCCAAGCTAAGCAGTTGGCTCCTTATCTCTCTCGCCCTGACCTAGCCATTGTGATCCACGCGACGGTCACCTCCAGGCTTGACTATTGTAACTCGCTCTATGTGGGGCTGCCCTTGAGACTGACCCAGAAACTCCAGCGGGTGCAGAATGCCGTGGCGAGACTCCTTATGGGGTCTTCGCTGCGAGATCATATTCATCCGGTACTATACCAGCTGCACTGGCTCCCGGTGGAGTACAGGATCAGGTTTAAGGTGCTGGTTTTAACCTTTAAAGCCCTATACGGCCTAGGACCCTCGTACCTACGGGACCGCCTCTCCTGGTATGTCCCACAGAGAAATTTACGGTCTGCAAATAAAAACATCCTGAAGATCCCAGGCCACAGAGAGGTTAGGCTGGCCTCAACTAGAGCCAGGGCTTTCTCGGCCGCGGCTCCAATCTGGTGGAACGCTCTGTCACAAGAGACTAGGGCCCTGCGGGACCTGACATGTTTCCGCAGGGCCTGCAAGACAGAGCTGTTCCACCAGGCCTTTGGTCAGGGCGCTGCTTGACCCCCTCCTCTGGCAATCTGCACAGAATTTTGCTTAATGGTTGCCATCAATTTGATTTTAATTTGATTTTAATTAATTTTATAATGAATGTTTTTAGAATGTTGGATTATTTTGATTGTTGTTAGCCGCCCTGAGCCCAGCTTCGGCTGGGGAGGGCGGGATATAAATAAAATTTATTATTATTATTATTATTATTATTATTATTATTATTATTATTAAATCAGTGTGCTAAAATAATTTACCATGGTTTTGTTTCCGTATTTTGATAATGATGAACTTGGTTGTGTCAAGGTGGTGTTTTCTTTTGTTTGTTAACATCTTTTGTTGTTAGGCAATCTGGGCCTCCATAGTAATAGGGTAAAGATATAACACGTCTTAATCTATTCAGCATGGATCCCACAGATTGTACACTCCTTCCCTTCCACCTCCCCTGTGTGAATTCAAACTCGCTTCCCTTTTATGCATTAGCTATGGAGTAGCACTGTACAGTGGTACCTCGAGTTACAAATGCCTCAGGTTATAAACGCTTCAGGTTACAAACTCCGCTAACCTGGAAGAGTTACCTCGAGTTGAGAATGTTGCCCCAGGATGAGAAAGGAAATTGTATGCCCGTGGCGCGGCAGCAGCAAGAGGCCCCATTAGCGAAAGTATGCCTCTAGTTAAGAACAGTTTCAGGTTAAGAGCGGACCTCTGGAACGAATTAAGTTCGTAACTAGAGGTACCACTGTATCTGCAGCAGGTTAAATGCAAACTATGGTTAACATATGGTTTTCCCAGTAGTGATGTATGGCAGTGAGAGCTGGACCATAAAGAAGGCTGATCGCCGAAGAAGTGATGCTTTTGAATTATGGTGCTGGAGGAGACTCTTGAGAGTCCCATGGACTGCAAGAAGATCAAACCTATCCATTCTGAAGGAAATCAGCCCTGAGTGCTCACTAGAAGGACAGATCCTGAAGCTGAGGCTCCAATACTTTGGCCACCTCATGAGAAGAGAAGACTCCCTGGAAAAGACCCTGATGTTGGGAAAGATGGAGGGCACAAGGAGAAGGGGACGACAGAGGACGAGATGGTTGGACAGTGTTCTCGAAGCTACCAGCATGAGTTTGACTAAACTGCGGGAGGCAGTGGAAGACAGGAGTGCCTGACGTGCTCTAGTCACGAAGAGTCAGACACAACTAAACAACAGCAGCTAAGCAGAAGCGGGCAGTTGGGAGAGCCAGGGGAGACAGCGCCTTCCTGCAGCAGGGACAGCATCCCCCTGGGGGCCAGCCCCCAAAATACTGCAGTTACAGCCAGAGTGCTGACAAGTGCACCTGGTTAGCGGCAGCTGGCAAAGGAGATGCAGGCACTTGGCAGCAGCTGGGGGAAGGAGGGAGAAAGGCAGGCACAGTGAGCCCCCTGACCATGCTGCCACTACAGCCACAAACCACCTGCACTGGCTGCGCCTGTCTGGGTGCATGCCATCCTGACCCCGGGCTCAGAAGGAGCTTAGCATTAGCCACGGAGCATATGCAATATTGTGGGACACAGGTGGCGCTGTGGGTTAAACCATAGAGCCTAGGGCTTGCCAGTCGGAAGGTCGGCAGTTCAAATCCCCGTGACAGGGTGAGCTCCCGTTGCTCGGTCCCTGCTCCTGACAACCTAGCAGTTCAAAAGCACATCCAAGTGCAAGTAGATAAATAGGTACCGCTCCGGCGGGAAGGTAAACGGCGTTTCCGTGCGCTGCTCTGGTTTGCCAGAAACAGCTTAGTCATGCTGGCCACATGACCCGGAAGCTGTACGCCGGCTCCCTCGGCCAATAAAGCGAGATGAGCGTCGCAACCCCAGAGTCGGCCACGACTGGACATAACGGTCAGGGGTCCCTTTACCTTTACCTTTATATGCAACATTACGTCATGGATAATATAGGGAAGGGAATGGGGGTTTTGCATGGCAGAAAGGTGGAAGGAGAACATTGTGGATCGCTCTCAATCCTTTAATTATGATTAAGATATCAGGAAACAGTATTACTACTTACTGATTATGGACCAGACCAAAAAAGGCAAAGATACAAACAAGCAGCTCTGATTTGATGGCAAAAGTGAAGGCAGCATTTCTCCCTCTGTTAACCTCAGCCACTGAGCCAGGTGATAGGCCTTTGCTTGAGCAAGGCAGAATCTTCACTTTCTAAAATGTGCCATAACTTCTATCAGCAAAAAACCCATAAATAATTAAAGTTAATGCCTGGAAGTTGGCACCAGTTACCAATGTGATGACTCAACCTCTTGTACCTTCATTCACTACAGATTCAGCTACAAAAGCTAGGAGTTATTAAAAATGCATGAAGAAATTCTATAAGTATTAATATTCCACTTCTTTAAATGTTCATTTTGACGTAAGCAGCGTTGGAAGGGGTGATCTTTTTCCAGAAGTCTTTTTCACCTTCCTGACCTGATAACTCTTGTTTCCTCTGAGAAACAAACACTTAACACACATTAGAGGAGCCTCTCACTTTCTAGGGCATGGAATTGCTGAATACTGCTCTCTCGCCTTTTTGTTTGTTTCTGCTGCACACAGTCCCCGCCCCCCGCATACACCAATCAGAGTAAATTTCTGTCAAATGCAGTTCTAATTCCTCCAGCCATTAACAGAAGATTCAATAACAGTGGTACCTCGGGTTAAGTACTTAATTCGTTCTGGAGGTCCGTCCTTAAGCCAAAACTGTTCTTAACCTGAAGCACCACTTTTGCTAATGGAGCCTACCGCTGCCGCCGCGCAGTTTCTGTTGTCATCCTGAAGCAAAGTTCTTAACCTGAAGCACTAAGAGGACCACGGGTGTGGGGGAAAACCCAGGGCTCCCCAGTGTACTGAGTTTTAGTCAGGTAGAGTTAACAATGAAGATTAAAGTTTATTTCAAACACAAACAAGTTTTAAAATATATTCGAAATGCTGTCACACTATTCCCTCTCCGTCTTGTCCCTGTCTCTAACTCACTCTGACTCCTCTATCTCCCCTCCCAAAAGAACCAACCGAACTCATTGTCAAAACCTCTTAAAATCTTAAAATCAGGTAGGCACCGCCTCCGGGCTTTCTTATTGGTCAACCTATTAACCCTTTCTCTCCCCCAATATAAATGTATCCCCAAAGAATGGGCAAACACCACAATGAGAAATACCGTATTTTTCGCCCTATAGGGCGCCCCAGCCCATAGGGCGCACCTAGTTTTTTTTTGGGGGGGGGGGAAATAAAGAAAAAAAATATATTCCCCCCCCAGGAAGCCCGAGCTTCCCCCGACCCCAGCCCCCAGAACAGGCTGCTATCCGCAAGCCTAGGGAGCCTGGCGGGAAGTCACGCCGGGCTCCCAAGGCTTGCGGAGAGCGAGAGGGCTCAGTGCGCACCGACCCCTCTTGCTCTCCAGGCTTCAGCGAAAGCCTGCATTCGCCCCATAGGATGCACACACATTTCCCCTTCATTTTTGGAGGGGGAAAAGTGAGTCCTATAGGGCGAAAAATACGGTATATTTTTCAAAGCTTTTGGCATAATGACTTACAATCGACAGCTGAGAAAGAACACAGAAGACAAAAGTTGGGGAAGCAGAGGCTGAGGTGCAAGGACAATGACAAACTGGCATGTTTGGGATGGAACATAGCAGATAAATGTAAAAAAAGGGAAGGACAAAATACAGACAAGCACAATGGGCTGCCCCTAAACCGAGAGTACTCAAGAGGAGGCTGTTACTGAGGGAGCAATTAATACATTAAAAAGATGAGAGGAGAGTGGGGTGAGCATTGCAGGCACAACTGTAGACAGAGGAAGAGGCTAGAAGAAAGAGGTCGCATCAAATATGAAAAAATTATCTGCTTTGAGAGAAGGCAGGAAACAAACCGACACTCTATAAGAGATGGAGAGCAGACAATTTCCTTTTGGGTGGTACTTCCTTCCTTTGGCACCAGGAGGCACAAAATCCCACTCTGCAGGCATCCCAGTGCCCAACAGAGAAACAGTTCTGACAGGGTGCAGTTTTCAAAGTCATGGCTCTTCTGGCCCTGCCCTGACATTTATTTTCCCAGAAAACTTAACGTGAGTACAGTGGTACCTCGGGTTACAGACGCTTCAGGTTACAGACTCTGCTAACCCAGAAATAGTACCTTGGGTTAAGAACTTTGCTTCAGGATGAGAACAGAAATCGCACGGTGGCGGCACAGTGGCAGCAGGAGGCCCCATTAGCTAACCTCAGGTTAAGAACAGTTTCAGGTTAAGAACGGACCTCCAGAACAATTAAGTTCTTAACCCAAGGTACCACTGTAGTGGCTTTCCAAGCCCCAAATGTTACCTTATCTGTTTCCACAGCTCATGCCACAGGGGGGATTCCTGTGCAAACGCACTGTGTGAATGGTGTAAATGCAGGCAGCTCAACATGACACAAATGTTCCCAGAAGTTTTTGTTCCATTTAATTTTTGCTCCCAGAGATCAATCCTATCTCTCTATCCATTTGAGTTCAATGAGGCTTACTCCCTGGAAAGTAGGTGCAGGATTGCAGCCTTAGGCTTACTAGCATAGTGTTTCTTCGCCGCTACAATTCGCACACAGCGCTTCTGCATGGAAATCATTACAGGAATATATGAACAATATGTGCTAATGGACCCTAAATGTACCCGCGTGCAAGAGAGAAACCACCAGCTTTCGTTTCCAGTACATTTAAGTGCATGTTGGATCCAAACCAGAATGGGATTAGAGACTGAAGGGAAGAAAATCCAACCCTTTGTTTTCCCTGAAAGCTCATTTTCATCTCTTGGAAGTATCTTTCCTCAGTAACAATCATAAAATTATATTGCCGATTCACAATTTGTAACTTGTAGTTAACCACAGGAAGATGTTTATCAGCTTGCAAGGTAATTTTTAGAATGCAGAACACAATTTAATACAAATTCGGCTTAAGTGTTGTATAACTCTCATTTAATTATATTAAACTCGCACAGCTTCCATTCCTGGTGGTTTATGCTGAATGTGTTGACAACTCAAATCAGAACATGAGCTGATATTTTCACAAAGGAAAGTGATATAGGAATAAAGCATCAAAAGTTAAGTGAGACATTGTGTATGTAAACTAATATATTGTCACATCATTTTCCTATGTTTAAACTCCATTATAGAAAACAATGTAAAACTATTCCTGGACTGTACCACTTCAGATCTGCAAGTGTGAGGTCTCTAGTTTTAGTGCTCCTCTCATATTTTACACACAAAACTCTTAGCATGTCGGAGAAGTTAGGTTACATGTCTTTATGACATCTGTTATTCCATGTGCAAGCAACTTTTAAAAGAACGAAACAAAAGGACTGCATTTAATTGTGATTTACCCAGTCTATAGTTTCTAGTGGCAAAGCCCTAAATCAGTTTTACGACACAATGAACTGTCTGTCCCACTTTCACTGAATCAAGCTATTTGGAATCCAGCTGCCATTAGGGCTAATGTGTCAAATCAACGATATACTGTAGGTCTTTTTGTGGGTATGCAAAGTTTGGAGGCGGTAGGGTCACTATGGGCAATTTGCAGTCACATCTTCTAAACATCAAAATTCAAGAGAGGGAGGTTTTTTAGTGGCATGAGAGAAAGAGCTGGAAAAGTATTGTTATTCAACTTGATTGGGGTTTCAGAATAACGAGAAAGAAGCAAAACTACCGTAATTCATTTATTCTGTTAATCATGTTTCTATGATTCCGTACATCCTCCATTTGAGCTCAGCTGGCTTTCCTGGTTCTTTCCAGCTGCTCATTTTATCTCCAGAATAACCCTGCAAGGTAATTAAACTGAGAGGTGGCCCAGTATAGCCTACTGAGAGCTGCATGAATGCAAGGAGCACTATGCTGGATGATTTAATCCGATTCATAGGGAGAAGACATGATAAATCCAGCTTTTACCATTTATCTTTTAAATACAGCAGGCTTTCCAAGTCCACAGGACAGGGATTTTATGAGATGAATCATAAAACATTAGTAAACAATTTTAGTTAAGTGTCTCTAAACAACTCTCCATCCAAGTGTTTTGAAGAATAAACTTCCGGGATCCATCAAGCTCTGATTAATAGACCTCTATAAAACATACATCAACTTAATGTCAATCCAGTCTAATTATTAGATAGCTCTTCCTCATCTTAACAGTCAGCATGGCACGACATGAACTACTTACGCAAGACTTACTTTGAAGCAGGGATGGTCAGAGCTCAGCCCCAGAATCTGTTTCAAAGGCAGGTCTCAGCCAGGGTTTTGAACATGTGAAACAGAGTATTATTATTATTTTGTACCACAGAAAAGCCAAAGCCAGCTCTCAGACAGCTGTGACTATGGAACAGGGTTTCCAGGCACGTAAATACGGTTTCCAAGCAGACTTCTGTCCCATGCCTTTTTAGAAATAAAACACTACACAAGAATGATATTTTCAAGCCAAGTGTTAAGGTGCTTTATCATTAAGATAGTGATTTGAAGACTGGGCCTGCCTCACACCTACAAAGTATCCCTGCTTTTCAAAGACAGTTCTTTATGTTACAGTTCTTTGTATTACAGCAATAATATAATACAAAGCAATATTAAATTGTTAATAGACAATCCATAATTTGTGGGAGAGGCTCAAGTGCATAATGCAACTTTAAAGGTAAAGGTACCCCTGACCGTTAGGTCCAGTCGTGGACAACTTTGGGGTTGCAGCGCTCATCTCGCTCTATAGGCGGAGGGAGCCAGCGTTTGTCCGCAGACAGCTTCCGGGTCATGTGGCCAGCATGACAAAGCCGCTTCTGGTGAACCAGAGCAGCACACAGAAACGCCGTTTACCTTCCCGCCTGAGCAGTACCTATTTATCTACTTGCACTTTGATGTGCTTTCGAACTGCTAGGTTGGCAGGAAATGCAACTTTAGGTGGATGCAATTAAAACAATTAAAGTCTTTGTTACCCTAGTGCAACAAACCCACTTCAAAAATCAAAACAAAAATTCCCCCAGACTTTTTCCAGTTAGGAAAGTGATGGGGAAAGTGGTGGAATGAACAAATGATTAACGGGAACACCCTGCAAGCAAATTATGTTGGATGCAAAATGACTGCTCATTGTTCTAAGCAAATCAGAACAAATGCTCAGCAAAGACCAGAGATAGTCTCCCTATCGCGTAAGCTTTGTGGAAGCAAGTTAAGATGAATACCGAATTAATAGGTCATCTGGAGGAGCCCGGTGGTGTTCTTGTGTGGAATAGAAATGAATTCCTGAAATTCAGACATTGAGGGGGTTGTAAAATGCTGAAGGGTTGTTCTGTCTAAATGATAAATATGTGTCTGTTTTAAAAAGTGTTCCCTCTAGGTCAGGCTTAGACTGTAATTTTGATGAACAGAGTAGCTCTAATCTACACCTAAGTGCCAGGATAGTAAATCATCTTGGGTAATACTGTCAACTTCCTTTAAAAAGCCCATGAATTTTGTTTCTTTGCTGTTCATTTGCACTACTTGCAGTTGTGAAGTGAAAACATTTATAAAGGCCTCCTCCTTCCCCCCAGCCCCAGGAGTTTAGAAGGCTTTTAAAGTACCTTTTTATTTCTTTATTCCATTATTCAATTCCCCTAAGTAGGCATATTCCTATAGAGTTTAAGCTTCAGTCTCTTGCAATATAAAACAAGAGGAATGAAGGCACTGCTGAGTCTAAAATATTAATAATACATAAAGGTTAGTGGAGCTAAACGTTCCTATAGGTGACTGGCAAACACTCTCCCTTTCTCGGAAGAAGATAACCTGCTAAAATCTAATTATTCAAGGGAGATATATTTCATAATGCAATAAATAAAGAACATATAGTGCACACAAGCCTTCATCTACTGTTGCTGCCGGACCGTCTCAGTTTGTTTCTAAGTGGTGATTAGAAGCGAATACCACACAAGTTCCACTAAAATTTAAGGATGGATGTGTAACATGCTTGGAGGATTCTACCGACGAACACAAAATTCCAGTAGCATTCTTCTACGCCATTCCTCTGCTACAGACTTTGCATCAGACCTCTTACACCTTTTTTGCTAAAATGAGAATTTCTGTTTTAACACTTGCATTGCTACCATCATGAACTATATCTCTCACAAAGTTCATTTAATAAAATACGTTTTACCCTTCTCTCATTTTTAAAAACAAAAAAGGACTCTTAATAGACTTTTTTTTTAACAGGTGCATGACAGTTTCAAAGTTAAAATACGAATGATTAGTATATCCTTCCCAGATTACTAGCAATTTCAAAGTGAGGTGCAGCTTAATCCTTATTTATTTGGAAGTATTATTTATATTGTATTCTTTATGTTCATCAGGCCTTACCTGAAGGTAAGGAGCAAGGTTGCAGTATTAATTGTTAATGCATTGTTTTTCTTCCCAGAACTTAATAAGCCAGGAAAATCAAGCAAGTTCTCATTCTTAAAATATTTGGAAAAGGTAATTCTCATTTCTGTTTTTCACTTCAAGCAACTGGAATTTGTGGTTATATAGCACCTTGCTGATACTTAAGTGAAAAGGAGGGGGAAAGGCTGGCAATGATCTCCTTATTTGGAAAATTTGACGTTACCTTGTGTACATAGGAGGTTAGGAAGATAATGCAATAAATGTGCATAATACTCTATTACTCACGCAGCAATGTGTTTCCATAAAACACATTACAGTGGTACCTCGGGTTAAGTACTTAATTCATTCTGGAGGTCCGTTCTTAACCTGGAACTGTTCTTAACCTGAAGCACCACTTTAGCTAATGGGGCCTCCCACTGCCGCCGCGCTGCTGCTGTGCAATTTCTGTTCTCATCCTGAAGCAAAGTTCTTAGCCCGAGGTACTATATCTGGGTTAGCGGAGTCTGTAACCTGAAGTGTATGTAACCTGAAGCGTATGTAACCCGAGGTACCACTGTACATTCTTTCATGAGTGGAAAAAATCCTGTAACATTCCTTGTGTCCATTAAAAAAACCAGAACCTGATAATTCTGTCCCTTTTCCTATCCCTGTTACTGCTTTAAAATCTTATGAATGTCCATTCAGAAGTCAGTCCCAAAGTGTTCAATGAAGCTTGCCCTATGGACAGTGTGCACAGGATTGCAATCTGGACATAATATTAATAACGTTATATGGCAGCTATTAAAGGCGTGTTACCTGTTACGTCCTACTACAATTAATACTACTCATTCCTCCTTCGCCAGAAAAATGAAGAGTACAATGGGGAGGGTGTAGATGAAGAGAATGGCAGATGCTTCTACATAAGATATCAGTACCCACAAATCACAGATTCATGACTTAAATACCTAGCTTGAGTCAGCCATTCATATCGCCAAGAGAGATTTCTCACCTATTTTGCTCATGAAACTGAGTGTATAATGTGCCCAAGACCCAGCAGTAAAAAAACTGCTCTTGTAAAAACAAGCAAGAACTTCGACATTAGAGTTCTTCATATGACAAATTGTAATTCACCTGCCAATACAGATTAGATCATATGGTTTTCTTCAGTACAGTATCATAAGCAGATGATGGGTGACAACATGCTGAAGAGAATTTCTATAGTGTCATCCTACACATCTTTACTTTGAAGGAAGTCCTGTTTAATTTGATTTGGTTCCCATTTAATCTGAGGCTCTTGTATATGCCACAAAGGTTAAAATTGTTTTCTTGGCCTATAACTCAATCAGTTTAAAATACATTTCTCCACCAGCTGTTGAAGAACCATCAGCACAGGCCAACTCTGCAAAATAGAACTTGTTTGCGACTGAAAATAAGGTGGCATTTTGATAGCCGGTGCTAAGGCAAGACTGAAGTGTGTTTATCCTCATGTGCACGATTATCGTTTGAATCTATGTGATGTTAGCTGACCTGCATTTTCTGCTAATGATAGATGCTCCTGTGCCAATTATGTATTTTTCTTTTGTTCACCCCCATATTTATATCCGCTGTCATGAGAATGCAAGGCTGCCCTGTCTATTGCTATTTGAAACCGTGCTGTGGCATATGATGGAAACAAATATTCATAACTGGAACAATTTAACAATGGATTTACTCCTAGTAAGGACTGCTCTAGAACAGCAACAACAGAAGATGGCTATAGAAGGGGTGACACTTGGGACAACCATTAAGCCACTTCTTTGAACGCAAAATGAGAGGGAACTTCTCATATCCTGATTGGGGTTGTGCCTGCCAAACAAGAAGTGGAGCTATTCGCCTGTCTAGAACCATTTTTCAAGCAAATCACTTGCAGAGATGGGCAGGCCAAAAGAAGTACAAGAATCCCAGTTTGTTGCTTCTGCCTGCATCTTCCTGACTGGCTCAGTCCTTGTAGGGACAACTGTTTATATATTGTTCTTTATCTAGTTTTGTGATGTCACATCTTGCTAGTTTGTCTGGCATTCGACTCATCACTGGCAAATTTTAATACAACAATATTGTGAAGTTTATTTAAAGCCTTTTACAGGAAAAATCAGTTCGTTTCACTGTAAGTCAAAATAAATGCATGTGCCGTTTGAATGGGGTGATTTGTGTACATACCTCCTTGTCAATCACAGCAAGTTCTGAATCAGATTTACATATAACTGAAGCAGGGCGTCTTGTATTAGTCAACAGGCAGGTTTCCTTTGGGGAATAAAAAGAGTTTCAAGTTTATCTTCATGTAGGATCGCACAGAAGTATGTGCAAGAGTTTACTACCAGAATTACAGTATATTAGAATATAGAAGTAGCTACAAACAATACCTCTGACACCCAACTGAGAAAACATCTAGAAAACACATGAGTAGAGAGGTAATTGTTATTTAAAACATGTAATTAGAATTATCAGAAAAAGAAAATATCACTGAAGAGCTTCTCTTTCATATCTCTACACTGAAAAGCAGCCTTTCCCACAAATTGTTTGACAATACACGGACGGCAATAGTTACCCCTATAAAATTTCCCTCTTCAATTTCATATAATGTTTCAGGGGTTAAAATCGTTGCATCATCTATAATGATTTTCAGTTTGCCAGACAACACTAAATAGCATTCCGTTGCTACATGTCCTTGACGGATAATAATTGTCCCAGCTTCATACCTGTTTTGAAAATATAACAACATCAACAGAAATTACTGCAGGTAAAATAAAGGCATGTGTGTGCAGCTTTTAGTAGTTTGGTGACCAAAACGAAAACCTTCATTAAGGCGTGAATATCATTTTAAAAAATATTTATTATCCTATGAGTGGATCTTCCTAACCACAGAACCATCTTAGAGTGCAAGTAAAAGAATAAAAAATATTAGCCTTCTCACTAATGAAGAATCCAATGACCACTTACTGTTGGTATATCATTGATTTTAATAAGACTTCTACTGGTAGGCGTTTTTATATCAGCCAAATGAAGAAGTAAATTAGTGTGGGACATTTTCAGGCAGGAGACTGTGTGTGTGTGTGTGTGTGTGTGTGTGTGTGTATCAATCAGACCACTTATAGGGCCACTTACAGACCCCTGGAAGCCTGCATAAACCTCACTGACACTATCCATAGGCTGCTCCCACAACACCAGCATCTACATCACTACTGGTGGTAGTAGTGACTATATTGGTTAAGAACTAAAATCAACAGGCAGTGCTCATATAAAATTGCTCTGGCTCCAGTACAAATTTGTAACACAGTTCTGCACCAGCAACTTGCTGTTCAGAATTCAGAGTTACTATTCTTTCTTTCTTTGGCGATCACTCATATCCAAGTAAGATTGTCTTCCATGAACATGGTCTTAACAGTGTGTCTGTAAGTGACTGTAGAGGCCAATTATGGATCCACACATCCTTCCACAGTGGGGACATAGGTTTCCAGGCGGGAGTTGGTCATGGTGAGGGTTTGCCAAACGTGCCTTCCTCTTAGCATGTTTCTCCCTTGCATCCTGAGTCTGTACCTCTTCAAAGTTCCTGATGCCCTTGGTAGAGGCTATTCTCCAACTAGAGCACTCGCAGGCCAGTTTCCCAATTATCTGTGCTTATACTGCATTTTTTAAGATTTGCTTTGAGAGAGTCCTTAAACCTCTTTTGTTATCCACCAACCTTTTAGCTTTCCATTCTTAAGTTGGGAATAGAGTAGTTGCTTTGGAAGACGATAATCAGGCATCCAAACCACATGACCGGTCCAATGAAGTTGACGTTGAAGATTCATTCGTTCGACACTGGTGATCTTTGCTTCTTCCAGTACACTGACATTAGCTCAGAGTTGCTATTAACTGTACATAAAAATCCTCAAGCATAATTCAGTCCTACTTTTTCCTTCGCTGTAATGGACTTTCAGTTCGGCCTGAGTCACTCTAGAACCTGATAAAGTGTTCCCAGACCCTCTTCCCATATGCTTGGTAGGTACCGGAAATGGAGAATTCAGAAATTTTAACAAGTCCCATCCTCTCTTTCTGACTGACCCTCCTTGTTCCTGACTGAATCCTGGAAATAATTAGTAACCCATTTATGCAATTTAGGAAATGGCTTAAAATAGCACCCCTGAAATTTCCTGGATATGTGAATATATACAAGTCACTTCCAGTTGCTGAGTCTTGTTTACAAAGGCACGGCTACAAGAATGGCAGAGGCAGTTTTACTACTTTGTAAACGATTTTAAGTGTGTACAGTTACGCAGTGCGGTGCAGATTGAATTAAAAAGATACACCTTTGGAGAGAACTTATTTGGTAGTGTTTGCAGGTTTGCAAGACTTTTCAAATAATGCATGTTTCTTTAAAAAATAAATGAGTGACGAACAGATAAACATATATGGAATGGGCTTTTCTTTTTTTAGAGAAGGCAGACTATCTGAATACGAGTGACAAGACTGATCAGAGATTTGTGCCATGGATATGCGTGCCTATCATGCAAATTACAAAGCTAGGCTCACAGCACAGGTGCAGAGCCTGCCATGGCTTGTATCCTTAAGTAACATCTGTCTTCACCCCAACATTTTTCTGTGTATAAAATGAGGATTATTATTTCCCTTGTTCAATTAAGTGTGGCGAGAATTAAAAAGCATGATTCATATTTTACACAGTAAGGGCTGTAAAACGTGCAATTTTAATGCAGCTTTGTAAATTATTCTGTGAGAGCAGCAGTTCCTATTAACTAAATTGGGTTTTGCTTTATTTTGTCTTAGTCACCAAAGGTCCAGAAGCTCTCCATTAGAAGGCTCCTTGTTGAAATCATAGAATACCAGAGAAGAATTATGTAGCTTCCACTTGTCAATATTTTGTTTTAACAGGGCAGGGCATTTCTGAAGTATGATAAATATTTAATCAAAAGGATTTCAGCCTTGTTGAAAAATGTTCACCTTCTGACCCAGCTTTCTGAAGGAAGCTTATGGAATGGATCCCATCCTCAATACACAGGTAGCGCCCAGGCTTCTTACTTACTCTTGGTAGATGAAAGCTTGGCACAGTTGGAGTTGTGTTTCGCTAGGCAAGCACTGAAAGGCTCTGTTTGTCTTCAAACATGCTTGTATCTGGAAGAAGAGAATATTTTATACTTAAAAGCTGGGCTCGTGGATGCCGCTGTATTAACTGTGTGCTGCTCATGCAACACTAGAAGCTTTCTGTCTTGAAGACCGTGGCTCAATTTATGGGATAACCAACCTCATATAACCAACATGCTTAAGTCTACTTAATACATGAAGGGGTTAACACCATAGAGTAAGCTGTCTTGCCAGGCTTAGCTAACTCACTCCCACCCAGCTTGGGAGGAACTAGGTAATCAGGCCTATTATTCTTTCCCAGCCTACATGAGAAACGTAATGTATAAAGAGGACTGAGTTGGTTGCTCCAAGCTGAGACAACATAGTTCTTACAAGCCACTCTTGAATTCCTAGAACAATAATTTACAAACTTCCACCACTGTAACTAAGCCAAGTTTTATTGCCTGTGCAACTTTTTCTGAATGCTGTATGGAAAAGCACCTGAATCTGAGCTTTGGAGAGTATGTAAATAAACCATTTTTAACTTCCCTAATAGGGAATTTTGGAAGGTCATATTTTAAGGTCTAACAACCTATATTTCCACATTTTAGTTTGCTGACTATTTTGTGATTTTAAATCTTTGCTGGGGTTCTCTCATCAAAGAGCACTTGCCCCAAACTTGGATCTTGGCATCCAGGAATTCTCCTTTTTATATTTTGTTTTTTTCCTTGCAGCAGGCACAATTCAGGCATGAACTACACTTTGGCATTTCAAGAATGAGCCACAAAGAGCATTTGGCTTACACTTCCATCTCTTCATTTAGACATGAGGGAGGTGTTTTATTTTGTTCTCATAGAGCCCACAGGGCGAGGCAGGTCAGTTATTGCAGCACCAAAGAGAGCTTCCTGTGAACAACTTGCTGCAGCAAGCACTGGAAGTGAATTGTGGCCTTTTGAGCCTCTGATTACAGTCCACTCTGTTTCAGAGAGCTAGAGACAAGAGCCAGCCTTCTGTCCCAGAGATGGGCACTTTTTCTGCGCTCCAACTACTGCATTCCCTGTGCTATCATACTGGGAGGAACTTGGTTCCTCAAAGCCTGAAGGAAGCTGCTGATGAGTGTACTGGTTCTAGTTCTTTCAGTCCTACTGCTGTGGGGTATAGTTCAGTGTTCTGCCAGCCAGCTCAGGTTTAAAAGGTAAAGGGACCCCTGACCATTAGGTCCAGTCGTGGCCGACTCGGGGGTTGCGGCACTCATCTCGCTTTATTGGCCGAGGGAGCCGGCATACAGCTTCCAGGTCATGTGGCCAGCATGATTAAGCCGCTTCTGGTGAACCAGAGCAGCGCACGGAAACGCCGTTTACCTTCCCGCCAAAGCGGTACCTATTTATCTACTTCCACTTTGACGTGCTTTCGAACTGCTAGGTTGGCAGGAGCAGGGACCGAGCAACGGGAGCTCACCCCGTCGCGGGGATTCAAACCGCCGACCTTCTGATCGGCAAGTCCTAGGCTCTGTGGTTTAACCCACAGCTAATCACCAACATAAACTGTGCTCAGCTGGTAGCGCTATAATCTCTGACTCAGTGTCCTGGTCATTACTGGACTCTGCAGTCCACCATCATGTAAGTTACACCTGCTGAAATTATCTTTTCTATACAGCTGTTAAAGACCCTATCTGCCCACAGTACTGTCCCAAATGGTAGTATTCTCTTTTATCTTTGAATCACACTATTTATCCTCACAGCATTTATGTAGAATAAAGGAATATCGGGTACTTCCATTGACAGAGGGGACGCTGAGGCAGAATTATAGAATATGCAAACACATGAAATTTAAATGAGCTGAATGAGCAGATTTGTCCCCCAGAAGAGCTGTCAAATCCTTAATTGCACAGCACACCAAAATCACTGGTTTTAATGTGGCAAGGACCAGTCGTATGTACAGTGATCCCGTTATCATTCAAACCCATGTCACTGCTCATTTATTTCTGCCTGCCAAAATCTTTTCAATAACACGGCTTCCAATTTACTGAGATTCTACTTTCATGTGCCAAAACAGCTGTCCATGCCCCCCCCCACCTCAGTCTGCCTGGCTAAATATGCCGGACTTGTTTTTCACATCTCCTTTTTCTATAGACCATAGGCTACTAACACCTTTTCAATACACTTCCCCTTAACTATAATTTATAACATTCTCTCCAACTCTGTGCTACAAGATTGTTATTGGAAAGGGGTAAGAAGCTGGCGTTGAGTCACTTAGTAAAGCCATTAGTGTCATCCCCTAAAATATAATTTCTGAACTCCAGAGATTGCCTAATAATTTGTGGGGTATGGTAGGGCTCACATTTCCTTCTTTCATTAAAGCTTCAAGGAATATCACAATGTGATAAGCAAAAGAAGATCACTTAGTATGCATCTAACTGTTAGAATTCCTGCTCCATGTTTGCAGTCATGGGATTTTTGTCTTTCACATGACGGTACAACCAGGCAGAACCCAAGGTTAAAATCTGTCCAGCCTTGCAACTAATTACTCAAAGGGTGGCAACTTACCCTGTTCTGGTTGCAAGCCACTCTATCCCTCTTCTCACTTCTGCTTGCCTCCTGGACCTGGGAGCAGGGTTAGCCCTCCCATGAGGCATGGTGGGGCAACAGGGGCAGCAGATCCAGCCTCCAAGGAACACATCCCATGTAGATCTTCACTCCCCACACACCCTGTTCCTAATGAAGAGCTTCATTCCCTCCCTTCTACCCTGATGGGGGCATGGCTCTTTGTAGTTTGCCCCATGTGCCAAACTGTCTTGTGCTGGCCCTGCCTGGGAGATTGCAGGGTGGAAAGGAAGTGGCAGTGGGCAACTGGTTTACAAGAGTGGCTGGGGAAACCCAGCCAGATGGGCAGGGTATTAATAATAAATTTATTATTATTATTATTATACAATTTTAGAAAAAATCTAAATACAGTGGTACCTCGGGTTACATACGCTTCAGGTTACGGACTCCGCTAACCCAGAAATAGTGCTTCAGGTTAAGAACTTTGCTTCAGGATGAGAACAGAAATCGTGCTCTGGCAGCGTGGCAGCAGCAGGAGGCCCCATTAGCTAAAGTGGTGCTTCAGCTTAAGAACAGTTTCAGGTTAAGAACGGACCTTCGGAACGAATTAAGTACTTAACCCGAGGTACCACTGTAACTGCATTAGCAACTATCAGTTGATGTATGGTTTGTTTTGTTATTACTGATAAAGGAACGCCCAACTATTTATATAAAACATGTTTAATGAGTCAAAGAAATACATATCTGGCATAGGATCTGATGCAAAAAGACATCATAGGTTGCTGATTGCTGCCTTAATAAACAAAGCAACACTTTGTTATGCAACTTTAAGAGGTAGAAAGTTTTGTCAATATTTGTCAGATGCCTTGCAATGAGACTTGCGTTTACAAAAAAGCTTTTTATATTGAAACGCTTAAACAAAAAAAAATCTATGAGCTCTAAAAGCCTGTTTATTTTACAGATAGCTAACAAAATGTTTCTTTATACATTAGTATGTGACAGGTGATTGTGCAGCTTGCTTATGGAGGAAGAGCTAAAACTATAACTTCCCCATAGAACCCCTTAGAGGATGGAGAGAAGAAAGATGCCCACCACTTATTAAATTTGAACCCTGCTTTTTACATCTCTAATCTATATTAGACAAACAGTGGAGACTCTCTGATAGAAACAGAAATAACTAAAGGCTGCTTTTGACTAAAGACTATCTCTTACCTTTCTCAAGAGGACTATGTTTTCCAGTGTCTCTAACATAAGTATGTGGCCAAAGTGGTTCTCTGTCATGACATACTACTTTGGAAGCTGGTCCTGCAGGATGCTGATTTTAGGTCCGCATTCCAAAGCACATTTATATAGATGTAAGATTTTGATAGAGACATCACCTTGCCAACAAAGGTCCATATAGTTAAAGCTATGGTTTTCCCAGTAGTGATGTATGGAAGTGAGAGCTGGACCATAAAGAAGGCTGATCGCCAAAGAATTGATGCTTTTGAATTATGGTGCTGGAGGAGACTCTTGAGAGTCCCATGGACTGCAAGAAGATCAAACCTATCCATTCTTAAGGAAATCAGCCCTGAGTGCTCACTGGAAGGACAGATCCTGAAGCTGAGGCTCCAATACTTTGGCCACCTCATGAGAAGAGAAGACTCCCTGGAAAAGACCCTGATGTTGGGGAAGATTGAGGGCACAAGGAGAAGGAGACGACAGAGGACGAGATGGTTGGACAGTGTTCTCGAAGCTACCAGCATGAATTTGACCAAACTGCGGGAGGCAGTGGAAGACAGGAGTGCCTGGCATGCTCTGGTCCATGGGGTCACGAAGAGTCGGACACAACTAAACGACTAAACAACAAAGGTTTTGATCCCACTGGCTATACAGTGGTACCTTTGTTCCTGAATGGCTTGGCTTCCATACAAATCGGCTCCTGAATGCTGCAGACCCAGAAGTTAGTGTTCCAGTTTTCGAATGTTTTTCTGAAGCCAAATGTCTGGTGCGGCTTCCAATTGAGTGCAGGAAGCTCCTGTAGCCAATCAGAAGCTGTGCCTTGGTTTTCGAATCTAGAGTTGAACGGACTACCAGAACGGAGTAAGTTCGAGAACCAAGGTACCACTGTATTATTATCTTTAATTTACAAAATGGTTGTCAGCTTCCAACTACTTAACCAATTCCTGCTCCTGTAATTGGTTTACCACTGCCAGGATGTACCGTATGTGTTATCATCTGCTATTGGGTGGGGGAACTATTTGTTCTTTTAACATTGACAGAACTTTTGTTAAAACGTCAGCTACCTATTTGGGGATTTGGGGGCAAAATGAGAGAGAACTTTTTTTAAAAAAATGTATAAATAAGTATTGTAAACAAAATGCAGTACTGTGGCTAAATAGTTACACAAAAGCAATAATTACTTACAAATATAAGATGATAAATTCAGCACATGCCTTTCCATATTAATGCTTCAAATATTTTATTTATTCATTTATTATTTGCATTTTCAGCCTGTCATTCAACTAAAATATCACAAAATAACGTGCAATTAAAATAATACCACAAAAATGACTAATATCAATATTATCATATGATGACAATACATAGTATTTCTTCTCTCTTACCTTTAGAATGTCTTCCTGCCTTCTTTGGTTTGGACAAATATGTAACAGACGCTTAAGCTTTTCAAAACCTTTCTTTGGCTACACAAAGAAAATGCACACATTATACAATAGCCTTTTCATTGACTGTAGCTTAGCTATTCCCTAGTTACTTATACACACAGTATAAAGGCATTCATTCCAGTCATGGGTATCTCTTTCAACTCTATATTTGTATTGGTTTGACTGTTTTCTAAAAATGGGTTACAACATACTTTAGGGACATAATTCTTCAAGAACGCATTCCACATATATAATAGACCTCTGCATATCTTAGAAGTAAAACCCACTGAATTTAACAAAGATCATACCCAAACAAGCATCCCCAGAACCAAAGCCTGCTGTGAAAGATTTGTGAAACACTTTTGAGAGCAAAATTGCTCTGTCTATAGCAAACATGATCCCACAATTAGCCTAGACCCCTTGGAGATCCTGAGAGCACCATCCAGTTTCAGCCTATGGGATCATGTCTTTTTAAAAACTATTGTTCTTGGAGCATTCTTGCTCTCTAAGAGAGATTTGTTTTGTTTTTGTTAGCTTGGCAGGGGTGCTCCCCATGAGTCTAAGGTGTGCTTGGTGGATGTGCTCAGCTCTCCACAAGTAAAGAAAGACTCAAGTCTCCTTTGGTGAGAAATGAGGAGACAATGTTTGTATTGTTCCAGGTGAGTGGTGGGGTAGAAATGAGTCATTATACACACACACACACACACACACACACACACACACACAAAAACACACTCCCTTATTGGATTGTTCTTCAGTGGACCTATTTGCATATACATGATGATTGGTTGCTAAATACTCAGGGTTTTATTGAAGTGAAAACTGATTGGGTGGACTGATGTGGTGGGTGCAAAAAAAAAGTGGTGGTTGAGTGACTGGGTATGATAGCATGGTTCCTGAATTTCTGGTTGTATTACATGTTAGGGCCTTTCAGTAATATCTATTATTATTTTTTGATAAATACAAATTATGTTGCATTTTGATGTATTTGGATATTTACGAGTTGCTTTTATGGGGTTGTTTTTGTACCTTATTTTGATTTAATTGTGTTGCTTAAAATGTTTTTAATAAAAAAATAGATATAAATCATTTAAAGATTTATTTTCAATATAGAACAGCATAGAAGTTAAATAAAAATAAATCATACACATAAAATAACAATAAATAGCAGATTAATATAATAGTAGCATATACAGTAACTAGAATGGAGGAGGTGCAAGTGGATTGCAAAGCCCAAGTAAATAAAAACAGGTTTTAACAAGAGCCAGAAACATAACACTTATGCTGTGGCAAATGGAGCTGGAAGTTCTTTTTGCTCATGTAATGGGCTCTCTGGGTCCAACTCATTGTTTACTAGAAACACATCCAATTTTAGGTTTCGCCCTACATTATTCTAATCACTCTGTTCCCAAATAAAAACTTGATGTCCTTAACTTCTCCCAGTAATGAACTTAGTCCTGACATTAATAACATCAAAATAGAGCAAATCTGTAACTCTTTGGACTTAAGAGAAGGATAGAAATTTTCTGAATAAATTTTCTGAATAAATTTTGCTCATCAAAACAACATTTTCCACTTTTTAAAAAAACAAAAATGTTAACAGAATTACACCTCATCTGTTAATGTTCATTATAAAAGTGCTATATTAATAGTGTCAAATCATTTGATTTGCTCTGCCAGAAAAATAAGTGCTTTGGATGGGGTATGCCAGCCAGCAATAGGCAATGGGCATGACATTACAAAATATTATGTTCCGTGCAAATGCTTACAACTGAGAAACGATCCCCTAAATAGCACTTGGCACCATTACTTCCACTTTGCAGGTAGGGAAATAAGGCTGAGTTTATGATCTGACACTTGGGTCAGTCAATGGCAGAAACTAGAATGGAGTTTTTCTGGGTATGTATCCAACATTCAGGGTAATTAATCATGCTGACTTCAAACCTAGAGATGCACTTGAATTTATCATTTATACCCCACTCTTCAGGCTGGGTTTCCCCAGCCACTCTGGGCGGCTCCCAACAGAACACTAAAAACAGAATAAAACTTCAAACATTAAAAACTTCCCTAAACAGGGCACTGCAGTTCATTGTATTTCCCCCTCCCCCAACAACACACAGTGTAGAAATAATTTAATTTGAACATTATTTAAATCTAACAGAATTCTTCATATAGAAATAAACTTGTATGAGTATAAAATGTAGCCCATTTGCACCCCAGATTGTATTCCATAATCAGCTCTGAAATGCCCCAGTAATAACAGCACCAGATAGAGAGAAGACATTTCAGGTTTTCCAAGCAATTAACATATATATATGATCTAAGTACTCCTTACAAGAGTATTGAAGCACAGGACAGTATTACTGTACAGTACTATCCTCGTATTATAAATGGATGGCAGACTGATTATGGCTAGCAGGCAAGAGACACAGCAACCAGGCTTTTAGAGATTTAAGGATTCATGAAACATAAAAAAAATACTCACAAATTGTTTTTTAGAATAATCACTGACATTGAACAAGAAGTCACTTTTGAAGTTCATCTGCCTCTCCAGGTAAAATGTTGCCCATTGCACTGCCTGACTCCTTTCAATATATCTGCACAAGAAAAAAAAAGTGTGGCATTGGCTATTCTGGAGTAAAGAGCTTACACAATATTTATCTATTTTTATTCGTATTTAGCTCTTTCTCAAAAGACATTGTGGTTTGCCTGTCAGTATACTTTTCTTTTTTTAAAAAAAAATAAATTCTAATTATTGAGAGCAGCAAAAATTTCCCAGTGTTAATCAAGATAAATAAATGGTACATACAACAGCTATAATAAGGTGAAGATAAAGCAATACTTAAATAAGGCAGATACAAAGATACAGGGCTCATGTGCTAACTTGGTAAATTATAAGGAAGTTATTTAAACCATAGAGAAAAAGCGTACAATTGAATCATCTTTTGAATATTCTGAAACACCTGTATTTAATTAGTAATTTGAATGTTTCATTGCGAATTTTTGTAACTGCTTAGAGGTTTCTAACAATCAAGCATTATATAAATTTTGTTAAATAAACAAAAAAAAATTATACTTGTATATTCTTGCTTGTTGTTAGCCTTCCCCGCCCCCCTGGCAAGAGGCTTCACCCTCCTTGCATATTGGTAAAATTGCCAGAATAAGTATGTTTTACTGTCAGTTCTGTAAACACCGAATTCTTCTAACTAAAACCAACTATTGAGCTGATTTCAGTCTACAGAGTGTTCAAACTTTAAAACTTTCAATTTAACAGATTATTTTCAACTGGCATTTTGTTAGTCCATCTTATTCAGAAAAAAAGGCAGTGTGTGAAACACTTGTTCATTATTCTTGCATCTCAGTAATTTGTACATTAAACAAACAAACAAACTTTGACAGTACAGTGGTACCTTGGTTGTCAAACGGCTTGGCTCCCAAACAAATTGGCTCCCGAGTGCCGCAAACCCGCAAGTGAGTGTTCTGGTTTGCAAACGTTTTTTGGAAATCGAATGTCCGACGCAGCTTACGCAGCTTTCGATTGAGTGCAGGAAGCTCCTGCAGCCAATTGGAAGCCATGCCTTGGTTTTTGAACAGTTCAGCAAAGCACTGATGAACCAGTGTCAATGCACAGCCAGGGTGTAGTAGTAACAAAGCAGTAGCATGCAAGCTTCACACTGTTTTGGGGTCCCATAAGAACTCCTTTGACATCCAGGCTGCAATTCCCTGGGAAGAACTACCAGTTGTAGAAACAAGGAGCAGAGGAAGGCTGGGGTCAGGCAAGCATCCCTGAATATTTGTTAAAAGAGCAATCAGACTGCATTCCTCTGTGCAATTGCTTTAGAATAAGCATTGGTGAACTCAGCAGGATCTTCTTTTGAGTTAAACAAGCATAGAATTTCACTACCTGTAATTAGAGACTACCGGTAATTTAATATGGTAGGGAACAAACTTCTGCAGGCAGCAATGCACGTGACATTTAAGCCGAGGTACATTTTTCCAAGTTACCAAGGTGAGAGCTCAAGATAATGGGAACGCAAACAAACAAACAAAACAGCACATACTGAAAGCTGTATTTTTAAATGTTTTTATTAAGATTTTCCTGGGTAATAACAGAATGTACAGAGTCTCTGCTTTCAAGTCATTGAATTAGTCAAACAAAACAGTCATATTCGAGGTAAGACATCGTTATAGGAAATATGAGGCTATCGGAAAAGAGACATGGGAAAAGAGGGGTGGAAAGGGGAAGACAGTGAAATTGCATTCTTGTCTTCTTCTTCTTTGGCGATCACTCGTAGCCAAGTAAGATTGTCTTCCATAAACACGGTTTTAACAATGAGTCCGTAAGTGACTGCGGAGGCCAATTCTGGATTCACACGTCCTTCCACAGTGGGGACATTGGTTTCCGGGTGGGAGTTGATCACGGTGTGGATTTGCCAAGCGTGCCTTCCTCCTAGTACGTTTCTTCCTTGCGTCCTGAGTTCGAGTGTCTTCAAAGCCCATGACACCTTTGGTAAAGGCTGTTCTTCAACTGAAGCGCTCGCAGGCCAGTGTTTCCCAGTTTCATGTGCAAAGCTTTTTGTGTCAGCATTATGTAGACAGATATTTTATTCTGCTGATGCTGTGAGAGTCTGGAGGGTGCTGGGTGTGACAGGTTGCATGTGTTTTGTTTGTATGTGTGTTGTTGGGTCAAATTAAGCATATCAATTTGTATGCTGTTGCAGGGGATAGGTCTTGCTAGCTTGCAAATGTATTTGAATGCAATTCATTATTACTTTCTGGGTTCAGATACGCCTCCTTCCACTCAGCCCAATAGCAGCCATCCCAGAGATGGTGATGGAACGGATGGAGTTGGACTGGATGACCCTCAGGATTCCCTCCAACTCTGTGACTTATTTCTTACTTCCTGGGTTTATTCGCAATGCAATCCATGCCTACTCAGAAGAAAGCCTTAACATGGTGGCAGCGTAAAGATGCACCCCTAAACGCACTTTGCTGACTCTCAAAGTCCCACTGAACCTAGTGAGGCTTGCTTCCAAGTAAACATTAGGCTGAACACTTCCCAAAGTGAGAAGACTGCCTAGATGCAGCTTCACCATCCACCCAAATGTATGAGATCTGTGTGTTTATTTAATAATTTGGAGGGTGGGAAGTTTTCCACAGCCATTCCAGGGAGTCAGCTCTCTGAAATCTAGCTCTAAATCAACGAGTCAGGAGTTCTAGATCTTTTGACCTAACTTGTTTATTAACTAAAAGAGTCGTGCAAACGCCTCTCTTTAGCCGTGGCTCCCGTGGGGCGGAAAGAAAGGCGCGCGCGCGTATGTGCAATAGTCCCAGGGCATGCACAGAGCGCACAACTATCCCCCCCCCCATTGGCCAAGGTTCTGAAACAACTGGCCTCCCGCCTCCTCAGCATGCGGGTCTTAAGGGGAGACGGAGTGGAGCCGGCCGAGGGCGAGTTACCTTTTCCTGTTCAGCAGCAGCCCGCAGAGATGGGCGGCGGCGGCGGCTGCTCGGCGGAACCGTCGGCGTCCCGGCGCCTCTCCCTGGCGAGGAAGCGCAAAGGAGGCGGGCGCGGGAGAGCGATCCTCATCTGGGGAGAGAGGGTTTGCCTCTCGCTGCGAGGCGGCCATGGCTCCGTCTCCAACACTTCGTGGGGAGGAGCAGCCTCGGGCTCATTCCTGTGGCAACACGAAGGCGGGACAGGGAAGCCTTGGGCATGTTTTTCGCCCTAGGCGCACGGGCGGGAACGGGAACACGCCCTGGGGCGCGGAAACCTCGCGCAACGCGGAGAGGGAAAGAATCTTTACAACAGCCGGTGTTCTCCTTCCTTCCTCTGGACAGGCTCCGTGTCTTAAAACAGCTGCGCGTAGCAGAACTTCAACAGGTGGAGGGGCTTCCCCTTACACCGCATTTGCGTGCGAGGAGAAGCTGCACCAGTTGAACTTCTGCCTGCCGCCAAGTGACTCTGTTAGGCCAGTTCAGAGTTTAGGACTTGCCAATCAGAAGGTCGGCAATTCGAATCCCCGCGACGGGGTGAGCTCCTGTTGCTCGGTCCCTGCTCCTGCCAACCTAGCAGTTCGAAAGCACGTCAAAGTGCAAGTAGATAAATAGGTACCGCTCTGGCAGGAAGGTAATTGACGTTTCCATGCGCTGCTCTGGTTCGCCAGAAGTGGCTTAATCATGCTGGCCACATGACCCGGAAGCTGTCTGTGGACAAACACCGGCTCCCTCGGCCTATAGAGCCAGATGAGCGTGCAACCTCAGAGTCGGTCACGACTGGACCTAATGGTCCGGGGTTCCTTTACCTTTACCCTTAAGAGAGATGACCCCCCTTGTTGCTTCTTCCACCTTCTGGGAAATGACACTGTCAGCAAGCCACTGATGATCATCTTCCAAAGCAATTACTCTATTCCAAACTTAAAAACGGTAAGCATAATGCTGGTGGTCAGCAAAAGAGGTTCAAAGACTCTCTCAAGGCAAATTTTAAAAAATGTAGTATAGACACCTACAATTGGGAAACACTGGCCGGCAAGCCCTCCAATTGAAGAACAGCCTTTCCCAAAGGTGTCATGGGTTTTGAAGACACTCAAACTCAGGACACAAGGGAGAAACGTGCTAAGAGGTAGGCACGCCTGGCAAACCCTCACTATGACCAACTCCTGCCTGGAAACCTATGTCCCCACTGTAGAAGGATGTGTGGATCCAGAATTGGCCTCCACAGTTATTTATGGACTCACTTTTAAAACCGTGTTTATGGAAGACAATCTTACTTGGCTATGAGTGCTCGCCAAAAAGAAGAGAGAGGCATTTGTTGCACTTTGCATTCTTGGCAGAGTTTGGATTCCAGCAGATATCAGGGTAGCTGAAGTCTCCCATGACTATTATGTCTCTCTCTCCTTTTTTGAACCTTTGATAATCTGCTTTAGGAAGGCATTATCCAAGTCCTCTTGGAAGTCTATAGCAGAAACCCACATTAAGGTCACGGTTGTGTCCCTCTCCTACAATCTTTTTACCAATATACTCTCAATCTACCTTCCATGCTCCAAGTCATCCTTAAACACAAATTCTTTATAAAATTCTATACCGAGCATTCAGGAAACTGCTGTGAAAATACACCTTTCACACATGGTTGCTTGCAGTTCAATAGTACAGTACTCATGTTTATGCACAGGTGAGGGCGATATAAAAGTGTATGGAGAAGAAGCATAATTCAATTACAAAGCTGAGGTGGTCATCAGAAGTAAGACCAGCTGAGGGCCAAACTACACATGATGCATGAAATGGCAGCCCAAAGGCTATAAAGGTAAAGGGACCCCTGACCAATAGGTCCAGTCGTGGCCGACTCTGGGGTTGCAGCCCTCATCTTGCTTTATTGGCCGAGGGAGCCGGCATACAGCTTCCGGGTCATGTGGCCAGCATGACTAAGCCACTTCTGGCGAACCAGAGCAGCGCACGGAAACGCCGTTTACCTTCCCGCCAGAGTGGTACCTATTTATCTACATGCACTTTGACATGTTTTCAAACTGCTAGGTTGGCAGGAGCAGGGACCGAGCAACAGGAGCTCACCCCGTTGCAGGGATTCGAACCGCCAACCTTCTAATTGGGAAGTCCTAGGCTCTGTGTTTTAACCCACAGCGCCACCTGCATCCCTTTGGCTTGAAAAGCCACTTTAGGAGATAATTGATTTGTCAGGTGAGGAAAGGATTGGCACCCCCTCCCCACTAATGTTTCCCCCCTCTCAGTGACTTCCTCCTGAAGCAGATTTTCAAAATAAAATGGGTCATCACGTTGATGTTTCATTAGTTTTATCTATTTGAACATGAGTGCAATGGTACTTACGCCTTACTCCGATTGTTCTATTTGTGTAACATAGAAAGCGGATGAGAGATCATTTTAAATGGAAGGCACATTCTACCTAGTAAATACTCCATGCAGCAGAGAAAATGCAAAACTGATTTAAATATCATTTGTGAAAATGGCTTAAATGTGCTGTTAATAGCCTCCCTGGAGGAGTGGGGGAGTTAGAAAAGAGAAAGCAATTCTGCTAATGAGCAAGGAGATGAATTAAAGATATTATTTAAAATCAATAGTGTTTACAGATGCTCTTTCCACTCAGGTCGTCAGCTGAGGGTAGCTTGCCAGTCTAGCACATTTTGAGCACACACACCCCCCCAATGGGGCTAATCCCTCTGAAAAACAGGAGATATGTTGTGTTGAACCCATCAGGCAAAATATAGAGCTTAGAGCAGGGGTCGGCAAGGCTTACTGGGCATGGGCTGGATCACTCCCACAGAGATCCTCTGTGGGCCAGACCGGCGCAGCGCAACGCCAGAAATCATGTCTGCACATGTCTATTGTGCCAGAAATCACTTCTGCACGTGCCCAAACGCCGAAAAGCGCTTCTGCGCAGGTGCAATTTTTGGCACCTGGTCATGTGCAGAAGCGATTTCCGGAGCTGCGGAAGAGAGTCCCAGTGCTGTGCTGTGCCAATTTAGCGCAGCACGTGGGGACTCAACGAGCGGACGGCTTGGTTCAGGAGCGGCTTATGGGCCGGTTAAGTGACCCCCCCCATGGGTCACTTTCGGCCCATCGGCCTTAGGTTGCCGACTTCTGGCTTAGAGCCATGGTTCTCAACATGAAGCACACGCCCCACAAGGGGGGCAATTTGATTTTTAAGGAGGCATTTTGGAAGCTTGTTTAGACCAAGTTAATGGCCTTTTAGGCTTCCTCCACATGAATAGGAGTTCACTTTTTGAATAATTAGAATTATATGTCATGGGGGGGGCGGATCAGCATTTTAGAGATGCTTAGGTGGGACATGGCAAAAAAAAAAAAGGCTGGGAACAACTGGCTTAGAGAGAAATGAAGCAGGGGGAAGTCATTAAGACTACAGAGAATTGAATGATTTCAAAAATATTTGTGGAAGGAATTAGCTTTGGGAAAGGGCGAACAAAATGTTTCATAAACGAAATGTTTTGCAACATTTGTATAGCATTGGGACAAAACTCTAGCATGGAAAGGGTTACATGAGAAAAACCAGCTTTCCAGAATTACTATAACCCGGATGGTGGATTCTTTTTCCCCCGGTGTCCTGAGAGTGAAGATCTGGATTTAGTGCTGAAGCCCTTTCTGAACTGGCAGGTGGTTTCAGAGCCAGAACTGTCTGGCTTCCCTTCATTTCTGAAGCGATGCACGTAGACTTGTGGCAAAAGTTAAGTGTTCGGGAACAGCAGCGGCACTGCAGATGAGGGCGGGCGAAGAGATGTAGCTCCTGCTCCTGTCTCTTCTTTCGCCAGTGGTAATATCCTTAATGGAAGATCATCTCAATCAATACCTCCAGGCAGCTGTTAACTGACTGGGATAATGGAATCAAAATGAGTTAGTGCGAATGGGGCTTCCTCGCTGCTCTGGTATTAAAGATGCCTCTGCCCTGTGAGAGTCAGGGGGCTGCTGAGACCCACAGAAGACAATCTCTCTTCACATCAGCAAACTATGTCAGAGAAGAGGAGCCTCTTTTGCTGGGCAGGACTCTGAATGGGGCCGCTGGTCTTCTGGCCAACAAGCTGGGAGCTGTGGCCTGATTGCCGTGTGACACTGAACTCAGGTCCTAACTCCTGGAGGGACTCTAGAAGGAAGAAGGAGAAGAGGTGTGGAAACAAAACATCTGCCTGGGTCGCTCGTGATCAAAGCCAAGGCAATGTCATCGTTGGTGAAAGAGGACCTCAACAAGAAGCTGTTCAAATCCCTTGGGCAAAGGTTGTATGAGTTCATTGAAGTTGAGTGTTCGGGCAAGGATCGCTTCTACCTCTGTGCTTCAGGTAAATAGGAAAGGGCCTAACATGGTCCAGGCTACAGCTATCCAACCTGGTGTAGGGACTAAGAGTGTGAGTTGGGAGCCAGAAATTTCTGATTCAAAGCTCTCCTTAGTCATGAACTAATGTGGCGCCTTGTAGAGAAACCACAGTTCTCTCAGCCTCAGTCTATCTGCAGCAGAAAGGTAATATAACGGACGGATATAATGTGTGTGGGATGCTTTGAAAAAATCCAACACAAATGTTAAATATTTATATTTGACAGGGGATCTCCTGGCTGCAATTTCATGCCATTTCCAATAAACCTGATGTATTCTGATTAATGGTATTTATTTCCAAGTAAGGCAGCAGTCTTAAGCACATCTGCTTGGAATTATGAAATCAATGAAATTTTCTTCAAAGCAAATGTGACGGGGATTGGACTTTGAAAGTGTTTAGAGTTAAGAGGCTGGTGCTTCCCACAAGTCCAAGAAAAAGAATAGTAATCTAGTTTTGCAGTAAATTTTAATGCATGGTTACTCGGAATTCAGTTGTACTCCTACTCCTAAATAGGGGGTTTTAGCTGATAGCTTGAATTTGTTTGTAAATGCTTATTTACATCTCACTGTGTCAGCTGTAGGCAGACTGCATTTAATACTGTACCAGCGAAATGGCATCTTCCTTTGCAATCTGCAGTACTAAGCCTATTTCCCATTAGATGTAATTCTTACTGCATTCATTTTCAAGCCAATGTGCTCAGGATTGACTTATCTTAATTGTTTGTTGCCATCTCCCTGCACGCTTCAAGTTGGCCCAACTCATAACAGTGTTTACGGGTTCCCTATGTCTTCCAGTAATTGAGAAATGTGTGACGCTAGAAGATATTGTAAGTTTGTGGGTTTTGTTTGCATTGTAGTTCTGGTAGCCATTGTTGAGGATTTGTTAGTTTTCCCTTCTTATATAAGTACAACTACAAATTGTTTAGATATTTGTCGCACTGCTTTGAGCCTTGATACTAGGTGTTTTTGCAATGCAATAATTTATCACCACAAATCATCGCCAATAGAGCTATTTTGGAAGTTTAACAGAGATGCTAATCAGAAGTTTGTATGTGTGTAAAATTTCCTACAAAACCCTAGGAAAAGATTGTCCTCTTTTGTTCCCAATATGATAATATAAGCACCTGTAACATGAAGCAAATAATTTTGTAGTTGGAGTACTTTCAAAGATTTTTTCAACGAATTGAAAGACTTTAATATCCTTGTTTATCTTCTGCTTATATTTATCACCTAAATGTATGGTCAATGTGCTCTGTTATCACCCATGTTGGGGGCGAGGTATGCCACTAATATGAAGATCTGCTGTTTGCATTGTTTCATGCTGCTAAATATTTCCAAATGCAAGACCTCAAGAGAATGCAGAGGGACGGGTTTTCTTCTGAAATAGTGGGGGAGCAACATTTTTGTAATCAATAGGACTGTACAAAAGGGGGTGAAGAAATCGTTTTTGTCCAGAATATTAGGAAAGAAAAAGCAGGGACACCATTAAAGGTCACCACCTCAGATTCAGTGAACGTTAAAGCACAGAATCAGAATGGGTGGTGAATTAATGGATTGGAGGACAGAATGCCTCTGGGACAAAACTTGCTTCCTTATCTGTATAGCCGAAGATATGAAATTACTGGTCATGAGAGATTCTTTTCCTAGAAGACACATTTGCTCTTGCTAGCCTCCTTCAAGCTGCCCATTTGCAGGTGCCATCTGTAAAACCTCCCTCAAAACTGTTAGAATTCCTGCTCCATGACTGCAGTCATGGGATTTTTGTCTATCACATGATGGTATATGTTTTGACTCCACAGTGTGGGAAGTGAGGGAGACAGGATGTTTGTGTTACTGTGTTCTGTGAAGTGGGACTATTGTCCTTTGTTCATTCTCTTTGCTGTCTGATGCTAGAGAGAGAGAGGGAGCCATGTTGCAGTGCTCTGTGTGTGTTTATATGTAAATAAACTTAGCCAAAATGCTGAGTTGCTGAGGTCTGTTACACAAGCTGTGAAGACTCTGCGGATCCCCAAGTGTGGCGATGTCTGTTGGCATTGGTCACTGTGATGTTCGGGCAGAAGAAAGTTTCTGAAGCTCCCGAATGAAAGACCAGGAGGGAGAGAACATGCCAGTTGGGCATGTGTCTCTGCCAGGGTCCTACTCGAGTATAGGATGAGCTCCTGACAACAACAACATCCTTCAGTATCTGCATTTTTCTCACTTAACATCCAGTGGGTGTTTGCTTCACTGCTGGGCAAAAATTAACATAGACCAAACCAAGAGTCAGTAAGTCACTATGGAGTTTCAGAATCTACTGCTGCCTCTGACATTCATTTTGATATTCACAGTCCTCACTTTGCTTTACCCAGAGCTTCACCCTGACAGTCACAAGAGGCAGCTCTAGGGGAGCGCAACTGTTGGAGTCACACCAGGCACAGAGCTTGTGGGGCGCCACAACAGGCGCCACCACTCTTACGTCCAATGGTAGGCGAGAGGCAGTGGGCACCAAATTTTGGCACTGCACAAGGTGCCACTGAAATTTGAGACACCGAGGTCTGCCAATGCACCCACATTCCTATTAACTTTAAAGGCAACTTGGTTCCAATCAATTTGCTTGACAACTGGGTTGTGCAAAGGAAAAACTATGTACAGTGGTACCTCAGGTTAAGAACTTAATTTATTCTGGAGGTCCGTTCTTAACCTGAAACTGTTCTTAACCTGAGGTACCACTTTAGCTAATGGGGCCTCCTGCTGCCGCTGTGCCGCCACCGTGCGATTTCTGTTCTCATCCTGAAGCAAAGTTCTTAACCTGAGGTACTATTTCTGGGTTAGTGGAGTTTGTAACCTGAAATGTCTGTAACCTGAAGCGTTTGTAACCCGAGGTACCACTGTAATTGTCTTCCAAAAATTGTTTTAAAAGGAAAGGCTATATTTAGCAAAGCAGTGGCCAGTTTCCAAAGCAGCAAACTAGCTGCATACAAAGGGATTTGGAATGGTGCTTCTCAGGCGGCAGTCTTTCATGACACATGGCAAAAAACTTTTGTAAGTGAACATTTTCCAAAAGCAGTTTATGATACGGTATAGAAGTCTGGTCTTCTGAACAGGAAATGTCAAAAAATAAAAAATCCATGAGGCCTGCCCAATCCTTTGTATGTATTTAAAATAGCTCTTAGGTTTCAGTCAATGTATTCAGGATCATGGTTCAAAGTGACAGATCTAGCTGTACTCAGAAATAAACCGCACTGGAATTAATAGGATTAAATTCAAAGTAAGTATGCTGAGGATTACCTGTGGATATTCATAGCACTTTTATATATTAAAAAGTATATTAAGAGTTGGGCTTTTAAACTTGCACGCATGTTGCATCATGCAAATCACACAAAGTGCATCAGTTACAGAGTGCATATGCATACACCATTCTTTATACACTTGTCAGAAGGCTGAGTCAGTGTGTGAGGTAAACCACAACAAACACACTCCATTTCCAGGTCTTCATTGGGCATATGGCATCTTCCATCATTCAGCACCGTGGACAGCTTCACTGAAACTAAGCAAAACTTGGAAGTCCCAAGCGTGCAAAGTGAAGCATTTGCATATGTATCCTAGGCTTTGCAGATACTGTACTCCAAGCAAGATACCATAGTCCTGGCCTTGAGCCAGTTGGTTAGAGGAGGTAGCAATCTGGTGTGAGTGTGAAAGAAAAATGGAGCTGTTTGCTTCCTTCCCACTGCTTGGTAAAGTGAAGGGAGGATGAGCAACCTGAGCAGTATAGAGGTGAAGAGAAAATGGTCTGGGTCTGGGGTGGAGAGCATCTTTCACAGGATATCAAACATGGCAGTGATAAGCACTGTGTTTTCCCATATGGGCTTTTCCCTGCAAGCACCTATTTCCTAACCCTTTCCCCCACAAACTTTAGGAAAGTTTTTTTTATGTTTGATGTTTTATTGTGCTTTTAATTCTGTTGGGAGCCACCCTGAGTGGCTGGAGAAACCCAGCCAGATGGGTGCGGTATAAATAATAAAATTATTATTAATAATAATATTAATATAGTAGCATGTAAAGAGGTGAAATCACTGGCTCTGAAGCAGCTGCCAGATTTAGGTAAATTAGTGGATGCAACATGAATGCAACATCAGTGTGAGAGAATCTAAGAGTGGACAAATGCACAAAACACTGGAGGAAGTGTGAACTTTACCGTCACAATCTTATATTAATATATCAATAACATTGTACGTCCATTAGCCAGCCTGTACAGGATGTTTCTGTGCCATTGAAGTGTTTGTATATTGAGGTGACAATCTTAGTCACATTTACTTGTAAGTTCCATTTGGAACTTGCTTCCAAATAAGGATACTTATTGCACAAGATAAAATATGCCTGCTAAATGTATCCAAACTTAACAAATTTCAGTCACTCTTGCGTCCTATTCATTAATTGAAATCATATAGTGTTTCTAAAAGTCACAGAGAATTAATTTTCAGATAAGTGCAGAAATGTATCATCTGTGCAAACGTCTTCTTTTGTTTTTGTCTTGCAGTAACAAAAGGCGAAGAAGTACAAATAACTATGGTGAAACACTTTAGGATAGGCCTTGATGAGAATTATGAAATATCTGAAAAATGGTTTCTTGACGATTTGGAGATGATTGATGGGAAAGAAGCTGATACTGTAAGGACTGCGTTTTATTATAAGGCATCATTGTACTGCAGTTTGTGATGTAATTTTTGGAATGAAACGCTAACGCAAGAAGTTATTATGTTAAAATTGCATCATGAGATTTCAGGCTGAATATTTTGTAGCATATCCATACTATGATTGCTCCACATAAAGCTTTGCTTGCCAAAACCACTAAGCAGTCTCTTTCAGTTCTATGAACCTTATCCAATTAGCAGCAACAACAAAAAGAACCCTTTGAGTTTCAGGGCTTTCCATGTTCTCTCAAGCTCCAAAATGTGGAGAAATTACAGTCTTATTTAAGCAGTATTGATATAGTATGTTATCTTATGGTCAGTTTTAGCACTGCCACTATCTTGGAGCTCAAATTATGGAAATTCATTCACGCAACATATTAAACCAAACTTTTTGTTAATTGAATACAAACATTTTGAATCAAGAAGGAAGAACTATCCTCAGTAATAGGAAATTACACAGCATCTAGAAAGGCAGGAATTCACATGCAATTTACATTATTACTTTTAATTGGTTAATTTATTGAGCAAAAGGAAGTTGGAAATAAAAGTTGGCAATTTCTTTCCTCACCAGGGTTTCCACCCCATGTCTCTCAAATCTGCTCCCTGCTTCTTTTCACCTTTAGGTGCTAAACCTCTTGGCCTAACTGAACTTTAAATACTTTAAGGCAGAGGTTTTCGACCTTTTTGAGTCCACTGCTCCCTTAACCAACTACAGTCTTTCTGCAACACCCCTGTGGGGCTCAGGAGCCCAGTTATGTCACCCCTTGCCTGCAGAGCTGGCAGCCTCTCATCCTTTTTCAAATACCCACCTTTGTGGAGTGTTCCCTCAGGCTCCTCTCCTCTCCCCTCTCTTTGGGAGTTGTCTGAGCAACAGTTCAGTCTCTGAGCTGTCTTCCTGCCCCAAAGAGAGTTTCCTTCTCACACTGAGCCACAGAGGCCTGGGAAGCACCCCAAAGCCAGCCCCAGAGGCACAATTTGCCTGGAGAGCTTGTAGCTAGGGCTGCTGCAACAAACAGCTGCACAACCCTTTGGGAGGCAGAGGTGTGAGGGGGCATCAGAGGAGGGAGGGAAGGAAAGAGGGACAAAGGACAGTGGTGCCCGTGGCATCCCCGAGCACCATTCAAGGCACCCCAGGGTGCCATGGCACACTGGTTGTAAGCCACTGCTTTAAGACTTAGGCCTGATTTGTCAAAGAGAGTGAAAGAGAGACACAGAGAGGAAAGTACTCTTGCTCTTATGTGATTCTATTTCAATTACATACACCATTTCAAAATTTCAGAAATATTAATTTTTAATAGCAACGAACATATCTGAAGCAAATTATAACTATTCAAATATTTCTATTTCATCAAAATTTCTGCTAACTGGTAGAAGGATTCCCTCCCCACCCCCAACAACAGCAGCAAAAAGAACTGGCACAAGTTGTACAAATTAGAACTGCCCAAGAGTTTGGGAAATATTTCCAAAATCTATCTTGGGTCAATAAATGTTTTTTTTATCCACAATAACATGCCCAAGCTACAAGGCAATTGAGTGCAGTGCAATAAGGATTTAGACACTATCATACAAGTAATAATTTTTCTCTTTTTATTTCTTTCTTTTCAGGATAATCCGTGGTTTGATATGCATTTCAAGAAAGTCTATAGTTGGGAAGCTTATAGCTGTGCATCTAAATACGCCTTTGCGCGGACATTAAATAAACTGAACGAGATGTACCTCCAGAAGGACTTGAAGATAGTCAACTTTGATTTTACCTACATAAATGATGGTTCACTCTGGTCATCTAACAATGGGGATGACTGCTTAGTACTTATGAGAATCTGCTTCTATGCATCCAACCTTTTGTGTCTGTCTCTGTGCCCTCTGCCTGTCTGACTATTATCACTCTCTCCGGATTTGGATACAATTTCAAAATAAGGTTTTTAAATAGTTCAATTCCGTACTGTCAGGGTTTCGATTTTTCATAAACGGTTACAATTTTTTATATAAATTGTTCATCTCAAAGAGAGAGTCTTGACAATATATGTATGTGCTTAAATATCTATTTCCAACCACTTATTTCACCAAATTGAAACACATATTCAGGCTGCGTTCCTGTAATCACGTACCCCATTGGACTCCATTGTGTTTCCTCCGAATAGACATGTATAAGATTGCAATATAGCTACAGCTACACAAAACTGTATGTTAGTTTTATACCGGTCTAACTGGCCTGGCTTCTCCCAAAGAAACCTGGGAACTGTAGTCTGGCATGTGTTGGTGCTTTAGGGGGCAAGGAGTTGTGTCCCGTCCCTTTGTTACTGTGCATGCAATAAACTGCAGTGGGCAGGAGCGGCAAAGACAAGTCGTGTTATGCATTTTTATAAGATGGTTTTCCATTTCTGCCACCTCTGATCTTTAGCAGCCTTAGAACACAAAGCAAACAAACATGCACATTCCTACAATAAAGGTAAAGGGACCCCTGACCGTTAGGTCCAGTCGTGGACAACTCTGGGGTTGCGGCACTCATCTCGCTTTACTGGCCAAGGGAGCTGGTGTACAGCTTCTGGGTCATGTGGCCAGCATGACTAAGCCGCTTCTGGCGAACCAGAGCAGCGCACGGAAACACCGTTTACCTTCCTGCCGGAGCGGTACCTATTTATCTACTTGCACTTTGATGTGCTTTCAAACTGCTAGGTTGGCAGGAGCAGGGACCGAGCAACGGGAGCTCACCCCGTCGCGGGGATTTGAACCGCCGACCTTCTGATTGGCAAGCCCTAGGCTCTGTGGTTTAACCCACAGTATCACCTGCCTATGCAATTTGTGCCCGCCAAGCCAAGATGGAACAGGCTCTTGCTGCCTATAAAGAGAACAAACAATGTGGCTTGTCCTGCACTTCTCAGACTCGAAGCAGAGCTAGTGAACAATGTTCAGCTCTGCAGGTCACAAGTTGTGTGTGCTTTGACTACAACAAAAATGAATAAATAAATAATCAGAAGAGTTGCACAGCATGCGCTGGGAATCATGCAGTTCCATTTGGATTGCAACTAGTCATGAGCAGTGGGTATAAGTCTGGATTTATATAATGATTATACATGTTTAAAGCACATAGCTTCCCCAAAGAATCATGGGAACTGTAGTTTGAGAAGAGTACTGGGAATTGCATGTCTGTTAAAGGAAAACTACAGTTTCCAGTATTCTTTGGACGGAAGCCATGCACTTTAAATGTGTCCTGAATGTGCTTTGTGGGGTGGGAATGGGAATGTGGGGTGATACTGAGCTACATAGAGTCAGTGGTCTAACTTGATAGATGGCAGCTTACTTTATTTAAAAAGCAAAACAAAACTTTTAAGTTTTACATGTGAAAACAGCCTGCAGCAGATACATATTGCTATCAGTTTTATACTTAACATGCATATGGAAGCACTGGTGGCTGCAGGAGGAAGTTCCTTTAGTAACACTCTAATGAAACAACAAAAATCGAACTGTAAATACTCCCTGCCATTCTTTCTTAAGAAATGAACAAATAATTGATACTTTCAACAGACTTGTTTGGTATCCTTGGAACTGATATGTAACTACATATTTGTTACGTTCAACTATTTTTGCTCTTGCTTGGCTCTTCTTTATATGTGTAACTGGATTCAAATGAAAATACAGTGTATACTTAAAATACCACTGCTATGAATGTGGCTATCATATATGCATTGCTGCACACTCTGTTGTGAAAGTGAGCTGATTTAAACCTTTATGATACCTCATTCACATTCTCGGGGCACAATAGCTCAGGAATTCTTAAGTCATTACAACTATGGAATTTTTAAAGCATTATCTTTTTAATTGGTTTGATTCAGGATCAACAAACATGAATGGCCTGTACTTTAAAATACAACCCCTCCCCCCCAAAAAAAATAATTATGAGCCAGCTTACACTTGCTTCTGACCACTTCAATAGAGCTTTGGTTTGCAGAGGTGCCACTTGCATCAACTGGAATGTCCTTGTGATGCGTAGTTCTTGTAGCACCCCTTTACAACCCTGATTTTGGAGAAGCCATTTCACACAAATGGCACCTTTGCATTAGCGCAAACCAGCCACTCCTCAGGGAGAAGGGATTTGTCGATTACATTTCTATCCCACCTTTCCTCCAGGGAGTTTAAGGCATTGCACATGGTTTCCAACCCCCCCCCCTTTCATCTTCACAACCCTGTGATATGATGACTGGTTCAAAGTCACCAGTGGGGGATTTGAACCTGGATTTCTTCAGCTGTGGTCTGATGCTCTAACCACTGCACTGCAGTGATTATCTGACTCAATGGCAGATCTGGGGTTTGACTTGCGTGAAACGCTGAGGTCATCACACATTTCCAAGATGCTTACATCAGGGCTGCCGGAAAATCTAAACTGGCCCTAAATTTCGTGCCGAGACAAAACAAGAGGAGGGAAGAAAAGACAGAAGTAAGGGTTAGTTTCCAGTACTTCAATTATAAAGTAAGAATCACACACACAGTTTGTGGGAAATTGTTGAAGTGGCATTGTTAAGAAAGGACATTACTACACTTGCCTCCTTCCCAAAGCTGGGAAAGCATTAACTAGGTATTGTGATGGAGGTGAGAGGACTCTAGGGCCTTGTCAGAGCCCCCAAACCTCTTTCCCAAAGTCCAGCACCTTGCTTACCAGCTTTGGAAAGGCAGTGCGAAGGCTGGGGGAACATCAGATGTTGCTGAGGGCCACCAAAAACGGCCACGAGGGCCGCATGCAGCCCTCCGGCCACACGTCGGACCACCCTGCTGTAAATCAAGCATATTTGCAGAATGGTGGGGTGCACAGAAGGATTTCCTAGTTTGGTTTGACTGGACAGCTGGTTTCAAATTTGAAGGGTCTGATGCTTCAGTGACTGAAACTGTGTGCTTGGTTCTGTACACCCGTAATACCTACCCAGCCTGCTACATTTGTAAATAAACAGATTATTACAAAAGATGCAGTAAGTCTCCCGTGTTCTCTCCATTGAAGAAAACTGGTCCTGCAATGAATACTCTTGCATGACTACTGTCCTGGCTGGAGGGTGGCATATTTTTGAAAGCTGATTGCTTGCTGGAGGTCGGCAGTGATCAGTTTATTAAGCTGCTTGATTTTCTGAAGAGCTAAGTCAGTGAAACAAGACAGAACATAGCTAAAGTGCAAATGGCGGAAAACATGGAATAAATCTGACTGAATGCAAACCACAGTCGACCTTGTCTAGGTCAGCATTGGCGGGACCACCATCCTATTATTATTTTTCTTCGCCACCATCACTGCATCCACCCAGTACTGAGAAGCCTTTAACCGCCTGCCCTCAGGAGGAGCGGATGGGGACCCAGGTACACAGGTGCTCTGGACTAAGTAGCACGCAATGCATTTACTCCAACAAATATCCAGAGTCCTTTCTCCTCCCAACATTGATTATATGCCATGGGCTTTCGCCACGCCCCTTTGCCCGCGATGGGAGGAGCGAAGGAAAGAGAACGCTAAATAGCCCCGCCCTCTTGCCCCAATCAACGCCCATCTCCACCCTTTTTTGGTCCTGCGCCTCCCGTTTGCATCTTTCACTCTCACAGAGATAGAAAAGTATAGAATGACCCATGCAATTATGTGCATGGAGAGTTTCCGGGACTTGCATTGGAAGCTATGTCAAAATCCACACCCACCCACCCACCCACCCACCCATGACAGCTGTCTATTAAAATCTCCACCATAGAATTGTAGCGTTGGAAGGGACCCTGAGAACCAACCCCCTGCAATGCAAGAGGTATGTAGTTGTGTACAGGAATCGAGCCTGCAATCTTGCCATGATCAGCACCAAGCTCTAACTGAGTTATCTACGTAAATTGGGGGGGGGGGATTTAGCCTTTTGTTCTAAGTGCGATTGGGATCCCCAAACAATTCCGGGGCAAATTCCTTTTTTCTTTTCTTTTCGCTTTCAAGTATGGCATATATTCAGTCAGTTAGTTTCTTCTTGTGTGTACACTTGTTATACAGTATATCCCCCCACAAAAAGTACATAATTATATGTGCACTAAACATGGTGAGACGTAAATAAAAGAGAGAAACAAAAACAGAACCCGTGTAGAAGGGAAAATAAAGGGGGAGAAGAAAAAACCCCAAACTGTATACTTTACAAAGTTGTTACTGATCTTAACCTATTACAGTTTATGTAGGAATGGATTCCAAAGATAATTGAATTTGCCCTTTTTCTAAGCCTGCTTTCATTCGAAGTTAGCATAAGCGCGCAAGTTCTGAAACACTGAAAGGAGCAAGAAAGGAAATACAGCTGCTCAGAACGGTTCGTTTCCCCCCCTTCGTGTCACTCTTAATTTTTCGACATCTATGGTTATCACACTCCTTCCGTCACGTGTTACGGTCCTTACTCCGTGTACTTCCGGTTCTTTTCGGTGACAGGAGTGGGAAAGGCGAGTGGGGAGGCAGGGAGGCGGCAGCAGCAGCGTTTCCTCGGAGCCTGACAGCGGTCGCCGGCTTTAGAGGAGCAGCTTCGGGAAAGGGCTTTTCTCCCCAGCCCAGGCTGCGGGGTAAGAGGGGTCTCTCTGCATGGGGGTGCATATAGGGTGGTCGTGGGGGCTCCGCGGGCAGGTCCCCCCACCCGCCCCTCCGGTGCTCCTCGCCGTGGCCCCTTCGCCTCACCCCCTTTACTCAGCCCACCCCATAGGCCTGCTGTCGAAGCGCCCCTCTTCTTCGGAAGGGGGTCCCGAATCCCTCACCGGGAAGCCGCCCACGCCTGCATTGGCTTCCCTCTCCAGGCGGCCGCATCCTAGTGCGACCACCTTTGTGGTTGGGGGGCGAGGTTTGTATGTTTGTTCTGTTGCTGAAGCGGCTTCAAAGCAATCCTTTAAAAAAAATTATTTGGTTTTTCAAATTAAAATTTCACAGAGATAAACATAAATAGTTAAAAACAAGATTCCAAGGACTTAGTCTATCACTTAGGTAGGGATGCGGGTGGCGCTGTGGGTTAAACCACAGAGCCTAGGACTTGCCGATCAGAATCCCCACGATGGAGTGAGCTCCCATTGCTCAGTCCCTGCTCCTGCCGACCTAGCAATTCGAAAGTACACCAGTGCGAGTAGATAAATAGGTACCGCTCCGGCGGAAAGGTAAACGGTGTTTCCGTGTGCTGCTCTGGTTCACCAGAAGCGGCTTAGTCATGTACGCTGTACACCAGCTCTCTTGGCCAATAAAGCAAGATGAGCGCCGCAATCTCAGAGTCAGCCATGACGGGACCTAATGGTCAGGGGTCCCTTTACCTTTACCTAGACTATGGGTAGGCAAACTAATGCCCGGGGGTCGGATCCGGCCCAGTCGCCTTCTAAATCCTGCCTGTGGACAGTCCAGAAAGCAGAGTAGAATGTGTCCTTTTATTTAAAATGCATCTCTGGGTTATTTGTGGGGCCTGCCTGGTGTTTTTACATGAGTATAATGTGCCCTTTTATTTAAAACGCATCTCTGGGTCATTTGTGAGGTATAGGAATTTGTTCATCCCCCCCCCAAAAAAAAATATAGTCCGGCCCCCCACAAGGTCTGAGGGACAGTGGACCAGCCCCCTGCTGACAAAGTTTGCTGACAGCTGACATAGACTAAGTGGTAGATACTTGATGGGGTGGCGGGAAGTAGCTAGAAACTCAAGAAGAACCTATTGTGATGTGATGTAACAAATATTACCATTTTCTTTTCTTTCTTTTGGATAACCCTTTTTTGTTACTTCTTTTTAAGCTCAGTAAAGCATTAAAAAAAAACCCCACAAGATTCCAAGAAGCTTCCATCCTCCCCTTTGTGGGTCCTATTATTATCAACCATTTCCTCCCGTATCTTTTATGATGATCCAAATCTTTTCCGTCTCCATTGTGTCCAGAATTCACCCTTAACCTACAAGTGATATTTCAATCCTACTAATGATTTTAACTGTTTACAATGGTCTTTAAGATAAGATATAATTTCCCCCCATTCCTTACTAAAATTTTGGACTTCCTGATTTCTGATTCTTCCCGTCATTTTAGCCATCTCAGCATAGTCTATCAACTTCATCTGCCATTCTTCTCTGGTAGGCTTCAAAGCAATGACATAACAGATCACTTGCAGCCTCACGGAATGGTCCCTCTGGAATTTGTCACACGTGCGCCCACTTGCACATGAATTTGTAAACCTGTCTGTGCTTGGCTGCCCAGGATAAAGCTATATATCAATACTGGTCATAGCATTTGACATAGAAATATGGAATGATATGGTATACAGGACACATGTCGACCCTATCCCTTCCCCACCAAACCCCAATGAGCAGGCAAGAATGATAAACTGAAATCGAACAAGAAGCTTATTTTATTTTTTAAATGGGAAGATAAATCATGGTTGGTCAGCTGTGAGCAAACCGAGTGAGCTTCTGTTGCCTTAATGCCATTCAGAGTCAGTCCCCTCAGAGGGGCATCTTGAGTTAGGCCAAACTCTATGTGGATAGTTAAATGACTTACCTGGAAGAGTCCCTTTTTCCAGAGCTTTAGGGTGCCATAATTCTTCATGTGCTTACCTGGTAGTAAGTCCTATTCTGAGTGGATGTGTATAAAGGTAAAGTGACCCCTGACCATTAGGTCCAGTCGTAGCCGACTCTGGAGTTGCAGCGCTCATCTCGCTTTATTGGCCGAGGGAGCCGGTGTACAGCTGTCGGGTCATGTGGCCAGCATGACTAAGCCGCTTCTGGCAAACCAGAGCAGCGCACGGAAACGCCATTTACCTTCCCGCCGGAGTGGTACCTATTTATCTACTTGCACTTTGATGTGCTTTCGAACTGCTAGGTTGGCAAGAGCAGGGACCGAGCAACGGGAGCTCACCGCCAACCTTCTGATTGGCAAGTCCTAGGCTCTGTCGTTTAACCCACAGCGCCACCAACGTCCCTGGATGTGTATAGGATGGCACTATTATTGCACTTAAAAAAAAAAAAATTACAACATTTTAAGTTTTATTGCACTTTAGGATGACACTATTAGAACCTCTTTCTGTGTTCCTCAAACTTGGGTCTCCAGCTGTTGTTGACTACAATTCCCATCATCCCTGATCACTGATCCTGCTAGCTAGGGGTGATGGGGGTTGTACTCCAACAACAGCTGGAAACACAAGTTTGAGAAACACTGTAGTTAAGTGATAATCTGTCCTGTTTGTTTCAAAGTATTGTCAAGTCCACAAATGCTTGCAGCGGAAACGTACCACAATTGTTTGACTTTTTTAATTTGTCATTTGTGTAGTTAAGCTAGTGGAAGCAGCATGTTGTCTTCAGCTACTTTGGTATTTTAAACACTTAAATCTTGCTCAGCCTGTTTTTTGTTTAGGTGTAGCAAATGTTCGCTTGTGATTCTGCAGCTGTTGACTCATTAATGGTTGCTCTTCCAAGTGAGTTAGGATGCGATTTCTACCACAGGCAGCTTATCTGATTTTAAAGAAAAATGTTTTCAACATGCACTTGTGTGTTTGTGAGGCCAGCATACAGTGCTACACTTGGCTTGTTAAGGATGTTCATGCATCAGCTAAAATTTAGTTTTGTTTGTAAGTTGATTTTAGCCACGTCCCAACCCCACTTCAAAGTCCTGCATCAACCAATGCGCAGGATCAAATACACTGTTCTCTTATTATATTGGTATGAGTTTGCGGGTGCCAGACACCCTCAATTCCTGGGTCCAGTAGGTGGTGGCTGAGTTAATCTATTCAGAAAAGTACTTAAATGTTATTATTATTGCCTATATCTTACAGCTCAGAGAAAATGACTGCAATCAAGCATGCCTTACAGAGGGATATTTTCACTCCAAATGATGAACGTTTACTAAGTATTGTTAATGTTTGCAAAGCAGGAAAAAAGAAGAGAAACTGCTTTTTGTGTGCCACAGGTATGTGGTTTTCTTTTTAAGCATGGGCAAACATTTTTTCTAACTCCTAATTAAGCTCATTGCTAAATGCTGATACAGTACTTTATTTACTATCAAATTGTACAATTTCACCTATACAGTGTAGTGATTAAATGATGTGTGCATTCTAAATAAAAACAATAATCTGGTTTGTTAGGAAAAGCCACTGTACAATTACTGCATATTTCCTCTAAAAGGTGTTTCTATGATTTAAGTATAGCATTTCAGCACTTAACGTCAATTGATAGGTTACGTCTAAAGGGAACTCCCCAAAGCTTATGCTTTTGCTATTGCCTACTGTAGAAGGGATTCTTGTCAAGCATGTCAGGCAAGCAGTTTTAGGTTCTCAGCTGGAAAACATTGTCAGCTGGCTGGTTATATTGCTGCGGACTTGGGAATCCTAAGTCTCACTTGGCCTTGACCTATCCTACGGAGGGGTAGCAAAGAATGCTACAAATATTAATTAGCTTACCAATGCCAGGATCTATGTGCTAGCACTGTCTTGTGAATGGTTCCCTGCCACAATACAAGTGCTAATACAATAAAATTGGCAGTGCTGAGTAAATTGTCATCAACCTGCTACTGTAAAAGGTGTGCCTGTTTCACATGTATGTAAATTCAAAGGACCCTGACTGTGATTTTGTATCTCATTTCCATTCAACCCACACTTCGCCATTTTCTGCTTTATATAGCGGTCAACTAAGATTTCACTTCATGCATTTGATCAATTATTATTATTTATTATTATCATTTATTGAATTTATATACCGCCCTATACCCGGGATGATCAAGTGTGTTTGAGTCCATGAAAGCTTATGCTACAATAAATTTGTGAGTCTTTGGGGTGCCACAAGACTTCTTGTGTTTTGTTGCATTGGACTAACATGTACGTTTCTCTGAAAAAGAAGATATAAAGTGTTCTGTGCACCAGCACCAACATTTTAGATGCTGCAATGTTTTGAGTCCTGTTTGCCATAAAGAGGCTTCCTAAGGGGCCATCTGCATGGGATCAGTGGCTTGCACTGATTTTTATACCGTGTTTACTTGAATCTAATGCTCACCTTTTTTGACCAAATTACATTGCGAAAATAAGGTGTGCATTAGATTTGATGGCACATTAGACTCGAGTAAACATGGTAATTGCTTTTAATATCTGCAAACAGCAAAATGTTTCCTTCCTGCTTAGCAGCTGCTGACTATGTCTGCTTCCACGTTTGAGAGGGCCTGGCTGCCTTCTGCGTTCTGAATATCTCTTAGGTTTACATTTTCATATAAAGTAAATGTGGGGGCAGGATATCTGCTTTAGGATTTCTTACTTGTGGCCGTGGGAAAATGGGCATTGTCCATCTTACATTGGTGCTTGGGTCTTGTGGTGATCAGCTATTTATTGTACTCCACAGTGACAACTGAACGCCCGGTACAGGTAAACGTGGTAAAGGTGAAAAAATCTGACAAGGGAGATTTCTACAAGAGGCAGACAGCGTGGGTGCTTCGAGATCTTGCTGTCGTTGATGCCAAGGATGCCATCAAAGTATGTCTTCGTTATAATGGCTTGAAATCTTTACTCTGCATGGGCAGTAAATGCAACTTTCATTTGTGACATATTGCCATGCCTTTGGCAAGTTGCTAACTTCAGTGGACTTGGAAACCAGGGTTGCCCTCATATGCACACTTACGAGCAACTCTTTGAAGGCTCAGACTTACTTTTGAGTAAGTGTATAGAGAAGCAGCTCGCACGTCTAACTTCTGTAGAAGAGAATTTCCTTTGGAGAAAAGGTGCAATGTGCAGAGGGATGGTTTTCTGTTTCTTTCATGCACTGCACAAGAATTTTCTTTGCTATAGACCTTTAAAATCAAACTGAGCATCGCTTTCGACCTTTATTCTGGATACTGACGTGCTTATAAACCACTATCCACAAATTCCAAACAGATAAATATTCAAAAGCATTTTTATTCGTTTCCTACAGAAGTAGTAAGCCTTCATTTCTTTTTGAGTTAGGATCATGTTGTTTTTGTGTTGTGTGTGAGCATCTGACATGCTACTGTTGTACTGTAAAGCAGCTCAAAGAACATTGTGTTGTTTGAAAATTCATTGGCTTGGATCCTAAACAACCCTCTGCCAACAGAAGGGCTCTTGGATCCAGCAGAGGCTCCTGTTGTAGCACAGGATGGGTTGCATTTTTCACTTACCTCTTTCCTCTTTGCCCCCTGCACCACCTCCCATGCTGCTCCAGAGGCTTCCCTGCCCTCTACAGCAGATTTTCAAGAGGGAATATTATAGTGATGAAAGTCCCCACCTCTGCTTCTGTTAGTGGGAGCATCCCATAAGTATAACTGATGGAACGCTTTTACCTGCTGAAGTTTTTTATAGATCCACACCATGCGTTTAAAGCATATTCAGTGCAACTTTAAAGCACCTGACTTTCTCAAAATAATGCTGGGAATTGTAGTTCACAGAATTACAATTCACAGGATTCTTTAGGAGAATCCATGCACATTTGAATGTGTGTTAAATGTATTACTTAGATCTGCCCTTGGAATCTAAAAGAGTATGTTGGGAATGTACTATTATGATTTTTTTCCATCTGTTTTGTCCCTGTTTTTCAGGAAAATCCCGAGTTTGACCTGCATTTTGAAAAAGTGTACAAATGGGTTGCTAGCAGTATAGCAGAAAAGAACACTTTCATTTCATGCATTTGGAAACTCAATCAGCGGTATATTAGAAAGAAGATCGACTTCATAAATGTTAGTTCTCAGCTTCTAGAAGGTAAAAACTTTAGCTGACTCTTTCATAATGCTGTATTCTAGTTAAAATATTAATTTCATCATACTTTAAAAGTAGTAGAAAATCACGTTGTTTGTATTGCCCTCATTCATGCATATACTAACAGTAACTAAGGCTTTTATTGGCTTCATATGTCTTTGACCTAAATTAGGACATGGTCCACTTTCCTGGAAGTTCTTTTGAAATTAATTAGCTTGGTAAGTGTAGGATTTAGGCATGTTTTGCCAGGGACATTCGGCAGTCTTGGGCTTTTGGACTCCTGTACATTACACTTGAGGAGCCTATGTAACTTATTAGTTGCTAAAGCTAAGTTTAAATTGTTATCAGATCAATTTTAATGTGTCCTGCTTGGCAGGTCTAACCTGTCCATTCTGAGAAAAGCAACTGAATACAAGTTTAGAGTATTAAGGTAACTGTTAATTACACAGCCTGCATGCTTGTATGTTTAAAAGCTTAATAAGAAATCACGTGGCCTACCAGATGTTGCATGTATATGAAGAAATCTGCTTTGTAGTCTACTTAAATTTCAAAGCTTTGACTCTCTGACGATTTATTGCCGTTTCTGAAAAATTCTGTGTTCGTTCACTGCTTAGCTAATATTCTTTGCTTCCTTTCCTCTGCTTTTCAAATCCTTTCTAATTCTCCAGAACTACCTAAAGTCGCAGAAGGTGCGTAACACCTTTTCTTTCTGTTTTTCTTCTTCTGTGTGACTAATTCAGTTGCTTTTTGCTTTTTTAAATTGCCTATGACCCATCTTGTTAAGCAAAACACATTCTTCAGGTCACTCAGGAATGTACTGAAAATGCAGGTGGAAATACTATTCAAGAGTTTTTAAATTTATAACTCTTTGAAGTCTTAATGCTGCAAGGAGCAGCTGAAACATCTCCAAATGTGAAGAAATGTCATGAAAGTATTGTTTCACAATGCAATGCAAACGATGTTAGTTATTTAATTACCTGGTAATGCTGTGCTGAAATTGAACTGTATTGGACAGAGGTAATAGATTGCATTCAGCTGACTATGGAGGGAGAATCAGTACTTTTATTTTTGTAAAGCAAGCACCCATTTAAAAAGCAAGGGCAGAAAATGGCAGGTAAGGGGAAAGAGATCAAACTTTAGTACTCCAAAGATAAAATGTTTTTATGTGACTTCTTAAAGGTGAGGCAGAAGTAATAGAGATGGACACTGGAAAAGAGTCAGTTTTTGTTTGCCATAGCAAAGGTTTGGTTGTCTGCTGCCTTAAAACAGGCATAGGCAAACTCGGCCCTCCAAATGTTTTGGGACTACAACTCCCATCATCCCTGACCACTGGTCCTGTTAACTAGGGATGATGGGAGTTGTAGTCCCAAAACATCTGGAGGGCTGAGTTTGCCTATGCCGCCTTAAAACCTAGGTAAGATCCTGACAGGGGCAAAAATTACCTACCCAGGTAAGGTTCCAGGAGCAGGTCTTCAATGTAGTCAAAGCCGTCACCATTCAATAAATTCCAGTCATCACATTCTGTATCAAAGGGAGCCTGAACGAATTAGAGCAAAATGTCAAACATTAAATGACACTAGCCTCTTTTTTATATTGAAAAGGACTTGGTAAATAATAGTGTTTCCTAACTTACCATTTGAAGAAAACTCATGATGCTTATATTGTATGGACAGCTCTCTTCCACTTTCTTTGGCATTGTGGTCTTGTCAGTCGTTCAAAAAGATTTTGATCACCTAGGTTAAGACGGTAGCCTTGTATGCATTTTTCATGAACGCAATCTTTTTCTGCTCTCTCAAGAATCGGTTCCAAGCGGTGAGAATCAGAATGTGGCTGGAGGAGATGAAGAGGTGGTGGATGAATACCAAGAGTTAAATGCAAGAGAAGAGCAGGACATCGAAATAATGATGGAAGGCTGTGAATATGCCATCTCCAATGCAGAGGCCTTTGCAGATAAGTTGTCCAGAGAACTGCAAGTGCTCGATGGGGTAATGATTTATTTTGAAATATGGCAGTGTGCTTAGCAAGAGATAATGGAAAGGTTCTCAGCTTATGCAGAATACGCTTTGGTTTGGACTTAGGCTCGGGCCAGCCATTGTGGTCCTCTGCAGATGTTCTGGACTCCAGCATAACCAGTAATCAGGAACGATGGGAGCTGTAGCCCAGCAACATTTGGAGGGACCACCGATATTCCTCCTTTGCAGCCATGCCTTGAATTTGGGGCTGCTTGAATCTACACCTTTACCTGTCCATGCCTCACATCAGGTGATGAATGGCTTGGACAAAACAGCCGGGGGGACCAAATAGGGAAGCCTGGTGGGCCTAATTAGGGCTGTGGGCCAAAGTTTCTTCTACCATTGCTACTTACCAGGGTTTGTGGCAGCCGTCCTCCACTTAATGCCCTTTAGATATTTTAGACTTGCACTCCCATCAGCTCTAGCCAGCATGGCCAATGTTCAGGGATGATAACGGTTGCTTTTATATTTGTTGGAAGCAGCCCAGAGTGGCTGGGGCTGCCCAGTCAGATGGACTTAGTAATAGCATTACTTACTTACTTACTTCTGGAGGGCTCCAGGTTGGTGCACATGAATGCTGGTATAATAATTCTGTGAGAGTTATGGTTGTTTTTTTAATCAGCTGTGTTCCAACTTGGTGTCATTGCATTTAGTGACTCCCAACTCTTGAAATACGATGGAAGATGGGTAATGGATATTATTTCCTTTGCAGGCAAACATCCACTCGATCATGGCCTCTGAGAAACAAGTGAACATCTTGATGAAGCTGCTGGATGAGGCGCTGAAAGAGGTGGACCAAATTGAAGTGAAGCTGAGCAGTTATGAGGAAATGCTGCAGAGCGTGAAAGAACAAATGGACCAGATTTCGGAAAGCAACCATCTAATTCATCTTAGCAACACTAACAACCTGAAATTACTTTCAGAGATAGAGTTCCTTGTTGTAAGCGTGTGACATACTTACGTATTTATTTGTTCAAACACACAGTCAACCCAAACTAAAATTTGAGTGAATTACAATAGATTAAAAAGTAGTTGTCACACTGCCATTATATTTAATGCCAATAAAACACGTTTAGCTGTTCAGCTGCATAGCTTTAGGTTCAGTGAGCTACTTTAATTGTGTCCAGGGACTTTGGCATGCCCAGTACACTTTTTGACTATTCCCCATATTTATTTATTAAATTTCTTCTCTGCCTTTTTTGCAATGAAGCGCACAAAACAGATAACCGCAAAAGTGTGTGTGTAATAAAAATAACAACAGATTTAAAACTCTACAAACAGATTAAAAATTGATTTGTTAGTTTTAAACTAGCGGCTGATAGGTGTTAAAAAAACCAAACAGGAGCACAATTAAAATTGCCTCAGCCAGGCTAAAGGCTCAGGAAGACCATCACTTCTTTGCATAGGGAATTGGTCTCCTTTGGAAGGAACTATGAAGCCTAAATGCACCTGGCTTTTTCTTGTGTTCCTATTGAAAGCATTTCAGATGTTGGCAGAACATAGGACAGGGTCTCTTCAAAGATCTTAAAATGATTGTGGGATAAGATCACCCTACTGGTAACCTGGTCTCAAGCCATTTCGTTTTAAATATCATGACCAGTGTACTGAATTGAATCCATAGCTGTGTTTCAATGGCAGCTCCCCGTAGGCCTGCTTCCCAAGTCATGCTAAGCCAAACAGAGTGCCGCCTCTTGCACTTCCATTGCCTGCGGTGGGCACTTCACCTGGCGAAATGGGCTTTCTGTCTTGGTGCAGTTTACTTTTGGTTCTGATGTGTTTGTGTGCTTAAGTCAACTTAGCAAACTGTATGGGGAGTTCAGTTAGCAGCAGCGGTGGGAACTGATAAAAACGCTAACATGCACATCCATGCCCAAGGTTATTATGGTGGGTGGAAATTAGGTTAGGGGTGTTTGTTTGGAATATGCGAAATAATAATCTGAGCTCCTTTCTGTGGCCTGTGGAAGATAAATAAGGCTTTAAAGTTTCACGCTTGCCCTCCCAGTGTAAACATTTGTTCTTGCAGAACCATATGGATTTGGCAAAAGGTCACATCAAGGCCCTCCAGGAAGGAGACCTCTCATCTTCCCGGGGCATTGAGGCCTGCACTAATGCGGCAGATGCACTCTTACAATGTATGAGTGTAACTCTTCAGCCAGGTAAGTGTTTTTCTAATTAAGGAAACCGCCCCCTTACCATTGTCTTTCTGCAGCTGAAGTCTTCTGGTTTCCCCCAGTCCTTTTCTCCTTTCTGAAACTTTCCTTACTGAAGCAGTATTATGTTTTGGTTTCCTCTTCTGATTATAGGGCATGAGATGCTCCACGCTGTGAAGCAGCAGCAGCAGCGGTTTAGCGATTTGCGAGAGCAGTTTGCGCGGAGACTGGCCAGCCATCTCAACAACGTATTTGTTCAGCAGGTACCTTGACTCTTTTCCAAACTGCAAATTTTTTGAAGATGAATGCTCGATTCAGTTTTCAGAGACTTCTGTAAATTCTATATTTCACTGAAGGCTTCCCTTAAGCCATCTGACTGCTTTGCATCACTTTGCTCCCTTAATGATCAGTGGCAAAGAAAATTTAGTGAAATGAGCCAGCCATTGGCTATATCCCAGACCCTCAAAGTGGACAACCCCAGATTTACAGAAGCCGTCCTGGTTTCTGATTTGATCCCAGAATGTCCCGCTTTTCCTTAGGATGTCCCTATTTTCATTGGAGAAATGTTGGAGGGTATGGAGTTATCCGACCTCCGAGCCATCTGGAGACAGCTCTGTGTAGGGAAGTTTTTTAAATATTTAATGTTTTAGTATGTTTTTATATATGTTGCAAGCCGTCCAGAGTGGCTGGGGCAACCCAGCTAGATGGGCGGGGTATAGATAGTAAGATGATGATGATGGAATAAGATGTCCCTATTTTCATTGGAGAATTGTTGGAGGGTATGTATATCCTTTATGTGGAAAATTAACTAAACACGGGCATCTCAGTACTACGGCTCCAGTGCACAAATATTCTGGTGAACTGATGCTACCTGGTTCTCTGCAGTGCAAGAAATAGGATATGAGCATTGCTTTTCCATGTCTTCACTGCTAGGAGATGGAGATGGCCAGGAGATTAGATGGCTTTACAAAATAATGAGTGGAGGCCGGGATAGGCCTGTTTTTGGATTTTAGTTACAATATGCAAAAATGGAGCATGTTTTAGAGCCAATATATTGTTGATTTCTGCCTATTGTGGGAGGAATACAGTGCCTTCCTTGTGAGCTAAGCTTCCCCGGGGAATTGGTCACTGTTAAGAGACCAAACTTTTATCCAGATTGAGATGTTTAAATATTTTCTTTGTATGGCACTTACAAATTAATATTTGGTCTAACTTCTGTATCACCTTTGTTTTTGAAGCTTTTAAGTTGTCACATGCACAGCTTAATGTTAGGAATGGGTTGTGTGGGCATCTCTATTCAATACAGTGTTTACATCCCTGCATTTTATCTCCAAATAGTTTATAGAGCTGGAGAAGGGTCTCATTAACAGGTCCTACTATCTTTCAGTTCCTGTGAGTACAGAGAGTTTGAATCAACCTGTTTTAATTTTACTGAGTCGTCTTTTAAAAAGCTTGCTAAGCCTAATGTATGTCCTGCAGTGTTGCCTCTGCAAAATAGAAAATATGGCTTCTGTGACTTGAGGAAACAAGTCCTTCTGAGGATTACCTCGACACCAAAGCTTCCTACGTATTGTAAAATGCGCTTTGTAAAAGATGCACAACTTAGGCACAAAGATGTTGAATCAACATAGTCTGGGTTAGAGCTGTGTCAACGTGATTTGCACAGGTGGGTGGGTGGTAGCAGGGAAGGCGAATGGAAACTGCTGGTTTTATTTACTTTCTGTTATTTATTAAATTTTTATACCACTCTTCATATGACGATCACAATTCACTACTAGAAATTAAATTGTAGTGAAGTCATTCCTGAATATCACATTATTGTCCTCAGTAGAGAACAAGCAGGGCCTGCTGCAAAATATTGCAGTTTGGAGTGCTCCTGCTTAGAATTGCCAGCCAGCCATGCCTTTTTAAGAATATGCCACACTCTTCCCCCTTCCCCAAGGCTTTCTGTCCCCTAACCACCCTCCCAATCTCTGCAGTCAGTCAGTATTCCATGCCCACTGACCACGGTCAGTCTTCTTTGGGCTGTTTTGAGTCTCTTCCCATTCCCCACCCCCAGCCTCTGGCACGATTTTTTCCAAAGATTTGAGTACTTCTGGAACCTTGGGGTTCTCCCACACCTGCTGATATCCCCCTCTTGTGCGTGGATAATGCCATTTGGCATACAGAAGGATCCACATTAAGAGAATGAGTTTGCAATTAGTATATAGGATACCTGGTTTTCCTGGTACCTGTGAAGTATACATGTGAATGTTGGGGCTGATCATATTTAGCATTTTGTTAACATAAGATAACAAAAGGGAGTGAAACCAGCTTTGATAAGCTTTGTTAAATTGTGTCTAACAGGGAAATTGAGATACTGCCTCTATCTCGGGCTTATTATGGAGTGATGATGAATGAATGGGTGACAGAATGGCTTACATGTCTGTGAACGATGTCTATTAACTGGCACTTTTGTATTTAACATCTTGTCCGGAGTTGCATTTTTAAAGCATACCATCAAATTTATATTGTTTTACTGTGTAAAATAATATTGAAGAAATTCAACCAAAATCTAACAAATTGGGCTTTGTTTCACTCTATATAAATGATTTTGGAATCTGGTGGGACAATATTTTAGCTGTCGCTACAAGGTTAATGAGAGCAATATTGACATTTCAAACGAAAACGCAAGTCCTGATGAGAATGCATTGTGATTTCTAACACATAATCTGTAGCTCAGCATTTATTTTGTTCTTTGAATATTTTGTGGTTTTTTATGTCTGTTTTCTTTCTTTCAAAGTACTGAAAGGAACACAGAACAGCTGCAAAAGCATACCTGCTAAATGGCAAGGCAGATCTTTTATCTGACAAACTGGCAAATTCCCAGGGTGTCCAGGTTTGCGATTCTACTGTCATGTTCATACAACTTTCTTCTGTTGCTTTCCTCTGCCAAGGGCCATGACCAAAGTTCCACTCTTGCTCAGCACTCCATTGAGTTGACGCTACCGAACCATCATCCCTTTCACAGAGACTTGTTGCGCTATGCCAAACTTATGGAGTGGTTAAAGAACACAGATTATGGAAAATATGAAGGGCTAACAACGGTGAGTGGCTCAAAGTGAAATATAGTATGGGATGTAATCAAACAGTCTTTTCTTCCGCTAAATTAGTTTGCAGTGTGAGATGACGATGCAGCAGTCTAGCTCTTGAATAATAGGAAATCTCCTTTGCACCACTACTGTGTCCTCTTCAGTCTAAGTTTATTCCTTTTGATTTATTGAGATTATGAGTCTCAAGATAAAACTGCAACACAATTTGCCTTATGCTGCCGGCTTCCTCTGGTGCTCAGAGTTGCATTTTCAGTTTCTTCGTCTGTAGAGATAACTTGCATATCCAGGCAACTCCTCACTCGTTTGCAACCCGTGCATGCGCAGCGCCGCGAAATAAATAAAGAATTCAGTTCAAACCCAGAAATGGCATGGAAAGGGCAAAAATGGCACAAAAAGAGCAGCTCGGAATTCCAGGAGCTTTTGCAGGTGCAATCCCATGAGCCTTTGCATCAACCTTTTGAGGTCTGTGGAGAGATGGAGCTTGAGAAAGGAGGTTTGGAGGGAGTCTGGTTGGTGTTGTTCGTTTTTAAAAGCTTTTTTCAAGGGTTTCCAGAGGTCGAATGGGGGTTTAGAGACTTTTTAGATGGTGTTCCCAGTATACACAATTTCACTTACACGTGTGGTATCCAGGAATGTAAACCCCTCACAGAGGCGCCAAGTTGCCTTCAGGACTGAGGGAGCCTGGCACGCATCATGCATGACATCACACCCGGCACATGTTGTGCATTCCAAATTTACGTCTTTTGAAGTGATGTGTCATATATTTCGCTTCCCGAGAAGCCACTAAACCTTTAATGTGTGTTCATTTTTCTTTAAGAACTATATGGACTACTTATCACGGTTGTATGACAGGGAAATAAAGGATTTCTTTGAAGTTGCCAAGATTAAAATGACAGGGGCAACGAAGGAAGGGAAGAAGTTTGGTAAGTATATAACAGGTGCTCCATTTTTTCAGTTTTGTGTCAGAATGAGCCGAAGGAGGTTTCTACTTTTGCAACTGACAGCAGATATTTTAGAAGCGACTGCAAAAGTGTTTTAAGAAGTTTTGAGTAAGGGGTGCAGGTGTCGCCATTTAAATTTGATGTGCAAATTGTGGAGACTAAAATTCTAGTGGTGTTGTGCCTGACAAGTGGCAAGGGGACCAGCAGCAAGTCCTTTTAGCTCTGCTTAGTGCTGTTTGATATTTCTGAAGATGTGATCCAGTGAGTCTTCTGTATGAAAGCTCATATTGATGGTGCTGGGGTTATGTTCAGAGGTCTTAGTTAATAGTAAATATTCATGAGCATAAATATTTGGAATGGATCATGAGGGCTTTTCTAAGTTTCACTTACGGCAGTAGGGAGTTGGAGATGTTGGAATTTCTGTCCTGAGGAGAACATGGTACGTAAAGGCTTATAGTGGAATCTAAGACATTTCTTTGGTTATAGTCTTCCCTAAGTGATGTTAAGGGATGTGGGTGGTGCTGTGGTCTAAACCACAGAGCCTAGGGCTTGCCAATCAGAAGGTCGCGGTTCGAATCCCCATGACGGGGTGAGCTCCCATTGCTTGGTCCCTGCTCCTGCCCACCTAGCAGTTTGAAAGCACGTCAAAGTGCAAGTAGATAAATAGGTACCACTCTGGCAGAAAGCTAAACGGTGTTTCCATGCGCTGCTTTGGTTCGCCAGAAGCGGCTTAGTCATGCTGGCCACATGACCCGGAAGCTGTCTGTGGACAAACGCCAACTCCCTTGGCCTATAGAGTAAGATGAGCACCGCAACCCCCGAGTCATCCGCGACTGGACCTAACGGTCAGGGGTACCTTTACCTTTAAGTGATGTTAACTTGAATGTATCTTGCCAAGGGAAACTCTGCATCCTTTTCTTTTAAAAGACAAAACTGGAAATAAATTGTGTAACGTAACTTGTACTCTTCGGAATGGAATACGATTTAAATCAAAAGAAAACTGCAAGCAATCATAGTAAACCCTGTAAGGATTTTCATGGAGCCAAGTGGAGCTTACAGCAAAATCCTGTTCAGGATTCCAAACACTCCATCCTCATCCATTCTTTCTATTCCAGTATTCAGTCTTTCTCCTCCAACAGTTAGGCAGCATTCCATGGCTATTTAGTACACTTAGTACTCACTGGCTTGTTTGGGGGTGTTCCCCAGCCCCTAAAAGATAGTTTGTACTTTCACAAACCTCAGTATTTCCCAAAGCCTACTGATCTCTCTCTCGCTCTCTTGGGATGGAAGGTTCCATTTTGGCTACATAAGAAATGGCACTTGCAGTCTGAACATCAGAAATGCAGGGCATGATTACATAAGCTATAATGCAGTGGAATATTATGTGTTGCCTAAAGGGACCCTTTTTAGATAATGGCCCATGATAAGCCATTATCTTCAATGTATGGGGTGTTGCACCTTCCCAGATTGACTGTTTTTAAATCTCTCCTTCCATACAGTGACCTCCTGCATTTTCAATAATGTAGGCCGCCCTGTCCCACAGTGTGGTGTCTCTGATAGCCAGGGCCCTGTGTACTCTGTAAATATGCAATCATACTGCCCCAATTAATATCGGGTGCATACTTTAGCATCCTGGGAATTTCAGCTTGTCCTCTCTTTTCTTTTTTTAAGGCACACTGCTAGCCCTTAAGGCTGCTAAGTTGAGCTTGAGCACAGACATATATGAACAGTGTTTGGTGAAATATATCCAAATTCCAGAGAGTAGACAGGAATGATTTCTGGTGTTTGGGAGTGAGCCTTCTATTTTTTGTGCCTCTTCTCATTTTGTTTGTTCTTTATTTATTGACCCTACCCCACCCCCAAATGTTCTTGGTGAACGTATAAATTTGAAAACATTGAGGGAGGAGGGAGGACCACAATAAATAGATATTATTTCCACACATACATATGCAAAGGCCCTGTGACAGTGACCTAGCAGCTGCAAGTCATGTTCACATACTTTCCTCTTTCTTCCCCATTCTTTTTTGCATTACTCCATGCCCATAGGCTCATAAAATATCTTATTTGTTAATATATGTACAGGGTTTGGGAAATTTTAGGCACTTTGTGTGGGGTAACCAGCCTCATAACCAACATGATTAAGTCTAATTAATGCATGAAGGGGTTAATGTCATAGAGTAAGCTGTCCTGCCAGGCTTAGCTAGGTTACAGCCTTTCACCTTATGAGGAGGGTAATCAAGCCTATTGCTGTACCTCAGTCAACCATAGAGGCTCATTGTGTGAAGAGATATTGAGCTAGCTGCTGCAGCCCAGATCTCATGGCTCTTAGCAAGCCATTATTTTACATGTAGTGTTGTATTTACTGTGAACATTGCACATCAAATCTTCTGTGTATGCAACCTGTCTCTCCAGTTGTTGCTACTAGATTGGAATTCAACCTCCAAGTCACATTCAGTAATAAGTAACCTTGTGTCCTGTGGTTTTGTGTTTGCAGCCTGACAGTTTTGTCCTCTCCAAAAGTACATAAATCCTACCAGGTTTCTATGTGGACAGGTGTATGTTGTTACTGTAAAAACAGGATGGAAATGTTAATAACAGCTGTTGTGAACCCATAGGAAACATAGTTTGCCTGCAGAAATATTGCCCTGCCTCAGTCCCTCTGTCTCCCCAGCCCTCAAGGGTAGGAAGGGTAGAGGAAAAAAATCCTCTGCAGTGTGTGATGTAATGTATGTTTGAAGTGAAACACTAAACTGTTTCATTGTGAATTGCATTTAAAGCTTGGAAGGCATTTAGTGTACTCAATACGCCATATGGAAACGATGGTTATGGCATTAAAAAGCATTTTAAGTTGCCAGTAATGAGACAATACTCCAGGTTTACCAGATATACAGGAGACTGAAATTTAGATAATGTCTCACAGTCTTGGGGAAGCACATTGGCTTTGTGTGCAAATGGTTGCAGGTTGAGTCAAGAACATCTCTAGGTAAGGCTAGGGAAGACTTCTGTAGAGACATCTGGAGATCTTCTGCCTTTCAGCATAGACAATACTGAGCTAGAAGGACCAATGGTCGGACTTTGTACAATGCAACTTCTATGCCCCAGCCGTCATCAGATTGTAGAAGTTGCTTTTTCTACAACGGAGGATTGCTTATCTATGGATAGTGAGCGTTAGTTTAGGCTTTTCTGTGCATGTGCAGCGGTGCAGCTCTGTACATAGAAGTTGAGGTCTCCCATTGTCAAGACCATGCAAGCATTAAAGCAGTGGCTTGAAGTGACACTTGGCCTTCCTTAGAAGGTGACCAAGAGGAAATAATGCATCATTAAGAGCTGCTCTCACATCCATTGCCATGTTTCAGAGGATGCTGGGGCAGAACTACTGGATCATGGGCAGCCACTGCTAACAAAACGATGGCAGAATCCCCTGTGATGTCCCTAAGGGATCCTGAGACGTGTGTCTCCAGTTTACATACTACAGCCTCTCTGGACCACCCAAATGTCTTCAGCATCTGCCCTTTATTTGTGTCATATCTTATGAATGCCAAGTGTTCCATCTGCCATAGCATGGCAAAATGGAGACCCCCTCACAGTCGAGTTTCCACACACATACACGCACACAAACTGGAAAATCTTCAGTGTGCTACCAAAACATAATCTACATTTTCCCGCATAGTTAAAAATTCCAGATGGGTACCTCCCCAGCTATGTTTGTTTGCAACTTGTAGTTACTTGCTTCTCATAGTTATCTGCATGTTTCTTTCCAGCTAGTGCTTAACTTGCATCTCGTGCATGGTTTGTGCAAAATGCATTTTTAACTTGTCTTTGTCTTTGATGCTTGCAACCTAATCCATCCCAGCTACACTGCCTCGAAAAGAAAGTGCTGTCAAACAGGAAACGGAGAGTGAGTATGATGAGCGCTTTAAATGGTTATTGCCAGTGCATTCATGTCTGTGTAAAACGTAATTGTCATGGCAAAAACCTATTAATACCAGAATTCTGTTAGATGCAACGTTTTTGCACAAATTTGTGAGTGCTACAGCAATCATAAAAAGGAGCAAAACCTGGCAATGGACCCCTGTAAGACGGGGTGGAGACAGATCCTTTTCTCAGCTATCCCTTCCTGGAAAATATGGCAGGGTGAATGGGAGCTGCTCAGCTCTGGGGGAACTCCCGTTTTGTAGCCAATCCCAACTTCCTTGTTCTCGCCAGCCACCAGCTAATTGGCAGCGACAGGAAGCCTCCCTTGCCAATGCACAGTAGGGACTGCCCTGTAAGCTTCCTGTTGTGTTTCTGCTTGCCCCTCACCTGATGTCATATATGACATCAGGTTTGGGGCAGATTTTGGAGAACCAGTCTTGGAGGCCACATAGGGTCCCATATCAGGCCTAATTAAGCCCATGGGTTGAAGGTCTCTCTTCCCCGCCCCCCGCTATAAGAGATCTCCAGTGTGATACTCATTTATAGGCAAAATACAATAGAAACGTATTTTGCAATTTGTTTTTAAACTCAAGCCATGTCTACACTGGATGCTTTTTTGAGGCAAGATAAACACCCCCATGAAAATTTCACAGTGGAGCTCTGATTTAGTCTATGGGGAGTTCCTGCTCATCTGCCCTGACGATTACAGGCCTATTCGGGATTACAGACAGTGCTACCAGAGGAATAATATTGCCATGAGATTCTTCTGCACCACATAATGCTTGCCATGTGGGAAGCACATTCTCTTTCATTTTTGTGCAAATGGCAGTCATGAGTGTCTCATCATGTTTTCACTAAGAGCTTGTCTATGCTACAATTCAAACTGTGGCTGCGTGAACTTGCATAGCCTTTTGTATCTGGTGTTTTTTAAAAATAGATGCCCCCAGCCTTCAGTGATCTGACTCTCCCCTTATATCCACTTAACATCTGTTTCAAATGCTTAGAGCAGGGATGACCAAATTCTCTAGTCCTAAGCTTTATAGCGTGGTGGTTACCCATGGGTGCCGTCATGTGTAACCTCCACCATGCAGTGCTCATGCAGAGGGAATCGCCATACACATGACTGGTTGCAGGCTTGTGGCAACAGTCATTGCAACACACACGGCTGGAGGCTACGGTGACCAGCTCTTCACGGTGCTCAAGGTTCTGCAGGATGAATATTTAAGGTGCCATCATGCAGCAGGTAGTTTCTTGGATGCAGCCATTTGTTTAGACTTGGGTTGGATCCAACAGTGTCGTTACATAAGTGGAAGACATTTCTTCTCATTTAGAGGGTGATCTTAGCCTCTTGCTAATACTGGGTACAATAGTGAATCAAGGTGAGCCTTAGATTTGTGTATTCTCCCTCTTGTCTGCTGCAGCAGTGAGAGTTTTCAAACGTTCACTTCCATTTTAGAGAAACTGCACCTTGCCCAGCCCGAAACTAAAGTTTGATTAATCTTAACTATGGTTAGTGAAAACAAGCCAGTATGGTTTGAACTTGACTAGGGTTTGAACTCAGTTTGTTTCCACGTACCATAGTGAACATTAAACAAACCAAGCTCAAAACCTAATTTATGAAGGTTTCTTGTTTTAACTAACCAAGATTAACTGCATTTTAATGTGTGGTTAATCTAACACAGAAGAGCAGGAAAATAGTTCAAGGCTGAGGCTCACCTAAGTTCAATCTTCTATCACGAAATTATGGTTTTGCATTGTAGCCAGATATAGCCAGTGATAGAGTGAAGCAGGAGAGAGCAAGGTAGATTTTTTTTTTACAAACAATTCAAGCCAGAATCTTTTGCTGTTACATTTTCTCACAAAAAAAGCACAGTGGTGGCTTCTTTCCACATTGAAAGGAGTACAGTTGCATAAACCACAACTGCTTTTCAGTTTTCAACTGAAAACCACAGAATATTTGTGCACAGTCAAAGATAAAAAGTCACAATACTTCTTGAACGAAATGTCATATTCATTGGCAGAGTTTATCTGTAAGGGCAGCCTGCAGTTGAAATAATTTACTGAAAGAGGCCTCAAGAGGATAAAAGGTTTCCTTATCTTTCAAGCAGGTGTTTGCTACTATTTTCTTGTTAAGAAAATAGTAATTTCTTGCCTTTGTTCTGCTTTGCTTCTAGAAGACGCCCCTTATCAATCGCACCTGGTTCTGTCTATCCACCCTTATCTGTGCTCTTTTCTGGAATGCTATTAGCACTACAGTAGTCCTTGTATTTGCTGAGCCCATATGTCTGTCACTACGTGTCTGTTCCTGAACCATGTGGTTTCACCTCTAGGTGAAGAAACGTGTGAGCACAACAGTCAGCTTGTCATGTAGGGGAAGTACTGGCAGTCTCTAGATGGACGAGAGAATGCTAATCTTGAATAGACAATGCTTATTTGTATTGTGACGCATTATTCCATATAGGACAGTTCCTCACATGGCTTTCATTATCACCTTAGGTCTTCATGGAAGTTCTGGGAAGCTGACAGGTTCCACTTCTAGCCTAAACAAACTCTCAGTTCAGAGTTCAGGAAATCGCAGGTCTCAGTCCTCCTCTTTGCTGGATATGGGGAACATGTCTGCATCTGACCTCGATGTGGCAGATAGAACAAAGTTTGATAAGGTAAAAATGTAAGCACATTGGCTGGTGCTGCATGTTATAACTGCGCTCAAATAATGCTCATTTCACACTAGGTGTAATTGTGGCCTTCGCTCTTGTGTTACGTATGTTGCACGAGGACCTCTGGAGCCCGCCGCAAAGGTAGGATCAGAGTCCTGGGTGGCTGGGGAGGAGCCCAAGCTGCAGCTTCTCACACTAGTCTTACTTCTCCTAGAAACTCACATGAGAAGGAGCTTAATCATGCATCCCTTGGTGCTTGTCTGCTACTTTTCTAGTATGGGAAAGTATGGCTACACTGCCACAGTTCCTGTGATGTGAAGGAGAGAAGGGAACTACAGTAAGTGCTGGTTTTGAGAGGCTGCATACGGAAGACCTTTTCTTGTAAGGCTGACTCCATTTGCTCCCCTCTGCTTGCAAAAGGGCTTTTGGTCCAGCAGCTGCCTCCAATAACAGAAGTGGGAAGTAAGTTTTTGCCCCTTTCTCCATGTGCCCCTTGAAAACCTACTCCAGAGGTTTGGGGTCCTCCCAGAACAATGCGGTAGGTAATAAGCATGGCGGAGCAGGCAATTGGCAAACCTTGGTGAAATAAGGACTTTAAATACGTACAATAATTGTGTGTATATGTATGTGTTGTGTGGCTGGCTGTGCCTGCACTTGACATGCGCGCTCTGGCATAAGGCTAAGGGATGCTCAACCATGGCATAAAGGATACCAATAGCCTGTAATTGTTAAACAGTAGCTTAGGCATTTGCTCATCGGTGTGGATGCTACCTGCATGAAGCTGAAGCCCAGAGAAGCGTTTTAACTGCACAGACAAGAGCCGTGTGTGAATGCACCTTCGAAGGAAATAGATATGGTGCTTCTTGATGGTGGGCCATCAAGAGTGGCAGTCATTTGTATGCTAAATGTATGGGTTTTTATTGTTTTGTAGATTTTTGAACAAGTCCTAAGTGAACTGGAACCCTTGTGTCTGGCAGAACAAGACTTCATTAGTAAATTCTTCAAGCTTCAACAGCATCTTAGCATTCCTGGAACACCCATGGTACGACTCTGTTTTAAATATTGTGGACTCAAAAACTTGAGTTGCTACAAGGAGCGATCTCCTTCTAAACCATCCCTTCTTTTTTCAGAGTGATGCAGAAGAGGTGGATGGAGGAACTTTATCAAGGGCACACAATACTGGTGGTCTGCAGTCAATGTCTTCAGAGTATGTTCAATATTAAACAAAAACAAAATAATGTATTTTCCTAGGTTCTAGAATCATGACAGGTAAAGCTTCTAAAAGCTTGAATTATTTAGGACCATGTCAGTGTCTCATTAAAATGAAGCAAAGCCCCTTTCCCCTTTTGTACTTTGTACCAGTGGATCTGGGAACTAATTGTTCACCTAGATTTCTAAAACTAATTATTCAGTAAGTACTGCACATGCCTAATGTCCACACCGTATTTTACAGGAATCACATGATCCGGCAGATGATGATAAAAATATTTCGCTGCGTTGAGCCAGAACTGAATCACCTTATTGCTCTTGGGGACAAGATTGATAGCTTTAATTCCCTTTATATGCTGGTGAAAATGAGTCACCATGTATGGACAGCCCAAAACGTGGATCCAACGTCCTTCCTCAGCACAACACTTGGAAACGTTTTAGTGACCGTCAAAAGGAACTTTGACAAGTGCATTGTAAGTTTTCAGCGGCTTTCATAATTAGGTTCTTTGGGCCGAGGCGCACATTCGGCAAACCAGGTAGAACTTCACATTTGGTGAGGCAGTAGGATTGCTCCCCTTGCCTCAGTGAATTGGCCGTATCAGATGGCAGTGTATGTGCATAGATTCCTACCTATATTACACACAATAACTTGAAATCCCTGCCCTGCAGAACAAGGTGGGGTAGGATGATCGGGATCACACATAAGGAGCATGTGCAGTGTGAATCTATTTTGTCTGTATGCGGAATACATAGAGGTCCTATGGCTCAGTGGGTCTCTCCCATGCATTGACCTTTAACTCAGTTTCTTATGCGATGCCTTATAGTTAAACCTATCTGTTTGGCTGGGGTGGAGGAACGATGGCACATGTCCTGCCTCCTGGTTGGTTGCACTTTGGATCCATATGCCTTCGTCTCACCTCTTTCCCTTCCTCAGTTTAAAACGAAAACTTATGGTCTGCGATCTTTGTTTTTCCTCTTCAGAGTAACCAAATCAAACAGATGGAAGATGTAAAGATATCCAAGAAGAGTAAAGTTGGAATTCTCCCCTTTGTTGCTGAATTTGAAGAGTTTGCAGCCTTAGCTGAATCTATTTTCAGAAATGCTGAACGCAGAGGAGACCTGGATAAAGCCTATCTAAAACTTATTAGGGGAGTTTTCACTAATGGTGAGAATCTGCCTCATAATCAGAAAGTCTTTTTTCTGTTGTATCTCATATATAGTGTTATCCTGTTGATGAAATGGGTTAAGGTCCACTAGAACTCAGTGGAATTTACCTTTGATTGCACTGTCAATCACTGTTACTTAACCCCTATTTGCCCTCATATGCCAGCTATTTATATTATAACATGGTTTAAAAATGAATATGGAAGCATTGCATTCAGTATATTGGCCTGGTTCACACATCACGCTAAGGTGAATTATTGTTTGACCCAAACACACAGAGTCCAGGAAAGGCAAACACAGCTACTTACTCCCTCCTGGTTGTTCTGCTTCTGTGTTGCATTGAGCTGAGCCATGGTTTGTTATCAAAGCTAAGCTCACGGTTCAACTCCCTTGGATAAACCACAAGCTGTAAACCATAGGATCAACCTGGGTTGTAACTCATGGTTTGTCTAGCGAGAGATGAGCCACAAATCTAGATACAGATGACAATACTCAGTGCAGCAGCAGAATAACTAGGGATGAGCCAAACAGCTGTGACCTCTCTGGAAGCCTGCATTTTCATGCTAAGCCATGGTTTGTCTTCATGTGACATACAAATTAGGCCATTATCTTGCCTTTTTAGTAATAGAAACATTGATAGCTGTTTTCCATATGGAGTTGTATAATTGTATTTATGGCATGTCATCAAACAAAAAAATTAAGGCACAACTTAGCAAAATTTAAGACTTACCGGGAACACCCGCAGGGCTCCCCATGCTGCGGATGTCTGGCCGGGGCGAGGGGCGCTCTGCTTCAGGGCGCCTTGCGTGCCGAGCGGCAGGCTGCTATCCGCAGCACGGGGAGCCCTGTGGGTACTCCCGCAGGCTCCCCAGGCTTGCTGATAGCTTCCTGAAGCCTGGAGACCGAGAGGGGTCGGTGCGCACCGACCCCTCTCGCTCTCCAAGCTTCAGCGAAAGCCTGTATTCGCCCCATAGGACGCACACAGATTTCCCCTTCATTTTTGGAGGGGAAAAAGTGTGTCCTTTAGGGTGAAAAATACGGTATATAAGTAAGTGCATAACTCTTCCATTGAACTATGTAGCATTTAAAAGTGCTTTACTTGACAGGAGAGTCCCTTTTGTGTTTGTATATTATCAACACAGCCACCTCAGGATTCTTTTAAGAGCGGGTTATCTTATTTCCACCCCAGAAATCCTACTGTCTGGTTTTAAAATCACATGGCTATTACCTTCCTACCTGAAACTAAATATATGCTGTTCAGGAATTACGTGCTAAGGGATTATGCTTATGTGTTGATTCTTTGCCATCCTTGCTGTTGGTGTGATCATGTGTGTCATTTGGTTTGGGGTTTTTTTAGTGGAGAAAGTAGCAAATGAAAGCCAAAAGACACCACGGGATGTGGTCATGATGGAGAATTTTCACCATATCTTTGCAACTCTTTCTCGGTTGAAAATCTCGTGTTTGGAGGCTGAGAAAAAGGAAGCTAAACAAAAATATACAGATCATCTGCAGTCCTACGTCATCTACTCTTTGGGACAGCCACTTGAGAAATTAAATGTAAGACATGTCCTTCTATAGCTTCAATTCTGGGGGTTAAAAAACAAATATTAAATTTAGAAGGCTGCCAGAAGCAGACTTCTACAGCCCCAGATGCACACTCCAATTGTTAATTAGTATGGAAGACCTATTTATACCTGTATTTATTCATAAGTTTAGCATTCACCCTGTAATATTATATAGCATATGATGATGGAAGAATAGAGTACATACTAAAACCCCTAACAAAAATAGGTTTCACAAAGGCTGCAGAAACTCTTGTGTTTCACCTACACTCTTGCAATGAAATACTGAAGAAGAGATGGAAGTTGTGATAGGAACAGGAATGGCATATTATGACATGGGTAATCGCTACGCATCTCAAAAAGTTATGGAGAGGCAAGCTTGTAGATTGTTCATCTCAGTTTTTAATCATCAAGAGTAGAACGAGCAACATATGTGGTGATTTGATCTGATAAATATCCACATTGTGCAATGGAGTAATGTTGCTAGTCAGCATCTTATCTAACTACATTATTGTTGAAAATGGGCTGAAATAAAATACGAAAGGCTTTGTTTATTACAATTTTTTTATATCCCAAGCTTCAGGATGCATATCCTTCAAAGGTAGCTTATTAAAAAAAAATAAACTTCATTTAAGCACACACACACATTCTTAATATCAACCTATACAAAGCCATTGGGGTGATTTCCATAGTACAGCTGCTGTGGTGGTGAAGTCCACTTGGATAGATGGTCTTTGCCTATGACCTTCGCTCTCCTGAAATCCTTCCTGCAAGACCAATTGATGATTCAGTGGTCCTAGGGAGAAGTCCAGCTTAACCAATGTGTACAAGCAGAAATAACAATATAGGCTACATATATATCAATGGGGCACAGGCATAGAATGTAGAGCTTTGCACTGACCTCTCTTACAATAGCAAGTAAGAGAAATCCGGTCAATTTCATACTTCAAAAATAAACAGGAAAAACTGCTTTCCAACGACAATAGTTCAAATGTGTAGAAGCCATGCTTAATACCAGGTGTTTAAGGCTGAGCACCGTTTTGTTTGTGGATTTTAATATATTTGAATACTTTGCCTCAGCACTTCTTTGAGGGCGTTGAAGCTCGTGTGGCGCAAGGTGTGAGAGAAGAGGAAGTGAGCTACCAGCTGGCGTTCAATAAACAGGAGCTAAGAAAGGTTATAAAGGAGTATCCCGGCAAGGAAGTGAAAAAGGGGTTGGACAACCTTTATAAGAAGGTGGATAAACACTTGTGTGAAGAGGAAAACCTACTTCAGGTAATATAATGGGTATTAAGAGTGTGCATAAACCTAGTTAATGCTGTGTAAATGTTTTTGCTGTCCTTGGTTTGTCTCCAGATAATGGGTGAAGCGGGAGGTGGGGGAAGAGAGCATTTGAGGAAGTTCAGGGTGCATTCAGCCTTACAGGCCACAGGGAAGACACAATAACCAGGTTAATTTACATGATTGTTGCATTTATATCCTACATTTCCATTTGCGGGAAGGGGGGAGGGGGGAAATGACCAAGGCACCTAACAGAAATAAAAGCAACAACAGAAAATCCACACTGACATAGAAGAAGGAAGGAAGACTGTGTTTGGGCTATGTCACTTGGTGAGGCTCACATGATAGAATACTTAAGTGTCTCATTCTACACAGGAAGCTTGCATGCCAAAAAAAAACCATTCTAGCCTTGTTTTCTCTTTCACTTGCTAGTGTTGTAAATGGAGGAGGGAAATGTATTGAAGAGTTGATTGAACCTCCACCTATAATCTGAAGTAAAGAAGCCTTTAGAATGTTGCTTTCTTATTGGTACAATTGTAAACAGACTCCTTAGCAAATAACTGGCTAGGATTGTGATGGTGTCAGTGGGCTTTCCTGTTTCCTGGTTGTTGCATGTGAAGGCATACACAAGTACATATCCTGGCAAAAGCTGAGTAGGGAGAAGGTTCATCCTGCTGTTTTCGATGCGTGTGTGCAAGGAATTGACTCTTACCCATCTGTCTTGCCTTGCCTCTCCATAGCAACAGCACTCCACTGTCCTCCTAGGTCCTAGGAAAAGGGAGATAGCAGAAGAGACAGTGCCGAGATACTATAACATGGAGCTAAATGTTGGCAATGGCTCCACACACACATTTCCTTGGAAGGTGCAGAGCTGTCCTCAACAGTGAAGCCAGTCAGCAGGACAGGCCTTTGGTGATATGGATTAGTAACCATGGATAATATTTACATTACTGAAATTCTGCTTTTCTTCTTCTTTTTGGTAGGTGGTGTGGCATTCTATGCAAGATGAGTTCATACGCCAGTACAAGCATTTTGAGGGCTTAATAGCACGCTGTTATCCTGGATCTGGAATTACTATGGAGTTCACTATCCAAGACATTTTAGACTACTTCTCCAGCATTGCACAGTCTCACTAATATCTGCCAAGGGTAAAAGCAAGATAAACTAATGAATCTTTTAGCACTGAAGACTTGTTACTTTGTGAGATGGAATTTTGAGGAATGTCCTTAATTATCTTTATGCCCATCAATTGATGGCCTGAGGAGAAATGTTGCTTACTTACTGTATAGAAACAGTGTTAAAGCATACTTTTTCACATGTAACACAGTCTGGCTTGTTTTATTTTCGATGTTGATATATTAGCCTTGTATAATTTATAGTACATTAGATACTAAACTCTTTGGCTTTCCTGTAGCTTCCAGTAATTATGTTAAAGTATTAAAATTATTGTACAAGGCTGAAGGGGTTTCTGCATCAAAATGTATTAATATATGGATTGATGGAACTTGCACGCATGCTTTCAAAAGAATCTATTTACATGACTTTATGGTTGAAATTCTTCTGATCCAATATCAAAATAATGTTTACAAAGGCGTTCCTTGTATTTATTTCCCTATCCTATGACATGCATTACACAAAAGGAAAAATTGCCAGTCAACTGAGGGATCCAGATACTATATTTAAGTTATGTGTTTTTACTTTTTGCATGCATGCATTAGTTGAAGCTTCCTTGGAAACACTGAACTAACACTTTGATTCTGAAGACTAAAACTTTAAATTGGCTCAGTTTATCACATTGATGAAAAAAACAGCAAAATAGCTGGAGAAAAAGCCTGTCTGAGTCTGTTTTTCTGCCTAAGCTTTGGAAGAACATCTGCCCTTATGGTTGTACACCTGGATTGCGGAAGAAATGGATTGCTAAAAGGAGTTTTGAACGAGATCCTGAAACAATATTTAGATCCCTACTTGCATCACTTGGGGTGGCTAACAATGGGGAATACGCAATACAGTGGTACCTCGGGTTACATACGCTTCAGGTTACATACGCTTCAGGTTACAGACTCCGCTAACCCAGAAATAGTACCTCGGGTTAAGAACTTTGCTTCAGGATGAGAACAGAAATCATGCTCAGGCGGCGCAGCAGCAGCAGGAGGCCCCATTAACTAAAGTGGTGCTTCAGGTTAAGAACAGTTTCAGAACGGACCTCCGGAATGAATTAAGTACATAACCAGAGGTACAACTGTATGTAAGTCGTACAGCTAAAATAAGTGATGCTGCAGTGAAAATAGTTTTGATTGCATTTTTAGCATTTAAGTACACAGTCTCGGTTTTTTCCTTAATGTTTTTGCTGTTCTGGGATGCTGGCATTAACAATCCAGTGCAGATTACTATTTATACCGTTTAGGCAGAATGAGAGAATTAGGTTCTAGTTTCCAGAGCGCATTTTTTGCCGGGCGAGTGACCCTTAAAAAGGCTCTCGAAACATGCCCTCCCAGCCTCCGCCGCCAGAGGCCGCTGCGGCGGCGCGCGTCGGAGCCCCGGCTCGTCCGTTAAAGGTTCCCCAGAGCGCGCTCGCGCTCGGAGAGCCGTTGCTGGGGGCGACGCCGGGCGGAAGCGGAGCGGCGGCGGACGCTTCGCGCGCCATTTTCAAACGGCCGCCTCGGCCCACACCGCCGCTCCAACTTCCTGGGAGGCTTTTTTTGTGTGGAGAAAGGCGGGGGAGAAAGAAGCGAAGGTAGAGTAGCCCGAGACCCAGGAGGGGCCCCCCGAGGGCGAGCGGTGGGGGAAGAGCCAGGCCGCGGGTTTAACGGCCCTCGGCGGAGAGGCCGAGATTTATTAGAGAGGCCTCCACCGAGGGCCCGTTTCCATGGCGACGGCGGGGCGGTGACGTCACCGCGAAGGGAGCAGCCCTTTCAGCTGCTGTGACGCTTCCTGGGGCCTTGAGGACGAGGCTGCCTTGGGAAAGCGCCGGCGCCCTCGTCCTCCGCAATCACAGCGCGACCGCTTCGGGTTCCTTGTCTTGTGGCCCTGGCCAGACCCTCCGTCCGACAATCGCTGCTTCATGTTTAGTCCCTTCTTCGCCGCCCCCCTTGGGTTGACCCTCCCGCCCAGAGCACCAGTCGCACCTCTCCCCACTTTGCTCCCTTCTCTGCGATCCCTATGTCTCTGCAGCTGCTCACCGCAGCCTCGCCTCTCTCCCTCGTCATTGCTCTTCTGCTTGCTTCTTGACCCGTCAGTATATCTATATTTCTCCTAGAAATCCTTGCTGTAGCACAGTTGCTCTCAAAAAACAACAGCACACCCCCCACTGTTGTATGCAGAGGTGTGTGTGATCTGTCATGTTTGCTTTAGTTGCCATTCCTTGCATTGCACGGGGTTGGACTAGATGACCCCTGGGGTCCCTTCTAACTCTACGATTCTATGATTCTGTTGTGTATAGAGATATCTCTCTCTCACTTATACATGTTCCACGGAGTTCATTCAGGCTGGCATACATGATATCCGTGCTCCCTGACTTTATCCTCACAACAGCCCTATGAGGTAGGTCAATCTGAGAGACAGTAGCTGGCCCCCGATGCAACTGGTTTTGTTGCACTGGGCGCAGAGCCTTGGGGGATGCTGCAACTATGATGTAGAATGGAAGGCAAGAGGCAGGGGGTCCCCCAGTTTTGGCATCGCAAAATGAAACCCCATGCACAGTTCTTATTCTTCAACTCCTTTTGTGTAGAAGTCACTAGTGTGTGTTCTGAAATGGCACTGGATTGTGGTTGAACTGGTTGCACATCATGCGATGCCCTGGCTACATCTTATTTACGAACTCTAATCTGTTGTTGGTTTCTGAGTCTGATATTTCAGGGACACTCCAGTTTGCGTCCATACTCTTCTATTTCACCCTCTTCCTGGTAAAAAGTAATGTCTCAGCTGCCAGAAGACCATGCTAACTTGTATCAGGTCATGACCAAGTGCCAGAAAGCAAGGAGCTTGGTCTTGCATGTTCATGTTGTAATTGTGTAAGCTAACATGTGCTTAAATTATTTGCAGATCCCATTTTTTTCCACAAAAGACAGTTCAATAATATCTTCACAATGAGCACAGCTGCAGAACGAAAGTTCGTTAATCTAAGGAAGCGGTTGGATCAGCTGGGTTATCGACAACCATTAGGAGTGGAGAGTTTGCCTTTGGTGGAAAAGCTTTTTAGGTATCTAAACAAAAGGGAATAGCAAAATGTACTCATAGGTGCTATTGGATTGATATTTGCTGTTTGACTACATTACACTAGTGGTGAAAGTTAGTCTTCTGTGAAATGCATTGTCAAAGCAAATATCCTATGTTAATCCTGAAATGCAGTTTAAAGCAATCTTTTGTAACTTCACTGTACACAATCTAGAGACATCAGTTTCAAATTTCACTAGAATGTATAGTGGTACCTCGGTTACATACACTTCAGGTTACAGACGCTTCAGTTTACAGACTCCGCTAACCTAGAAATAGTACCTCGGGTTAAGAACTTTGCTTCAGGATGAGAACAGAAATCGTGCTCCGGCAGCACGGCAGCAGCGGTTAAGAACAGTTTCAGGTTAAGAACGGACCTCCGGAACGAATTAAGTACGTAACCAGAGGTACCACTGTATCGTAATTGGCTTTTAAAAGCATGCCTAAAATTAGCTGCAATAAGCAACTGTTTTAGAACAGAGGTCTGAGTGCAGTGCATAGAAAAATCTGTAACAGGAACATTCCTGTGACATAAGGGAACCCTGGTGTACAATATTAAATGTCCTAGGCAATAAAAATAGGGTTTAATTTGAATAAATTAATCAGCTTAAAGAATGGTGTGAATGCTGTTCTGTAAGCAGCATTCTTCCTGAAAAAACAAATGTTTGCTTTCATGCATAAATGGGATGTCTTGTATATGCAGCCACAAAGTTGGGGTAAATTCTGCCAACCAAATGTTGCACATTAATCTTAGAAATGCTGCCTGCTTGCCTCCTCCTTTAATGTGTGTGCAAGTAAATCCCCTTTTGATTTTAATGAAAACTTGGCCATTTAAGGAAGGTTAAGATTGTAGTCCATGCATACTTGCATAGACATAGGGAAATAGATGAAATGTTCTATTTTAAATCTGGTTGGCTAGTACACCAAGCCAAAATCTGCTTCTATTCTGGCCTAGGGGGTGACTGGAGCAGGGTATTTATACAAAATACTAGTTTTGGCCATTATAGGAGTCATCTCTCAAGCCTGGAAATTTGTTTTCCTTCCATTTCAGTGACCTTGTTCATACAACTGAGAGCCTCCGGAGTGCTAAGCTATCTGCTGGAAAACTTGAAAAAGAATACAGCAACTTTGACGTTGTTCTAGAACCTTATCGAGAAGAAAATGCTAGGCTCACCCGTGAAAACAATGAACTACATTTAGAAATTCTGAAACTGAAAGAACAATTGGAAAAGCAGGTCAAAGGTAATCTTGAAAACCTAACTGATTATTTGTCTCTCAGAAAGGGGGGGGGGCAACAAATTTTGACTATCATTAGCCAAAACTTGTGGTTGCCATTGATCCCACAAGTCTTGCCTCTAATAAGTTTGGTGGTAGCACTCTACCCTTTGTGTTGAGTTTTGGAAGCACTTGCGCTGGTGATGCAGCAGGAAGATGGAATCTGCAAAAATCACCTTACCTTTTATCTTTGTGGATTGTGATGTATCTCCATTACATCAAAAGCAGAATGGCAGCATTGAATGCCACCCAAAGACTTGATGCAGTGGTGGACTGGATAAGGGCCAATAAACTGTCTGAATCCTGAGAAGACGGAAGCTCTTTAAAAATCTCCCTCTGAAGGAGCAAGTGCATAGTTTGGGGGCATTCCCAAATGCATCTTTGTCACTGGGGGCCCTGTTGTCCTCTGTGGCTTGTTGTGCCTTCTGCCAGCTGCATCTGGTTCACCAACCACAGTCATTCCTGGACAGGGATAGCCTGACCACTATAGTCCATTGGTAATCTCGAAGCTACTGTAATGCACTATATGTGGGGCTGTCCTTGAGTCTGATTCAGAAGCTCCAGCCGGTGCAGAATGCTGCGGCCAGATCACTGGCGGGAGTGACACCATTGTTAAAACAGCTGCACTGGTTGCCCATCTGTTACTAAGCCAGGTTCAAGGTTCTTTTATTGATTTACAAAGCCCTAAACAACTTGAGTCCAGGACACCTCAGGGATCAGCTGAATCCTTATATAACAGCTTGATCACTGAGATCATCTGCAGGAACGTCTTTCATTGCTCTCCGAGTAGGTGAAACCTAGCCTTTAGTGTCATCAGCCTAGTCCTGTGGAACACCCTACCAATAGAGATTCAGCAGGCACCTTCTGTGCCAACTTTTAAATGTCCACTGAAAACATTTCTGTTCTGCCAGGCCTATGCAGGCCACGGTGACCTATTGATGTTGTAAATTTCCTTTTGCTTGTTTTTAACTTTTTATGGTTTTATTGGTTTTACGTTTTTATATTGTTGTGAACTGCTGTGAGACATCTATGACACAGCGGTATATAAATATTTTTATAAATAAATACATAAAGTTTCAAACCACAGCATGCCAGTGTTCTCCCTGAGAAGCTATGATACTAAGAGTCAGGGAAATGAGAAATAGTTTAACTGATTCTTAAGGCTGCTTCAAGCAATATTTCATTATAAAATGTCTTCTTAATGTTGTACACCGCCCTGGGATCTTCTGATAAAAGGTGGTATATAAATTGAATAAATAATAATAATAAACAATAATACTTGAATACAATCCCCAAAACTGGTCTAAGTTTGAAGTGCACAAATGTGTGTGTTTGGCCACATCATTTTAAACTACTAAACTAGTTAAGTAGCTCTATTGCAGTGATTGCAAACACGCACACTGTGATGGGTCTTTACCATAGAATTGTAGAGTTAGAAGGGACCCGAAGGGTCATCTAGTCCAACCCCCTGCAATGCAGGAATACCATGAATATCTCTACTTGTTAGGGTTTTAGGCTTGCTTTAAATGGATCTGTTGTTTTTGTTGTTTTAACTGTTTTTAATTATCTCATGTGCAAATTACCTTGAGAAGATTGTTTAGGAAGTGGTTGTTGTCATTGTGTTTTTAAAAGAGACAAGCAACTAAAAACATGTTCAGGCAAACTGAGACTTGCAGCACATGTGCGTATTAGCACCTGGGGATAGAAAAAAAACATTGAGCTTGTTTTTTATTCCTAGTATGCAGGAAGAATAAAAAGGAAGAATACTGTTGATTTTTTTTCTTCCTTAAAGGTTTGAAAACTACACTGAGGAAAGTTGAACATGAGAATGCAGATATGAAATTTTTGAATAACCAGTATATACATAAAATTAGATCATTAGAGAAAGAGAACAAAGCCAAGACTGACAAGATCCAGCAACTCCAAGAGAAAAATCTGCAAGCAGTGGTTCAGACACCAGGTACACTATCAGATTATGTGCTCATCATGCTACCTCTTCTCTTACTAGGCTGCACTTTTGCACCCCATTTTGGTACTTGAGTATATTTGGTTTTAGTGGGACTTTAGCAAATGTCAATATGGAAAAAAAATTCACCAGAAGCCATGGATCCAGATTCTGCACTAATAATTGCTGCAGAACCTCAATTATCAAACTCCCTTTAGAGAGGTTTGGTTTCTCATCCTCTTTTAAACTTTAGGTGAGCTGCTATAACTTTATTTCACTGAGATTTTTGTGCAGGTTAAATATCTGTTTCCTTGTTTTTATGCTGATTTGTTTTTTCATTATTTTGCTTTATTTTATTAAATTGATTTTAATAATTTTGACTAATAGAGTGTATTAATTTTGTTAACAGTTTAAAACCACTATTTTATTTTATGAAGTAAATCAAGGCATAATTTTTGGAAAAATAAATAGACATTACCTACTTTCTTTGGTATAGAAGTCAGTTCCACGTATCTATCTCTTCCTCAATTGAAATTGTTGGGGAAGCCCACAAGGTGATGGCCAGTGTGACCAATGGCCACTGGTGCCATATTACAACACATGTTGTGGATAAAACATAATCTCTCAGAGTTCTGTGAAAATTTAGTAAAGATTTGCCTCTGTGCTCTCAGGCTGAGATATTACTGTCTTTATTCTTAGGGCATTATATGCAAAATCTAGACTTTTACTTGTATAGCAGCACTAAAATATAGTGTTGGATGGAGACTCACAGCCCAATCACAAGCATGTTTATTCAGTGCCACTGAGTACAATGGGGTTTAGGATACATACATAGGAATTATAGAATTTACTTGAATTTAGGCAATAATCCTAACCCCACTTACTGTTAGTTATATACATTTACCATTGAACTGAATAGGAATTCTGAGCAGTCATGGTTATGATTGCACTGTTATTTCCCGTTGAAATCAATGAAGGGCAGATTTACACTATTTTACGCTTGCAAACAAAGTAATATAATGAAATTGACGCATGCGCTTAGTCTTTGAGGGCTTTAATGTAGTCTTGTGTCTATATAGCATGTAGATTTCATTTAAGCTATTCTTTTAATGAACATTTTGTTAAATGTATTCTTTGCCACTCATATAAATATCTACTGCTTAAAAGTATTATTCCAGTAACAAAGGAATTTCTTTGGTTCTTCAATATAAAGAAGAACTCTTGGGGCTGTTTAATTCTTAGTAATATGCATTTATCTTTGTAGGTGGTAGGAAAAGAAATATTCCGTTCAGGCGTCAGCGTATGCAGATAGACCAGCCAGTCCCTCCCTCAGGAATCGGTGCTTATCCAATTCCTCAGCCAGATGACCCATATATTGCAGATCTTCTTCAAGTGGCTGACAACAGGTGATTAATGGTCTTTTAAAATCTTGACATACTAGTAATGCCATCCTGACATCTCCCTCCAGTCTTCCATGAATGAGAATTAGTCTCTAACCCTTCCCCTCCCACCTCTGTGGGAGAAAATGTTTGGGAAGAATTACTTAGTTCTTTAATCGCCGTTCATGTTTCCGATTGTCAAAATGACAAGAAATCAAAAGTTACTATGGCATTCATTATACATTTTTGAAAACCAGAACAGTTTATGTATTGCACTTTGGCCTTCCTTTGGACTTCTTCACTGTGATCATAAAACAAGGGATTAGCAATGTTACGTTTCAATGTTTTAACAACGTAAGGTTAAAAAGTTCAGTATATTTTTCTTAGTACTATGCCTATTTGAGGGGGGTATTAATGTAAAACACGCTGTATTAATTACTTTTACTTTTGCTGCTTCTAAATGTATGCAATCTATTGAATGACTTGAGATTTTGAGTGACTGTAGAACAGGTAATAATGAGAGTTGTCTGCGGAAAATATTTTATTAATGTAGAATTCCTGAATGAAACTCAAATTCAGATAAAATATATTTCAGAATTCATGAACTGCAGTTAGAAGTGTCGGACTTGCAAGAAAAGCTAGAGATAGCGGAACGTGAGGTGAAAAATTACAGCAAACAGGTAAACTAATATTTTAAGGGTTGTGTATTTTGCTTCTTAATTTTTCAGTATAGTCTACAGTTTCTCTTTGCTGAAGAAGGGATCTTAAGATCAGCATTTCCCCCAGGAACTGTCAGCATTTTGTTAATGTCCTGGTTAAAAGCCAGTAGTGGCTTGCTTTGGCATAGCTACTTCCGTATTCATTCTACTGACAGAGTGGGGAATGTAGCTCAGTAGTACAGCTCATGCTTTGCATGCAGAGCATCTCAGACTCAATCTGCAATCCCTGTCTGAAATACTAGAGAGCTGCAGTCAGTGTAAACTATACTGAGCTAGATGGGTCAGGATTCTGACTCTGTATACGGGTGGTTTTAGTTGGGGTCCCTATATCGCAAAGAGGTTGGTCCAATTTTTCTGTGTATGGTTTTGGCACATTAGCTTTCACCAAACTCCTATTTTTTCCCTGTCCTGGCTATTCACTGCTATTATATTATATTAATCTATCCGAGTGGGTAGAGCTTGACAGAAGTTATACAGAGGAGTTTTTATCCTTCTCATTTGTTCCTCCCTTCCCTTCCCTTCCATTGCCTTTTTCTGTTCTGGGCATGCACACAATATTTTTGTAACTATGTGCATGTATTCCTTTAATAAAACAAAACAAAATAAAACAGGAAACATAGGAGAGAAAATGTTACTAGCCCAAGTTACCATATTTGACAAAATACAAAATTGAGGCATGTGCTTTCTTTACAGATGGGATGAGGGAGAAACTGGGAAGTATCGATTTGCATTTAATTTTTGTTTTTTTTAAAAAAATCAATACTGAGGACTTGCACAAAAGTGCCTGATGTATTTACTATGATGACAGTTTCTGAGTTGATACCCTACTTGTACTCTGTAGATATCTCGAGAGAACAACTCCTCCTAACTGGCTAGTCGAAATTTGGACACTCCTCCAGAATAAGACAGTTGGTGGAAACTGTCACACTTGTATCAAGTGAGGAGCAAACAGAAGTAGGTGTGTGGTATTAGAAACCACCCACCAAAACGTGTGACAAAGCATCTACAAGAAAATGTGATAGCGAGCATCCACACCAGGAGTGACCGCACATGTACAATGGGTTATCTGAGAATTTTTGTGGTACAGTCAAACCTCAGCTCCCCAACCCCCCTGTTTTGGAACGTTTTGGCTCCTGAATGCCAAAAACTGAGAAGTAAATGCTCCGGTTTTCGAACATTTTTTGGAAGCCGAACGTCCAACACGGCTTCCGCTTGATTACAGGAAGCTCCTGCAACCAATCAGAAGCCGCACCCTGGAGTTCCTCCGACCGGAGGAACTGGCTCCGTGGAAACTGGGTCTTCCCACCGCGGCGAAGGTGGGGACCCGCTAGAAATCCCAGGCGGAGGAAGCCTGGGAACGTGGGGTTCGGCAGGGCACCAGGAGCACCCTACGCACCGGGAACCCCATTTTGGGGCTCCGGAGTGAAGTGGGGTGAGCGGCGCGGTGCTGCGAACTGATTGCTACTTTCACGGAGTGAAGCCGCACAGCCATTGCCGGAGAGCGCTGACTTTTCCTGTGGACAATTGGATTTAAAACAAGTACCCGTGAGTAGAAACGGAAAATTGGATCAAGAAATATCTTAATTTGGCACCGAAGCGGGAAGGTTCAAAACAGGAAGTCCGCCTTCCGCTTTTTGTACATAGACTGAAGCAAAAACCTTGTAAGCTAAAGTCTGGAAAGTCGTTAAAAAAGTTTAAATTTCCTTCATTTATAATTACTGAAACCCCCTTGGAAGCAGGAGAAAAGGGGGGGGGCTTTGTTTAACGCCTGCAGGAGAGGGAGTGAAGAAAGATAAGTTTCCACCGTCTCTAACCTGGGAACGGGGTGTCAGAGACAGAAATTCTTGGAGAGGTTCATTGACTGTGAATGGAATACTTTGACAGATAGCTAAAGAAGAGAAATAAATTGATTCCAATGTTGCCTTCTGCATTCTAAAGAAACAAAATATCTGAAAAATGAAAGTAATTTTCCTTTGATGGACTTGCCTTAAAAAAAATGGATACAAATAGAAATTGTCTCCTCTAGAGGGAGCTTGCTAAATTGTTGCTGCAGTCTACTTGAGGACTCTACAGCTGTCAGATTAAGATCGTGGGACCAGTCCTTTTTGACCTTGACTAAATATGAGCTGGGAGGAAGTTTTGGTGCTTGCTTTATGCAAGACAAGTGCCTTGCTGGAACAGATGCATGAGAAGATGGATTTGATGAATGAGAAAATGGATTTGATGACTGTTGTGGTTAATAACTGTGGACAAACAGGGAATATTGATACAGAAACTATTCAGGGACCAACTCAGGAACCTGTACTGATTGGGCAAGTGCAGAAGATAATGGAGGAGGTTGCGGTTGCACCTCAAATAATACAAATGGAGAGACCCGAGGCCCTACAGGAGTATAAGCCGCTGTCTTTGAAGATTGAAGTTGGAGTCGGCCAGGGGGAGTCTGGAGCTGAGGAGGTTCTTAACTTTGGAGAGACCTCGAAATATGTTTTTAAATATTTTTTGGACTACATTGATGATTGTAGGGAGTGGGACTCTGGGGAATGGGCTGGTTGGATGAAGGGAGATGAAGATAATTTTGGGTTGGAATCCCCCAGAGACCTACTCCCCAACGAGAAAGGAAAGAAACTAAGAAAGAGACCAACAAAAGACAAGGAAAAGTGCAAGTATAAACAAGAAGAAGATGATCTGCAGAAGGGACATGGAAGAGACTTAAGGGCCTCGGACATTAGATTACCAGGTTGATGGACTAGATGGAATGGACAGTAAGGACTGACACGACCCGAGACCAGGAAGAAGAGACGTTGGATGAAGATTGGAAGAAAATTTATAAAGAATTTTTTTTTAGGGAATTAGCCTAAAATTAATGAACATTAGGGAAAATGTTGGAATGAAACTATATGACTCTAGTAGAAAAGATATCAGGAGTTATGTATAATCGAGTATTAAGCGTTAAGCTCTAAAGTATTTTTTGGTAAGATAAGGTTAAATAACTTAAGGTAATTTGAATAACAGAATATGGGGAAAGGATGGAAAGGATTTGTTGAGTTAATTAATAGGTTAAATTGTCAAGATAAATTATTTAGTAAAAATTGAGAAAGATGGAAAGAATTTGCTGAAATAATCAATCAAACTAGAATACAAAAAGGGAGGTGTGAGGAGGTCAATGAAACAAGCAAATGGAAGTTAAAGATATGTAATATGGGATTTGTGTCTTTTTTTCCTTCTTTTTTATCTTTTTGCTGTATTATTGCATTGGTTTTTATGTCTTGGTTTTTTTTCTTGTTTTTTTTCTATGTATTGTAGTGTTGTTTTTAATTTTTTTTCTTTCTTTTCTGTAATTTTGAAATTATTAATAAATATTATTTTTAAAAAAGTAATTAAAAAAATCAGAAGCCGCACCCTGGCTGTCGAACATTTTGGAAGCTGAATGGGTTTCCGGAATGGATTACGTTCAACAACCGAGGTTTGCCTGTAAAAGGAAATCCCAGTTAATTGTGGGGGAATCCTAGCTGGCATTTTGGTGATTACAATGATAAAACGTTGTGCATGAGCATCACCAGTTCCACAACAAACCCCAAGGCAGTTTCCTAAGAAGAGATTCCTATTAATATTCAGTTTCCTTTCCAAAGAAACTTATTCTTAATCTCATTGCACTTTACCTCTGTTGTGTTGGCATGTGTGGCTTTGATGAACTTGACAGGCCCCTAGAACACTTGAGGAGGACCCTTCCTGCATGCTATCACAGCCTCTCTGGTAACACATTCACAAATGGTCCATACATCAGACTGGTGTCGAGGATAATTTCTGGTATGATGAGTGTTTTCATTGGAAATCATAGCATCCCCAGAACAGTCCCGTATCCTTATGTACTAAGAGGAGAAGTTCTGGCCAGGCATTTACAGCAGCAACACTCAATCATTTTAAAAGAATAATGATTTTGTCTCCAAAGGTTGAGCTGCGAGACCGTGAGATTGAGCGTTTAGGCCTGGCACTGGATGGCGGTCGCTCTCATGATGTCATATCTTTGGAAGCCAGAAGCAGAAGTAATGAAAAAATTATTGCTCACTTAAATTTACAGGTAACATGTTTGAGCCTCTTTCACTTAGAAACCTTTGTAAGATTCCTCAGCTCCTGATAAAGCTTTAGTGAAGTGCTGCAACTCCAAAACCACCTGAATTGACTCCATAACTGTAATCAGAGATGTCACGTCCCATTTTACTGGCTGTATCCTACACCTACTCATAAGTTAGTTTATTCCTTTTGTGGTCATTGTGTTCCAGCCGATTAACTTAGCAATGATAATATGGCTGAAAATTTTTGGAGGCTGTTTCCTCCAAATGTTTGGGTACCAAATTCATGACTTGGCTATTCAGCTAATTAAAATATCCACAGATCTCAAATGTTTCTTACGTTCTAAGAACATAAAGTACTACAGCTAATAATGGAAAGCTATTTGAGAACTAATTGCTATCTTTTGTTTGCCTGTAGTTGTGCTTCTACTGTTTTATTAACTTGAAACATTTTGTATGTTGTGGATGTGTTTCAGATTGAATTTCTGCAACAAACAAACAAAGAGCTTGAAATGCGCATACAAGATCTTCTGGACAGTAAGCAAAATGTCACTAGTGAAGTGGCTCATTTAAGCAATAAAAACGAAGAGCTGTGCCAAGAATTGAGTGAAATAGATCAGTTGGCACAACAGTTGGAAAGGCACAAAGAAATTGTGCTTGAGACTGCAGATAAAGAAATTGGACAGGCTAAGGTAAGGGAATTTTGTAACTTGGTAGAACATCAAGAAAATGTCTCAACTCCCAATGAAAGGTTTCAGGAGTTGCATCTGCTTTTAAAAGTGCACGCATTTGCCCTTGTATTTTAAATTTCATAAAGTGTAGTGCAGAAGAGGATTTGCAGACCAGCAACATCTGGAGAGCCATAACTTCCATATCCTTGCTTTAATGTATGGATTTTGATATTTTGTTGTATTTGCAATGCTTGTAACAGGCCCCTGTGTACATTATAATGGAATGAGGTCTGTTTTGTAGTTGGCCAAGGAACTGTAGAACTGAGTAACCATATCCTATAAGAAGGATTAGTTTAACCTCCAAAAGGGCCTTTGGGATGTCAGATGAGCGTTTTGGTATTTTCTTTCCTACTAAGGACAGCTGTTACACTGTGGACATGCTGCACATTTGCTAGAGAACTTCTCTTTAGTCTGCTGGGTTCCCTTTTTCTGCAGAAGGGATCTGGAGACCTTTCTGTAGATTTGCTCACATAGATCTTTTCCTAGTCATTTGATATCCCTGTAGCCACCAGACACCTCCGATGTCATTCAACTGCTCCCCAGTTCCATTAAATTTTCTGCTGCACTCCAGGTCTCTTTGTCCCATAGAGGCTTCAAAATATGTTCTATTTACAGTAATTTCTGGGTTTCTCTGCTCCTTCTATCCCCATCTGACAAGTAAATAGAATTATTATTATTATTATTATTATTATTATTATTATTATTATTATTTATATACCACCCTATACCCGCAGATGATGGAAGTTCAACTCCAAAGCTTTTTTGCTACAGTTTATAGGAATAATACAAATAGCATTTATATAACATTTTCAAACATTTGATGCATTTAACATGTATTGTTTTGTTGTAAACCATACAACAGCCATATAAGGTAGGTCAGATTCTCCTATATTACAGATAGAGCCTGAGGCTGAGAGGGAGTAGCTTGCTTGAGGCCATCTACAGAGTTCAGATGTAGACTAGATTTCAACTTATGAACTTTGTAGCTTGGCCTTGTATGTACTCTGCTACATGAGCTCATTGATGATGCACATAAATCTACATAACATTTTGCAGACAGTTTTGTACATCCCTGATCTTTTTCTGTAAATTATGTGAATGAAAGTTTTAGATATAATAGATATTCGATACCGTGTGGACATACTTGATATATTTTATGTTTAAACAGAAATATGACCTTTAAAAATGAAAAGGTTTTTTTTTACTTCTGTCTAATATGGTGGCATATTTATAAAGACCCTTCACTTTTTATAAACATTTTATCATTTATGATTTATAGGAAGAGATTAAAAAAACATACAGTGAAATCCAGGATCGTGAAGAGACAATAGCGAAGCTTAAGTCAGTAAGTAACAATTTTAAAGTGGAATAAGTTTATTTAACTCAATGCATTTTTAATACTTGGATACTTAGGCTGAATATAATGTGTGGACTAAAGACATCTGTTTAACAGAACAAGAAAGGAAAGCATTAGTAGTAGCAGTATTTTGATAGCTGTGCTGCTCTTCTACTTCTTGACAAACAGCTGATAATGCACAAGTTCTAGAGCAGAAAAGAGAAAATAAGTGATATCCTTTATTGGACATGTTATGGTAGAACAGTATTCTGGTTTTCAGATTAGATTAAACTCTGCTGCAAACAGAACAAAAAACTAACTACTGTGTCTTGAAAGCCACACTTATGAGAGTGTGCACAATCCAGTCAGTTAAGCATGTTAAGTCACATTTCAAAAGGAAACAAGTAGATTTTGAGAAAGTAATTCTTTGCTTTTCCCAAACCTGGAATTTTAAAAACACATTGTTTGCACTTTCCCATTACCGGAGACATTCTTTCACTATGCCACATTTTGCGATTATAACTTGTCTGGATGATGACTAGAATTTAGATTTAAACACCATGTATAAGTAGAAATACCTATGTCAATGAAATATTGTTTTACAAACTCTATATTTATTGTACTATCCTATTTTGAAAAATACACATTTGACTTTAGGAGTTATCTACATATCGGCGAGAAAAAGACAGGCTGACCGAAGAACTCTATGGAAAAACTGATGAAAAACAAAATCTTGAAGTGTTGTTAAACCAGGTTCAACTAGAGAACCATAGACTGGCCAAAAAACTTGAAAACCTTGAAATAATAGGTATGTGTTTTAAGAGATCTGGTGGATTATGTTGTACCCAAGACAATCCACAGCATAGTACCTGCACCTACCAAGCATCTACCAAGATGTTCCCTGGGTCACCGACAGCTCACTACTTGAGAGTTGCTCAGGCCCCTATCCACCCCATTGCTGCCACAGCAACAATGTGGCCCAATTGGAAGTCTTCCTGCAGACTCCAACCGAACAGGGGGAAAAAACAGGCAGGGCAAAAGCTGGGATATCCACAAGTGATGTCGTGGAAGGCAGTGTGCCTTATGGAGTACTCTTTTCTATTGTTCTGAAGTTTTGCTTTTCTTTGGGATTTTACTTTTGCCTCTGCTCCCTTTTACTTTTGCTGTTCGTTTGTTCCCTCTCAGCCTTATCCTCGGTGGGGGGCTCTGATGGTGTTGAAGGAAGTAGCAGTGCGGGGAAGGGGCCTAGAGGAACGGAGTGACAAAGTTAGGGGTGGGGAGAGGCAGGAAACAGTTTGCCTTCTGTGAAATGGGTGTCTTGTGCTAGGCTCACCACCACTGCAGCCATTCTGTTGTAGTGCCTATGAGAATTGTTTAGAAAGGTTGGGAACCACTGTGATAGCTTGTATTCAAATGCTGGGGGAAATACACTGAAGATAGCAGAACTTTTAACATATACAACTTGCTTCGCTGGTGAGTTACCTACACATTTTTTGAACCAGAATTTGCCTGGTGAGCCCAATTTTTCTTTTCCTTTCTTCATCATATAGGGTAAAACCTGTTTCCTTGGTATTATTCACTCTTAAAAGATTGGACTGCCTCTTAAGATAGTAATTTTTAAAATGCATTCTTCCTCCTTTAGTCCATATTTTCTTGAGGATGGATGAATGCAGTTCTGTCTGACTTTGCTCCTTCTAGCATCTTCGTTGTATATCTTCAACCATGTGCTGGTTTTCTTTAAATTGACCACCTCTGGTATATGCTAACTTCATTCATGCTTGTTGGTTATTTTCTCATGCAGATCGGGAGCTTGTTGTAGAACTAGAGAAAATGAGATTAGAAGGCGGTATAGCACTGGGGGACAAATCACCTTCTCGTCTGGATGCATTTGTAAAAACTATAGAAGAAGACAGGGACTACTATAAGCGTGAGCTAGAGTGTCTCCAAAAGATAATTAAACAAAGATCTAGCCCATTACGCAAGTCACCAGAAAAGGTAATAATTTTTTTGTTAAATATATTATAATGCCTAGTAACCTTTTTCATATGGTGCCCCAGTTTACAACTGCCATACTACTCAGATGTGACTGCCAGTAGTAAGGAGGAGGCATTTCTCAAGTAGTCAGACTGGTTGACTGAATTCATACTGTTTTAGTAAGGGAAAACAATGTTTTCCAATAGAAGTGCAAGGTTTAATACTTGTATGCCAGTGGATTTGCTGCAGACCCCAGCAGCTTTTCAAAATATTTGTAAACCTTTTTAGCAAACCTGAACCACTTCATATTCAATGTATTCTTCAGAGAACATGGGGTCCCTTAACTGTTTGTGTTTCATTTCCCCCCTTGACTCCTGTTTTTCAATTTTTAAAAAAAGATTGCATTACAAAGCTATCTGTCTAGTTTACCAATGTGAATGGAAAAGAGAAACTGTCGAACACCTTCATTAACTGGGATCCATTCTATTCCCAGAAAATTCTCAGAATATGGTATAGAAAATTGCATAATTGAAATGCTGTTTTTCCCCTGTTTAGACCACTTCAGAAGTCCTGGGATAGGGACGCGGGTGGCGCTGTGGGTTAAACCACAGAGCCTAGGACTTGCCAATCAGAAGGTTGGCGGTTCGAATCCCCGCGACGGGGTGAGCTCCCGTTGCTTGGTCCCAGCTCCTGCCAACCTAGCAGTTCGAAAGCACATCACAGTGCAAGTAGATAAATAGGTACCGCTCTGGCGGGAAGGTAAACAGTGTTTCCATGCACTGCTATGGTTCGCCAGAAGCGGCTTAGTCATGCTGGCCACATGACCCAGAAGCTGTATGCCGGCTCCCTTGGCCAATAAAGCGAGATGAGCGCCGCAACCCCAGAGTTGGTCACGACTGGACCTAATGGTCAGGGGTCCCTTTACCTTTACCTTTACCTTACCCTGCTTTGTAATAATTTCCCCCCTCTACATTCATCTGTTTGCAAAACAAAGCAAATAGCTCCCAAACATTGCAAAGTGTTTCTGTGCAGTTGGACTTCAGGAATGAACTTTGCCATCAGGTGTAAATCCACCTTGGAGCATGTTTATACTTATAGTGCAAATTTGTGACAATGCTTTCTGATTTGCCTTCTTGAAAGTCCCTATTAGGCCACTGGGGATATATCTTATATTATTTACTATGAGTGCAATATTTCACCTAAGCATTTTATTTGTTTGTTTGCTTGTTTTTGTTTTACTTTCTCTTCTGCTGTATCTTTCATGGCTTCCAGATAGCCCAATGAAGAATTTAAGTAAACATTGTATCTCAGTAGATTTGGTGCTTGAGCTGTGTTTTTGAAACGTAGTGTCAATACAGTGTATTTTTATGTTAAACAAGTTATTTTTAAATCAAATCAATTTTACTTCCTGCAGGGTCTTTAAAGGTATCTGTTGGGCTTTAATAGCAATTTGATATTGTCCAAAAATTGGAGCGTTAGGGTTAAATATGAGGCAGTACAGTATGATGATATTACTATTCAGTAGTATTATAATACCCTGTGTATATTTACTCAGAAGTACATTCCACTTAATTCAGTAAGATTATTTTCCTTAATTAAACATGCATAGGACTACAGCCTAAAATGCATATGTTCCTCATGCCCAGGGCTCACATAGACCCACTCTTATAATGCTAAGCTGTTTATGAAGCCTGGAATGATTGTCTGAACTCAGCCATAGTTTGAGGTATAATCCTGTCATCAGATATATCTGTCTTAATTACTTCAGTATAATTTAAGTAATTTAACCCAGGATTTCAGCGCTGATTATTTACATCAGTAGCACCTGTCAGTAACAGTACAGTATCTGTGCCAGGTAACTAGTAATATAGTTTTTAATGTGTAATTTTCCTCCCCCCCCCTTTTTTTTTGACAGAATGGTGATCTAAGATTGGTTACTCGAGAAAGAGATGAGCTACAGTCTATGCTAGAAAGATTTGAAAAGCACATGATAGAAATTCAATCTAATGTCAAACTCTTAACTGCAGAAAGAGACAAACTAAGCATTCTTTATGAACGGGTAAGTCCAAATTAATAGGTGGGGCCACTGACTGTCAGGACATAACATGTATAATGGAGCCGAGATTTGCAGGAGCAAGAAGGAAGCAACATATAATCATATAAATACTCTTCAAAAGAGAATTAGACAAAATCATGGTGGATAAGGCTATTAGTGGCTACTAACCAGGATGGCTATGTTCTGCCTCCATAGTCCGAGGCAGTAGGCATCTGAATACGTCTTGGAAACTGCAGGAGGGGAGAGTGATCTTGTCCTCAGGTCCTGCTTGCAGGTTTCCCACATGCATCTGGTTCACCACTGTGAGAATAGGATACAGCAATTGCTGCAGAGCCAGGCTTAGACATGGAAGTAACAGAAAGAGGAATGAATGCAGATTAAAGGACAGGTAATAGATTTATGCTGTTGAGACAATGTCTTAACCTGCACCAGATGCATAGCTATCATTGAACTGGGTAAGAATGGCCTCTGGTTGGGCAGGCGGCATGGTACAAGTCAATGCTGGGCCAAATTCCTCATGTACTTGGCAGCGTTTTATTTGTTCTCCATCTTTTTTCTTTCACCCACCAACTTACGCCTTTCTTTCTTCCATGCATGATCTGATAGCTTGCATATATATATTCATTTTATTGATACACTTAAAAAACGTTTATTTTTTTACTTTTTAAGTCTCAAGATGAGTTAAACCGTCTACGGAGAGAAACAAAAACTTCTTTAATGACACAAAGTTACGCAGAAGAGGAGCGGAACATTGCAATGTCCGATTTCAGAAGAGTGGTGGCAGAGAAAGAAGGACTAAGAGAGAAGTTAAAGGTCATCATTGTACAAATAATGCTTTTTTGTAATGTTTCGAGCTTGCGATAACTTTGTGCTACTTTGTTACCTCACAAAAGTCGCTACTCCCCATGGATGGTGCAATTAAGCAGGGCAGTCAATTCACTAATTTCAGCCAAAGCCATTCAAAAATTTCTAAGGCACATTTTTATCTTGTGAACTGCCTTGGGATCTTGTGATAAAGGGTGGTATATACATCATCATCATCATCATTTAGAGCGTCAGTTTTTTGGGGGGGGGGAACCATGCTATAGATGAAGTCAACAAGCTGCTATCTTGCACATAATACTTCTAGTGTTCTGGACCCATATATATATAGTGTTCTGGACCCATATATGCAGTGCTTTTTTCTGGGGGGATGCAGGGGTACGCATACCCCTAAACATTTTGTGAATCTTTGTACTTTTGTCCATTTACTGTATTTATTTCTCCCCACTTTGAACTATAAAATGGTGATTTTCTTGAGTCAAAATGAGAGTACCCCTAAACATTTTTTAAGGAAAAAAAAAGGGCTGCTTCTATTGTTGTTAATATTAACATTGCGTGAGTATCCATGTGAGCTGCTATGGAACCAGCAGCAGAGTCATCAGGAGCAGAGGAGAGGCTTCAACAACTGACACCCAGACTCTGCTCCCCAGGAATTCTTTATCAGTCGAACCTGCAGGAAACAAATGGAGGCAGGGTGGAGCCAGTCAAAAGCAGCAGCAGCTTGAAAGGGATGTCATGCCTCCCTCCCCCTTTTGGAGAAAAGAGCCCCCTTGTCTCCAGTGACACACAGAATGATGCGTAGAGTGGAGCAGAGATTAGAGATGCCTAGATGCAGTTTGAGGCTGCTTGGGAAACATCCAGCAGAGGAGGAGCTTTAGAGGAGCTTGAAGGTGGGGACATTCAGTCCTGGCAGCTGCTCTATAGGGGCAGGACTTGCTGAGAAGTGTTGCTGAGTTGTATACCATTTCTTTAAATAAAGAGTTAACTTCTCTGACAAACTCTGCTTCTTGCTTGCTGGCATGAGTTTGACTCCAGCCCTGACATAAACCCATGTGCTCTGCCTTCTGTCTCTGTTCTTCCTGCCTCACCTTTCCACATAGCACATATATTAGCCAAGTTCAGTGTTCTAAAGGCATAGAGAGTGGGTGCAGTTTTCTTTATGTCTCCTAATTCCCATGCTCCCTAGACGATCAGATGCTCAAAGGTTAATCAGACAATTAAACAATGCCCTCTGATGAGTTGTTTTTCTTTGTTTCATAAGGTCCATCAGGATGAAAAATCAAAGTTAGAACAGGAAATATCAGACTTGGAAAACACTGTTCACAGAGTAAGTGATTTAATTACTTGCTGGCATCAGAATTTATTAATGCGTAGTGATGGAATGTCATTGTTTGTGTGTTGACTATTCAAATTATGATTGAGACTATGGCTTTTCTCCGTTTACTTCTCACGATCATTTGCAAGACTAGGTTTGCAATAGACATCGTGTAAACTTTTAGCAATTCCTTTTCATATTCCTGATGGCAGCTCCATTATTGTGAGCTTTACTGCCGGTACATTGCGCCTTAACATCTAAAAGATTTGGTGGAGTTCACTAATGAGGGGGTGCTTATCAAATTTGCAGATGGCACCAAACTGGGAGGGGTAGTTTATACCTCAGAAGATTGAATCAGGATTCAATATTACCTTAACAGATTGGAGAACTGGGCAAAAACTAAAAAACTAAAACAGTTTACCTTAGAGGGTGATGGACTCTCTTTCATTAGAGGTTTTTAATCAGAGGTTGGATGACCACATTGTCAGGGATCTTTTAGCTGTGATTTCTGCGCTGAAGGGGGTTGGACTAGGTTACCCTTGCGGTCCCTTCCAACACTTTGATTCTAAGGAGCTTAAGATTACAGCTGTAGTTTTGCAGTTTTTATTGAATTTGAGTAAACTGGTCTTTATTCGGATTTTGCTTAGCTTTTTAAATACTTAATTTTTTTCTCAAGAAAAATGCTGCTCTTAGCAGATTCAGAAAATAATATTTGTGTGTTGTTTTCTGCTGCAGTTGGAGACTGAACATCTTGATCAAATAACTACTATTTCATTGTTAAAAAACAAAATAGTCTGCTTAGAAGATGAATCAAATATTAAGTCTCATCAGCTGTCTCAGTTGTCTGAAGATGCTTCACAATTTAAAACAGAAATAAACTCCCTTCAGTAAGTTCAGCTGTGTATTTAGTATCTTATTGGTGCCTTGCTCAAATCTATTAATTTATGTCATTTTACAGGAAATATTTGCATCAATTGTCAGGCCCTAAATAGAAATGCAGGCTCCATAATTGCCTGAAAGTCATATTGGAAGCTGTGTTCCTTAATTCAAAATAATATGTGGACATTCCAGTTGCTCAGTAATGATGGAAAGGAACACTGAATATGCTTGAAGACAATTTAGTATTACTTAGGGTTCAGTCCAGTTATTTCATTAAGCAAGAGGTTTGGGCTGTGCTTTGGTTCGAATTAAGCCCCAAATTGTGTCAGTGCCCCAATTTCAGGAGATAAAAGATTGGATTCCTTAAAAGTATAAGATTGGACACTTAAAATTGTCTCTGCATTTCTAGCTGATATATCCTGATGCATGGTTTTAGTTTTCTGAGGCTATTTTTTAAAAACTTTAAAAGCTACAATTACTAATTGCTGTTTTTGTAAGCTCATTGGAAAGTGGCATTCCCTTTGCTGCATAATTCTGTGCTTTGCAGTGTTTTCAGGTTGTGCTTATCATATTCTAACTTATTTACATTTAAAAACCTGCACCTGTTTCCCCCCTCCCTCCAAAATGGATATCAATTCTGCAGACTACTAAATGAACAGATACAAAAGTCTTTAGATGAAGTGCAGCATCAGTTGGCTCTTAAAGATGATGAACTTCATTTGGCTCAAGAAGAAATTTTATTGCTAGAAGAAAAAACAGGTGAATGCTGTTTTATTTCTTAGAGTGAAAAATTTACGGCTTAACTACTTACTCTGAAAAGTCAAGAGATTGAGACTAGTTTAACTCTTGGCACAGAACATTGGCGGCATCTGCCTTTCCTCTTCTCAAGCGGTCAACAACTGTCAAATGTAGGATTGAATTTGGTCCCCCATTATTGCTTCCCACTTTTCTAGTGTTGAATTGCTAACAGTGATTACAGCAGAAGCAGCAAACCTATTTGAACCACTGGGCCAAGTCTTTATCTCCCCACATCCCACAGGCTAACTTTGACAGGTGGATGCGAATGCCAGCCTGTCAGTCATCTGACATCAGGTGACTTCTTTGCCAATGCCTTCCCCACAGAGAACATATGGAAGAAGAAGCACTCAGCTAATGAGCAGAGATTTAATTCTGCTCTCTGCAGGGGTCTGAATGAGATTTACCCCTATGGGGAACTGGCAGGTGCTGCAGCCAATGCAGAATTGAACCCTGCCTATTAGCTGCTGTCACCCAGTGATGTCACCTTATTGACTGGTGGGCATGGTTTGGGGAGAAATGGCCTCATAGGCCCAATTGCACACCCTGGTATGCCAACATTGGCCCATGAACTGGAGATTCCTCACCCCTAAATTTAGAAGTAGGGAAAGAAACATGGGCGTGAAAGAAGGGGTCCTCTTGTGCTTTTCCCATCCTTCTCAGCCATTCCTCATTTGGCAATGAAGAAACAGAGGGAGGAGAATGTGAGAAGGAGCTGAGAAAGATCTTGAGAGGGGAACCAGAGGACTGCAAGCAAGAACGTTTCCCTGTTATTTCTTGTTCATGCAAATACCTCCCATGCTGTTTTTCATAACTCAGAGGGTGGTGGAAGACACTGCGGAGAATCCCACTTATTGCATATACCCTCTGGCAGGGTTCTAGTTTTTCAAAGCCATCAAAGAGCAAGGGACTAGCTTTAAAAGACCTTTGTTGGCAGGCGTTTGTAGTGGGGTGAATTTGCCCAGCATTCTTCCTTCACTTCCATTGACAATAACTTAGCATTAAAGATTTGCCAATCATTAAAGTCTAGAACAAGGTGCCACAAACTGAGCAAAAAGGTACCTCACAGATAAATGTAAGTTGTCTGATGATATTTGCCAAGTTGTGCTTTTCCACTTGCACAGCCAGACTCTGCCTTACACACACCCACACACCGGTGTAGTCCTTTGAGTGTCCCAGAATACTACATCAGGTGATCCCTAACTCTCCAGAACAGATATTGTTGGGCGAGGGGTCAGAGATAAGGCAGCAGGGGGAAGGAGAAGTTCCATTACATGAGTGAATGTCTGCTCACACAACATTAGGTGTCACCTTTAAGCTCTAGATCAATAAATCCCTAAACTTTTCCCCCCATGGACTGCTTGAAAATTGCTAAGAGTCTTTGCTAACTGCTTAATTATTTTTCTGCCTTTTGTATCAATTGTAATGTGCTGTTCTACATGCTGTATGGTTTTTCCACTGCATTTTATTGCTGCTTTTATTCCTCATAAATTAAATTTTATTGTATTCCATAGATTCCTATTGTAGTACAATAAAATACAAAATAAGATATAAAAGAAGCAATTAAAATACAATTGAAATAAACGCGACTTTTCATTGCAGTGAACATACTGTTTCCCATCTTCAACCACAAATCCACAGACATGCTGAAGCCCCCCTGAATGTAGTCTGCAGACCACATTTTGGGAGCCCCTGCTCTTCATAATTCAAACAGTATTTATTTATTTGCAGGTAAATTCAGTAATAAGCACCATGCACAGGATGAGACCATCAGTGTGCTCAGAAGTACAATTAATGTCTTGGCTAAGGAAAAAGACAGCCTCCAGGAAAGTATAGATGAAAAGACAGAAAGAGTTGCTTATCTAGATGACAATTTAGCCAATAAGGTATGTACACGGGGCATGAAATAGACACATCAGGGGGACACATAGGCTGGAGTTGGGAGAAGGGGGCCTATTGTACTACTATTGTACTCTGCTTACCTGACTTTTGATCCAGGTCAGGACTTGTAAGTCTTGAATGGTGCATACTGATAAAAGACAACAAAAGAATTATGAACTGAAGAAAATTAGTAATTGTCAATAGCTTCCTTAAAACATAATAAAAAATCAAACTGTACATTAAAGATTAATAAAAATGAGTATGGGGAAAAATTGTTTATAGTCTTAAGTTTCAGCAGTCACCAAAAACAGCAGCCCTATAAGTACTTCTGAAGAGATCACAATCTAATGCATACAAAGAAGCTTGAATTAATAGATGAGTATTTAGTAATAAAAATTATAAAATGAAACTGCTGCCGAGATCCTTTCAGCTTTACCTTCTCCGTGTATCTCTTTCCTCCCTTCTCCCCCAGCTTTCTGACTGCTGGCATGAAGCAGTGGGAGCAGAAATGCTGACACATGCCCCATATGCTCCCTTGCTGCTTTCATTTTAGGCAAGAGAGAGTAGGGGAAAGGAAAAGCACTTTGAAGTAAATGTGAAAAGGGGAGGGGTTGTGCAACAGTTTTTCCACCTCTGCTCTCCAGTTTCTCTGTGCCTTACTGTCAGAATCATGTGTTGTCAGCATTGTGAAAAGAAACTGTGAACTTAGGATGGTTACAAGAGGCCACATTTTTTCCTGGGAAGGTATGTGGTATATCAGTAACCTCACACTTTCAGTCCCTTCAGGCCGTAAGTAGTGATGGCCAAAAGAAAAATGGGATTCCAAAGGAAAATAAATAAATGAATGCAAATGAATATTGAATATCATTGGCCATTAGTAAGCTGAAGGTACCCAATTTTTTTAGCTTCAGCTACTCTTAAATATTAAACTACAAGAGACTGCTAGTGAATGACTGGTAACAGTACTGTATTATGCTGTATATTTGTTACATCTGTATTTCACTTGTTGATCATACCTATTAGTGCGGTTGATGTGAATTATGTAAAACCAATAATCTTTGCCATCATGTTTCTTTCTATAGGAAAAAACTATCCTCAATTTGCGACAAACTCTTACTCAGTTAGAGTCGTCCTTAGAGTAAGTAATAGTAATGAAAATTATTACTTTTGACTCTGAAATTTCATCTTATAGCAATCAAAGTATTTTAATAAGCTAATATACTTATAATTGAACCTTTGCACGTGAAGAAGATGGTTCCTCTGAAGAAGGCTAAAATATGGCCATTTGGGGGAGGGGGGGAAACCTAAGGCAATTACAATTGTCCTAATTCGGCACTTACAGATGTACTTTAAGGTGGAATTCTGTGCACCTTACATAAGAATCGGTGGAGGGCTGTTTTTTTGCTCAGGAGCATGCCAAAATATTTCCAAGGAGGAAAATGTAATGTTCCCTGATCTTTTCCACAGCCAACCAATGATAATAATTGATGGTGCCTTGCCAATACTCAAATGCTACAAAGGAATTCAGTATAGCAACTGAGTATTTGCAGGGTAAGCAGAAGAACAGCAAACTAATATTATGCAAAGCAAACTGCAGTTTGAACATCTGGGCCAAGTCTTGGCTTACTAGATGGTTAAAACAAACTATAACTTGGTGTTACAAATTATTATTATTATGTGGCCCATGTTACCAATCATAGTGCTGTGCCACAATTTCAGACATAATGCTTGGCGATCAAGTTGCTAATAAAGAAATGTGAGAAGCCCATGTAGACTGCAAAGATGGAATTGTACAATAATGTCATCATTACTATCTAATGCAAAGTTAAAAACACTTGAAATGATTCATCTTAGTTACTGGAATGTAGTTGTTATGTAGATTTATATAATGCAAAAAGATAAATTCTGTTTAAGGTTTTCCAAATCCCCCATTTGCTAGCCAATTAAAGGATGCCTTAAGCGGTAAAGACCGAGAACTAGCCAGCGTCCGTCGCCAGATCGAGGCAGCACATTCTGAGCTTGGTGAAGTCAGCAGGGTGAAAGAAATGGCCTTGAAAGAGAACAGAAGATTACAGGATGATCTATCCACAATGGCCAGAGAAAATCAGGTACAATAGTTCATAATAATACATGTCACAATTGCTTTAAATAATGTTTGGGTACCTGAAATTACATTTTATGTGATTTGTAGCTCTTGGATAATTTTAACTGGTGTGTTTGTGGCAGCATTACATTCAATCTATATTTTTTTACTTTAGGGGGTGCTGATTTAAACGTGACACTAGATATGTATAAAACAGTTATAGATTATGTGCAACCAACCAACATCATATTTAAACTAGATCACTGGTGCATACACCTGGAGGATTAACATCTGTATACTAATGCCATGTATGTAGGAACTGCCCCAAACCTTGCTTAAATGTGATGCTATCCACTTGGAATGCCATCTGTCCAGATTTTCTACCCTGGAACTGTATTTCTTTACATGTTTTCTTCGGATTACATTTAGCCGTAAAAAGTGTAAGATTTTAAAATAGCCATCAAGTGATTGTTCAAACAACATTAAGTTAGAATCTAGCCATTATTGGGCAAGTTCTCCCTTTAGGGTAGTTAATTTTTGTCTGGGCTTTTTTCATTTCAGACTGCAGATGGGGGACTTGCATGATAGAATGCTCCTTTATTTAAATTCAAAACATAGAAAACTAGTGTTTCCCTGATCTCTTATGTATAGGGAATTTCTTTTCTATGCAGAAGTACATATACACCTGAAGCCTGAAGTCTGGTACAGCTCAGGCACAGGGTTACCAAATGAGAGCTAGCCTTCCTTTATTTGCATGTACTATTATTTGTAATGGTTTATCATCTAAATAGGCAATCTCATCTGAACTGGAAGCAGCATTACGTGATAAAGAAGAAATGAAAATTAGAGTTCATAATTACATAACAGAAGTCTCCAGGTTTGAAAGTTTAATGGCCTCAAAGGTGAGGAAGTGCATTTGGAAGTTCCCATGAATATTTTATTAATCAGGTGTATCATGTTTTAAAAGTTAAGATCAGGCATGGCCTAGCATCAACCCACAAGTGGAGTGCTGCAGAGGTAGAGATGGCTGGAAACTATTAAAACTAAACATGAAATAAACATTCAGCTTATACATTCCAAAAGTGACAATTTGGCTTCAGGTACAGATTTCGATATTAATACTGTCTGATATAGCCTAACAGTTGTACTGCCAGCACAATGCCTGCATTCAAACATAATGCTAAACCAGGGGTCTCTAACCTTTTTGGGCCCATCAGCACACTTGCAAACCAGAACAACTGTTGTGGACACCACACATACATACACACCAACCAAGCACACACTGCAACCTCTTTTATTGGCTACAACAGAAGTTGCAGCCCTGGGTAGGGCTTTTGCATTTAGAAGCTGCATCTCAAGACCTGACTAGGCAGGCAATACAGCAGGATATTAGGTTTTGTAGTCAGGGACTTCCTGCTTTCTTTCAGCAGCTGACATGCACACTACAGTCAAACCTCTGCTTACCACCACCTTTTCTTATGGTCATTCCAAGCCATGACCATGGCAAACCCGGAAGTAACCGGCGGGTTTGCCACTGTTTGCGCATGCGCAGCGATCGCCGTTCACGCATGCGCAGAAGCGACAATTGCCGTTTGCACATGTGCAGAAGTGGGCAATCGCTGCCTGCACACAATGGTGCCTCTCCCAGTGACCGGTTTCGACCTCTGGACGGACCTCCGGAATGGATTATGGTCGCAAATAGAGGTTCCACTGTACTGAGTATTGGAGCCCTAGCTTTCAAGCCCCGTGCAAAGGGCTGGAGTCATGCCCACTCTCAGGTTGTTAAATTGAAGCCAGTAACAAACTCTGTGTGTATTCAGTATGATTGCAATTAACATAGTCCATGAAAAGCCTATTGTGTAATGTAGCACAGCATTGTTTTTAAAATTCTGCTTGTGAAAGGTATTTAAAATGATTTAAAAATCAAAATCTTATTCAGAATATCTCAAACTTACAGATTCCTACTGCATGCAATTTGTTACTTGTAGTTAATAATAATAATAATAATTTATACCCTGCCCATCTGGCTATGTTTCCCCTGCCACTCTGGGTGGCTCCCAACAGAATATCAATAATAATTTAAAAAGCAATAAAACATCCATCCTTAAAAACTTCCTTAAACAGCAAAGGCAAAGGATATAACCCAGAGACCTCTGAGCAACGTGAGTTCTTCTGAAAGGGAATCTTTCTGTATCTCACATTCCAAATCAGCAGATAGCTTTTTATGTTCAGTTAGACTGAGAAAGAGTTTGGGGTTTCTGTGTGTTCTACTTTAAAGATCTATTAACTCCAAACTTCTAAAATGCTTTAAAAACTGTAAACATGCTGGAGCTACAGGTTTTATGTGTCCATACATTTGGATAATAGCAAAAGACCATTCCTGCCCCACTTAGTCCTTGGAAATTTATACAACAGAGCATAAAATATGACACCCTTCTTATGTGTAATCATCAGAATTTGTATCAACTTGTAATGCTTTGAATTGCTTTAAATGCTTTGAGGTTCTAACTCAAGGACTCAGCCTCACTGTAAACAAAGATGAGGATGTAAAAAAAAAAAAAGATTTATTTAAGAGGAAGGAGAGAAGTGGGAGTTGGGGTGCAAGTAAAATATGGAGAAGAGCACAAGTTCAGGGTCAAACTGTTCTACCATGTGTAGTGAAGCAGTGTGATGATTTCTTGTGGGTAGAAAGTATTTGATACAGTGATTCATTGCTCAATGGTATATATTGCTGCGTTGAACTAGGAAAGAGAAAACAAGGAGCTGTTGGAAAAGTTCCAGATGCTCTACAGCCAAGCTGAAAGCTGGGAAGTAAAGGCCCATCAAGCTGAGGGGCAAAGCAGCTCTGTACGACTGGAACTCCTTTCTGTTGATACTGAGAGAAGACATCTTAGAGAGAGAGCGGAACTACTGGAAAAAGAAATTCAGGAGGTAATTACTGACACTAGCTGAACTTTATTACCTAGTCCCTTTTCCTAATGTGCTTTCTTAATCATACGCCTTTGCATTAATTGGAGATTTCTGCAGAGGACAAGGTGTGTTAATTAATAATTCGTTTCAGCTCATGGGAACACTAATTTCAGAGCTATTTCTGTTCTTGAAGCATGTTAGGGCTTATAAATGATTGTAAGTGTATTTTGGTGAGGGGGGGACAAGTTGGTGGGGGTTGTTTTCTTTATATTAACTCAGTAATCAAGAGAGCTTGAATTTTGGTTAGCGTGCGGTGAGACGGAGTGTCACATGCCTGCATGTAATAATACGAGTTGCATTTGTCTTTCACATAGCATATCATTGCCCACCAAGCTTATGAAACACAGATCTCTTCAATGGCAAAAAGTATGGCCAAACTAGAGGAGAGTCTCAAACGTGAAAAAGAAGAAAAGTCTTCCATCTCTGTTGATGTGGTTTCTGTTAGAGAGCTGTGTGCCAAACTGGAGTCCAGCAAAGAAAGTCTCTCACGTCAGTTAACATCCAAATCTATGGAGTTTGAGAGGGTAAGAGGAAGAACTTAGCTCTCAGCACAACACATCTAAATAAGTTCAATACTTAATACAGATAGTCGAATGTGACACTAAAACCATGGTGTTGCATACTGGTTTATACTTAACCATGGTTAAATATTCAGATACTTGCTTCATTGATGATTAAGGTGTCTTCCCATTAGGCAAGATCTGAAGCAAAGAACAAATCTTGACTACATATTTCAATTAAGGGTTTGGACAGCATGTTAAGCCTTAGCTTAGCCCAAAGAGGAACAAAGCAGGTGTAATGGGGAGCCAACATTCTTGTTTGGTCTTGGTGAGCTATAATTTGATTTAATGTGACATGCAAACAAGGCCACTACTACCTAAACCTGTTGAAGGAACATAAAGTTGAGCATCTGCATAGAATTTGCCTATATGAAAGGATGCCTATGAATAAGACCTTTAATATTTAACCTGAAACTCTTAATTAGAATGAATTGTTTTTATGTTCTAGGTAATATCAGAATGTGAAGATGCAAGAGCAGAAACAGAACTGTTAAAAAAACAATTGTCCAGTGAGCGGCTTACAATACAGAACTTGGAAACACTCTTGTCTACCAGCAGAGACAAAGATTTTCAGAATCATTTGATAACCCATGAGAAAGATTCAGAAATACAGCTACTTAAGGACAAGTTAACACTCTCGGAGAGTAAATTGTATGTTTGTAAAGTGTAGAACAACTGTTCTTACATCATTTTAAAGCTACTGTTTATAACTTCATGCAAAGATATCTGGCCTCATGAAAAACCTAGCTGTATATATAAAAAAACATTTTCACCTGATAAAATCCTAAATTTCTGACACCATTCTGCACAAACTATATAACTTAGTTGCTGGAAACTCTTAAGTCTTTATTATTTTTGTCTCAGCCCTCGGTCCTCCTAGACTTGCGCCCAAAGATAATGTCATTTACTTGGAATTAAGGGTAGCATCATATGTTATTTTAACAGTGATTTTGTGGTTCTGTCTCACTGCACATCCATTCATAGGGTCAGATGTTGCCATGGTAAACTAGTAAAGGAACTAGTGAAACTGCCTTAGAGGCTGATTCATGCGAACAGGAGTGCTAAATTCCCTCTAGATCAGGGGTGTCCAACAGGTCGATCACGGGGTTTCCCTGGAACCCCGATCCCCCCGAAAGCTCAACAACTTTGATGGGTAGATCACTGCCAGTTTTTTTATAGTGGGAGTAGATCACAGTCTCTTGGAAGTTGGACACCCCTGCTCTAGATGTTTGGGGTACTCAGTGCAGTCCTATGTAGCCCTGGGATTCTGATTCACATCCTGATTCCTCACACTTGAAATCTCCAAAGATATGGAAGGAATTAGCAGCATGAGCAAATGTTGTGCGCTGGTCTTAAGTTTCATATTGAGATGACTCTGTCTCCAAGCATAATACTTTAACTGGACTGACCTTGATAAGAATCTTCCCCAATAATAGTTACAAACTTGCAGTTGAGAAATATCTTCATTGTGTGTGTTTGCATTTGTGTGTACACATTTGTATGTCTGCGTATATGGGTTTTTTTGTTTTTGTTTCTTGCTCCTTGTTTATCTACCTTGTTGCCGCTATTTTTAAAGTTCCTATAAGATGCCATCTGTAACTGTGCAATTGTTAAGAACTTTCTCTGTTTGCAATATTTTTAGAACGAGCGTTAATAGGGAAGTTTCAATAACTCGAAATAAACTTGCACAGCTGCAGGCTGATTATGATATTGTAAAAAGGCAGCTGACAACAGAACGATTTGAAAGGTAAGTGAATTTGCTTTATAAAAGTGCCCAGTGTCACAAATCCTATGTTTTTAAGAGAAATATAAAAGTACTATGTATACTATTCTGCAGAAAATATTTAATATTACAGCTGACTAAAAATCTGATTACAGAATTATGAGTGGAATCCAATAAGTTCTCCAAATGCTGTTTTTTCCACCACAAGTTTACTTTTAAAAGACAACTGAAGGCGGCCCTGTTTAGGGAAGCTTTTAACGTTTGATGCTGTATTGTTTTTAATGTTTGGTTGGAAGCCGCCCAGAGTGGCTGGGGAAACCCAGCCAGATGGGCGGGGTACAAATAAATATTATTATTATTATTATTATTATTATTATTTATCCACTAATGGAGGAAGTGGACAGGAAGCAGGAGAAATCTCTAGAGCAATTTTTTGGGAATGCTGGGAGCTGCAGGGGAAGGGAGAATAAGCAAAAATCTTCCCTTCATTAATTGACACTTTCCACTGGATCAAAAGGCCTTGCACTTGCAACTCTGTCCACTTACCTAGCACTGAGGTTCAAGAGACCACAATTCCCTTTGTAATTTTGCCCATTATTTTGAAAACATTTAATTTGCCCCTTGTTTTCTTAGCTATTTAGTCACATTTTACTGTTCCTTTTGGTAGTGGGAGTCTGTAAAACAATAGGAAAAATTGTGGCAAATTCTGCAGTGTCCTCTCAAAATTCACAAATGAAAGGTAAATAAAAAATAAGTTGGTGTGTTCTTGTACTGTAGAAAATAAAATATGGGCTAATCTAGCCAAAGTTAAAACATTTTAACCCCATTGTTCAAACTTCTCCCATTGAAAAGAAAACAGTATTTTGTTTTGTCTAGATCATGCTCCATATTTGTTTGGTTTTTCATTTACTTTGCTGTTTTCTGTAATGTTATTTTATTTTTGGCATGTTATCCTAAGTAAGATTTGCACATACATAAACCTTTCATAACCAAACACAAAGCAAATAAATACATACCAAGATCCACCTCCTATGTGGAAACAGTGGAATAGTAATTATTGACAAAGAAATTCTTTTTCTCCCCCCCCCAGCTCCCCTGTCTAGAATAGATGGCTAAATAGGGGCAATAAACCCCCTTTTGCTCACCACCTCCTCTGAACATATTAATGAACAGGTTCCTTTTGGGATGGAAGATGAATAAATAAATGTGAAGTTTGGAAAGTTGTCCTTGGGTTCTGGGTGAACGAGGAAAGAGGGAATCTGAGCATATTCTGCTCCACGCCTTATGCTCTCTCACTGACAGTGCTTTTTCTTCTTTTTGTATAGAACTGTGGCTTATTATTATTACTATTATTAGCTCTCTGTATAGCTCCAACTTGCTTCCAATGTGGCAAAATGCATGGAGATACGCTCACAATTTCTTATTTTTACTTAACAGGGAGCGTGCCATTCAAGAGATGCGTCGACATGGTCTCTCAACCACTTCGCTGCGTGCCTCATCCCCACTTAGTTCAACTTTTAAAACTTCACATTCTCCAGAAAGAACAGCTGCAGTGATAACAGAACAAGCAGACAAGTATGCCATTGAATAGATTGGGTGTTTACTTTTTTGACATGTTATTCATTTTCATAAGATGAAGCGTAAAATGAAATGTCAGAACAGGTCTGCAGTTAGCATTTTTCCAAGAGTAAGTTACAGATTGACAACAGTAAACCTTTGCTCTGTGGCCCCTCCGTATGAATGTAATGGCGGGGGGCGGGGATTCTTGGATGCAAGGAGCTGCTTTGTCTTTTGGGTAGCTAGGGTAACTAAAATTATACCAGTGTATATTATTAATAGTTTTTATTATAGTGCAGTCTGACTTGAAGTACTGAGTAACAGATTCTGCAGAAAATAATATTAAATTATCATGTCTTAAATGGACAGTATAGTGCAAAGTAATATAATAACTGTAATCTTTTCCTTCTCAGAGGTGTGGGCTTCAAGGATTAATCAATTACTTTAAAAGAAGAACAATAATAGAAGTTTTAACATGTTTGGACTCGTTGTCAACACTGACATGAACTCTACCTCCTAAACATTGTTAAATCATTTAAAACCTTGAGAAAAATGAATGTTTTTAATGTGTGATCAAACCTTGGAACATTCTTTTACCACACAATATTTCTTAAATATGTGGATGAGCTTTGTCTTTAGGTTACGACCAAAGTGTGTGAATGTAAATCTCATTTTCAAATGCAAGCTTTTTACTACAAAACCAAGTGAAGGCAGCTGGTCATGAAGAGCCTTTTAGGCTACCATTTATTTGCTCTTTTGTTTACACCCCACTAATTTTATATAACCTGTAAGTCTTAAATAATGTTCAATTTAACCTAGCATTGTCTATAAACTTAACAAAAATAGCAGATCAAGGATTCATATACTTCTTTATAACTCCTCAGAGCTGAGTCTGTATTTTGAAAATCACTTTAATTTTGCTCTTATAAAAAACAATTACAATTGCTTGCATTAAGTTATCATGTTAGTAATAATGCAATATATATGCTTATCTTGGATCTGTCAACACTCTTCTTTCTTTTTTTAAAGTTCAGTGATAAAGTTTGAGGAGTTGCCACAGCTGAGCTCCAGCTTTTAATGGCGTAAAATAAGGCAGGTTAGTTTAGAAAAACTATTAGGTAAGTGAAGTAAGAATCTTATTGCAAAAAGACTGATAAACTTGAAGTTATTGTCACAATAATGTCATATTATATTAGCAGGTTCTGGAATATGTTTCTTACAGTCGGCTTTATATGTGTTGACTGTGTATCATCTCTGTCCACTAACCTTTTCAGAGCATAGAAGCATACATTAAGCACAGAGCTACCTCTGCCCACAACACGTTCATTTTTTTCTAGTTTTGTTTTGTTTTAAAGAAAGAAATCTTAATTATGGGACCTCCATAATATGCAAAGCTGATCTGTTTGTGTTTCAGTGTGAATAGAATTCTGGATTAAGGGTATATCTGAATTGTCTCTTTCCAGTATATTAATCTTGTTTAACACACTTCTGCTGTAACATATGTACTTAATGGTATAATACACAGTAATAATATACTGTCTAATGTGAAGGAACTTCAGTTTTCCAAGCATAATTGCAGACTGATTTAAAACTTTTCTTCAAAAGCACATATTTTCCAGTTTCCATTATAGAAACTGCTATGAAGAAGAGAAAAGGAATATGACATACGACAAAAACGGAAGCCCCAAATCCTGAAGTTGGCTGTGTCTAGGTTGCTTTTAATAAAACTGTGAAAGCATATTGTTTTAATAAATAAAATATATATTAACTGGAATAATAGTCTCAGCAGAAATACTGTGTTAAATTTCAGGATGACCATATATTGTTTTTAAGGTATTGACAGTTCATTAGTATGGTATGTTTTCATACCTTCACATCATTCACAGTGAAAGTGGTAACAGAGAACACACACACAAATTGTGGACATGTTCTTAATATGCCATGAAATGTGATCTTTTTGAACATTTCCTTTGACTTTTCAAACCAGCATTAGTACTTGATGAAAACTCAGCTGACAAGTGGCTTTAGGTTCAAAACTACTACTAAAAAAAAAAAAGAAGAACAAATCCCTTAGGAAGATATTTTGGTTTTTAATATATATGTGTGTATTATAAAACTTAATAAATCATGAATAAGATATTTGACCAGTTCAAATGTAATAGGAAACCATGGTTTCCTGCAAGATGCATAAGCCTATTAAGCCTCAGGTTCATGTGTTCCCCTTTAACAGATGAGGTTGGAAGCATGTAACCCAACTTTGGATGTAACTGGTTTTAAAACTCTTTAATTAGTTCAAACAAACTAGAATCAGACTGGATCCTAGATTTCAAAGAAACCTCATCATAACCATGAAAATGGAGAGGTGAGGGAAAACACATGAGCCCCGGTGTTCGACATGGCTGCTGCACGTTTCCTGTTGCATTTGAAATGGGCCGTTGTGAATTTCGCTGCTGAAAAACAGCTTTTTATTCCGTATGCTGCCTTTTTTATGTGAAACACCACAGTCGTGAAGAAGTGAAACGGTGGTTTCTGCCATTCTGCTTTTAAAAACTACTTTGAAGATATGATGTTATCTTACAAAACAAGGACAGGATAATAATAATGTCTGCTGTAAGCAATGCAAATAAAAGCATCTAAAATGTGTCTCTGGTTTTAAAGAAGTGTTGAGAGCTCAAGATAGCCTCCTAATGGATGAACCATTTTGCTTATTTTTAGAAAAATATTAGACATGAATATCAAGCACTACATTGTGAATAAATTAAAAAACAATTCTCCTGGCCCATGCAAAAACGTCACTGTACTTTGAACAAAAACTTCCCTATTCTCTGTGTGTAAGTTTATGCAACAATCCATCTAGGGACATACCTATACAGGCATGTTTTGCACGTCACGGTAAGCCAAATTATGCCTTACCAAGAACAGAACTTTGTTTTCCCCTGGTCTTTTTAAACTCCTGTGCAGTGCTAAAGCTTAGCCATGGTTTGGCTTAGGATGTCATCAGAGCATGGGCTCCTGGTTAAGCAGTCTCCTCTCCACACTAACCAAAAGTTGTAGCCAAGGTATGCAGTGTGTGATTAGCACACTGAGAGAGCTTAACCACAAGTCCAGCTTCAGGTGGCATGCTAAGGCAAATCTTGGCTTAGCTCACCACTGTGCAAGAGTAAAAATACATGTTTGTTTACGGACTGGGCAGGAGCAAAGAAACTCTTTGTGTGGTCCCAGTATAAACCACAGTTTGGCTTCATGTGATAGGAGCATGGAAGCTGCCTTATAGGTTCCTCTAGCTCACTGACTGGCAGTGGTCCTTCCCAGCCATACCTGGACATTGTACATGGGACCTTCTGCATGCACATGGTGATGACGTGCAGAAAAGGCCATAGAAACTGCCTTCAGTGTGCACTTTCATACCTCGGTGTGGAAACTACACAACAAATGCACTGTGCATACTGTACTGTTGTGTCATTACAAAACCCCTACCTATGATGCTCCTCCAGTTTTTCTGTAGTGTGTACCAGTTCTGTGGTAGATGAACTGATCTGGAAGGTATTCTCTGTTGGTAGGAAGTCTGAATCAGGATAGGCAAAACTGAGAAGCATTGTTTTGACTTTGCAACTCAACCTGTAGTTCGACTGACTAGAAATAGCTCAAAATCTATGATTAAGTCTAGTGATCAATACACCAGGTTTCTTTCACCTTTTTTTTGTATTTTTATTAAAGATTTTCTTGATTTACAGAAGTATGTGTAATGTCTCTCTCTTGTATTTTTTCCATGTAACATTTTTACAAATCAGTTTCTCCATGGTGTACTTCTCAGATCAGTCATAAAATAGTTAAAATAAAGAGGCAATCCCAGCCTAATGAGTCTGTAGATGGGTTCTATCTAGTTAACTCTCATCAGCTGCAGCCAGTGTATTCAGGGGTCAGGGATGATGGGAGCTGTAATCCAACAACACCTGGAGGTCCACAGGTGAGCCAGCTTTGTGTCATTCAGGTGTTTTAAGCCCACTTTGCCAACTAGACTTTAAACTCTCCATACAGACCATGGGACTAGAGAGCACACACCAGAGAAACCAGTCGACATGGGTACGGCATGTCCATTTAGCAATATGCAGGTAGCCAGCATATAAATGCCAGCTTATTTTATGGGATATTTGAGGAAGCACCTGATCCATAGAAATTTAACAATGCCCCTTATTTCAGAAAGCCTTACCTCCCTTTTTTTTTTTGGGGGGGGGACGCCCTGAAACAAGCATTGCGGTTCCACGAAGGTGGATCACACGCGGGAATCGACCAACGCTCAAGCAGCCCCTTGATCTATTATTAGGCGAGGCTTAAGGGTGGGGCCGGAGAGAGAGAAGCCTGGTTTAGAAGGGGGGAAAGCGAGCGAGCGATCGCGCCTCGACCTCCGCGGAGCCTGTTCCCTCCCTGCTCAACTTGAGGCTGCCGGGTTGCAGGGAGAGAGCGAGCATGTGATCGCATTGGCTCGCCTTGCCATGGTGTGGCAGCAGCGCGAGCAGCAATGGAGGCGGCTTAAGGGACGAGGCTGGGCGGCTGCTGCTGCTGCTGGCTGGCTAGACCGCAGATGGGAAAGCCCGACCCAATTTCTCGTCGCCAAATCCAGGTAGGGCATTCGCATCCCTCCCCCCTTTTGCCTTCTTTCTCATCTCTTGCGCGTATTTACGCATAAAAGCATTGTTCAGAAGCCGCCGAGGCGTGGGTTTGAATCCTGCCGTCTGGTTTGCGTTTCCCTGACCTTGTCGCTTTCAGGCGTTCGCACCTCTTGTTCCGTTAACCCCCGAAATCCATTCATGGTTTTTTGCGGGGGGACTCCGCGCCTGTCTATTGTTAGACTGCAGGCAGGCTGCTATTTCCTTGGGTAGTGTGTGGGTCTGTGTTTGCGTGGAAGGCTGGCTGTGCAGGCTGCCAGTCAACCTAGGGGATGTGTCTGCTTTCTGAAAACTGGGTATTTCTTGAGCATCAATGAAAGGCATCTGTGATGAACGTACACATTGGCAGCTCTCCTAAAAGGATTAAATAAAAGCAGAGCTATGCATGTTGGCAAGGCTTGCTTTGGCAGTACTTTCATACCCTATAGATTTCAGTGTGCTCTGACTTTTGAATTTCTTCCCATTTTTATTTTTAAATCCCTTGGGTTAGTGTTTTCTTTGATTCTTGCATTAATTTTCCCGGAGGCAAGACAGAAAGGGATGACTTTTGTTTGCTTGCTACATCTCCCACAAAGCTCCAGAGCTGCATTGCTTTGTCTAACCTTCTCTAAGGCCATTTATCATGGAACTCCTGTCACCATATTTTAATGAGCTGTGAAATCTGCTAGTTATTATGGTTGAAAGACGGAAGGTTTCGTTTCCTGCGAACCCACCACCCACCCAATAACTAGATCAAGTGCCCTAAAGGTTACACTATCCGGAATGAGACGTCTGTTTTCCGTCAAGGCTTTTCATTCATAATAATAATAATTTTTTTGCAGAAAAAACCCTGACAGACCATAAGGGGACAATCCTAAACATGTTTACACCAGGAGCACATCCCACTGAGCTCAGTGAGTAAATTTACTCCCTGGTAAATTGGTTTTAGGATTGCCCTTACTCTCACTACTTCTTTTCTCCAGACAACTGGAAAGTCTGAATTGCACAAATGCTGCTGTTTCAAAGAAGCAGGTGATCAAGGTCGGAATCCTTTGCAAATTCATGGTTTTCTTAAGAACTGTGCAAGCGGTCTTCGGGATTTAAGAAATATTCCATTTTTTGCACTCATCTGCCCAAGAGGGTTAAAGGAAAACTAGAAGCCACAACCGTACATGTTGAAATTTTAATATGGTTAACAATAGTGCGGCTGAAATTGAGATGCTGGGGGAGGGGAAGAGGTTAGTAGTAGAGAGAAGGGAAGCATGCTCAGAGTACAAGGAGTACTCTAAAGCCTATTTTTCATTTGTCTCCCGTCTCAAAAGAAGTAGCTGTGTGATGATATCAGTAATGTCTGTGTGTTTTAGGGGTTGATACGAGAACAGAAGCAGAATCTTTATACAATAAATCCAATTTGCAATAAATATTCAGGAAC